TTTCTAGTTTTTCTAATGTAGTCATCATAACTTTGATCTCATGGAAATTCTTTTGATTTTCAGCAAAAGTTGAAAGCTTCTCAACGACCTACAGTGAGTATTTCTACTATGTTTACTATGTTCTATTGATGAAAACTGCACGTGGTGGTTTGTTTCCCGATTGCGATCGCCACAATTTTATTTTTAGATTATGTACACTGTTTTTTTTTTGCAGGCATTGCATATTACCCAATGTGCCAACTTAAGGATAAGCGGAATAACCTCGATTAATAGTCCAAAAAATCATATATCAATCCATCAATGCAAAAATGTTGCAATATCGAATGTAAATCTCATTGCACCTGAGGAAAGTCCCAACACTGATGGAATTGATATAAGTGACTCGACTAGCGTCAACATATTTGATTCTACAATTCGAACTGGTACGTATGTGTATATAAATTATTTATGATTTTACTTTTTTTGCGTACTACATAGATCAGTCTACCAGATTACGATCTTGTGGAGTATATTACAAAATATAAAAAAATGACAAAATAATCATATGAATTTTAAATCACAGGAGATGATTGTATAGCAATCAACACCGGAAATTTCAATATCAACATAACAAGGATTAATTGTGGACCTGGTCATGGAATAAGGTATTTCATTCTATTAGTTATAACAGAAAGGCTTTCTTGTAAATTACTGTAAGTCGAGTGAGTTCGTTTACTTTCATGTATTTGGATAACAGTGTGGGAAGTCTAGGAGCCGATGGAGAAAAGGCTGCAGTTAGTAATGTTCAAGTGACTAACTGCACTTTCAATCAGACGACGAATGGAGCTAGAATCAAGACATGGCCGGTATTTTTTTTTTTTTTCATTTACACTAATTATCATTTCTTGTAACTAAACTAATTATATTGGTAATACAAAAGATGTTCTAAACTTATATTTGATTTTTCTTATGTAGGGTGGAGCAGGATATGCAAGAAACATACGTTTTGAAAACATCACACTCATTGACGTCAAAAATCCAATTATAATCAACCAACAATATATAGACAAAAGGCGTCTTAACGATGCAGAGGTATATAATGAATCTAGCTTTATTTATATAATTATATAAATACTTGAAAGTATGAAAACTGAGAAATGTGTGTTTTTGTGTTCAATAGGATTCAGCGGTGGCGATTAGTAATGTAATATTTGTCGGCTTCCATGGAACGACGTCGAGTAAAGATGCTATAACGCTTGACTGTAGTGAAACCACACGTTGTGAAGGCGTCGTTATAGATGGAATCAATATTACGATGGCGGATGGAGAAAAACCTAAATTTGCTTGCAACAATGTTGATGGAAACTCTGACGACACTAGCTTGATGCGTGGTTGTTTTAAAAATGTTTAATATTGTTTTATTATATTTGATATAGATGCCATTTGTAACCTACCAGAACTTTGAGCTATTTTAATCTTTGTTCCAATAAAAAAAAATTGAGCCATTTGAGAGAGAGTATGCTAATTGCCTAATTTTCCAGTGATATTCGAGGATAAAGCTAAATTTGTTGCTGTTGTTGTGGGTGATTGTTCTTGAATATCACTGGAAAATCTTACCTTTTCAACTTGATTGTTGCAGAATAACAGAACACTTCAGACACCTCTTTCTTCTAGCTAGATCTAATTCGATTGATAATTGGTGTAAGATTCTTTCAGCAAGATCATTGATAGTGACGTGGAGCCTATAAATATCCTTTAGAAAATGGCTTAAAAAAAGAATGTCTTTTTAGATTTTGATATATAAGTACTTAAGAACAGTAACATAACGTGATAGAACATGTAATTATTGGTGGCTTAGTGCCCACAAATAATTATATTAATATTAAGCTTTTACACGTGTACCTGGTGGAGGGGAGTATTACAATATACGGTGAGGCTAATCATATGAATACTTTGTGATACGTACAAATTAATCATATACTGTATACACTTAACTAATACACGTGTATTAATGCATTGAAAAAAAAGTATTGTGGCACTCAACTACTCAAGAGATTCAGAGTGTCAGAGTAACCATTGTTGGAAGATTTACTTTTTTGGGAAATTTAAACATAACGTCTCACTAAGGCACACTAAAAAAAACGTCTCACTTGTCAAAATAATATCTCTTGTGACAGAGAGTACAGTTTCACTTCATATTCATTTTATACAATCACAAAAATTTGGGTTTTTTTTTTTTTTTGACAAAAATTTAGGTATTTACATAAACTACTAAGTTACATGTCTTTTCTTCCCCCACAAGGCCACAGACATGTTAATACTATCAGATAGTAATAGACTTTAGACTTTTGAGTTAAGGGTAGAACTTTAAAAATACATATATTGTGGTCAACTGTATGGTTTCGATGAATTCTTATGATTGGCTAATAAGTGTAAAAGTTAAAAAAAAAAAAAAAGAAGAAGATAATTCCACGATTATGAGAATCAGTCAATCATCAGATACAAAGTCAGTGAAATCTCGCAAGCAAATCAACTAAAAAGTCAAAAGCTCGTGCACCTCTCATACGTGTCGTAATGTGAGAAGCCATGCAGAGGGAAATTACAATATAAAAACATTATATTATTTTCTTGTGCAAAAATCTTTTCGTAATAAGCAACCTACAAAATACGATTGGATAATAGAGGGGCGTATACAACATATGGTTGAGGAAGATCTGGATCTCGTTACCTACCGAGACAATTTTAAGACCGTCGATACTTTTCAATTAAATAATCGAAAAGTCTATTGATAATGTGGCGAAACCGGAGGCATCACAGACGATGACTCATCAGGCTTATCTCTGTGGCCAAATAATTTGACCAATATAATAGCCCGACAGCTCAGAGATTCACAGATTTGCCAGTAATAATCGGACCAATCAAATTTTAAATTCAATTATTGTTGAAGTTTTGTTGGTTGATGACAAACCCTATGCTATATATATAGGCATGTGCTAGGCAACTTGAATAAAGCAGATCGATCAAAGAAGAAAGAAAAGAAAGGTCAAAAACACCTTATCAAAAAGAAAGAAAACACACAGAAGGATAGAGAAAAATGTCGAATTTGATCATCAAGAATCAACTAAGATCTATAAGTTTACCTTCAAGATCGCATCCAAGCACGACGGGGATCGAGGAAGCTCTTAACAAGGTTAAAGCGATTAGCACCACGACGGGTTCGTCAGAATCAATCTTGATGGGCTTGGCTGGTTTGGAGGAGCTATACAAATGTACCGAGGAGTTTTTGAAAATGGGTTCGACGCAACGTGTTATGTCTTCTGATGGATCCGAGTTTATGGAGGAGATGCTTGATGGGTCTTTGAGGCTAATGGATATATGCAGCGTCTCAAGGGATCTCATGGTGGATACTCATGAGCATGTTCGTGGTGTTCAGTCATGTGTGAGAAGAAAGAAAGTAGCCGGAGGAGGAGGAGACCAACTCGATGTCGCTGTCTCCGGCTATGTCGGGTTTAGAAAGAACATGAGAAAAGAAGCGAAGAAGCTTCTTGGATCCTTGAAGAAAATCGATGGAGAGTCATGTACATCATTATCGGTAAACAATGGCCAACAAGATGAACATCTTGTGGCGGTTATAGATGCCATGAGGAGAGTGGTTTCGGTTAGTGTCTCGGTGTTAAAGTCGTTCTTGGAGTTCTTGTCGGGACGACAAAGTAACATAAAGAGCAAGTTGGCTTCGGTACTAAAGAAAAAGAAGGATCACCATGACGCTTCCAAGAACGAGTTAGAGAGTTTGGATTCCGCCATAAGCTGCTCTTGCGATGACCTACCAAATAAGCTTGAGGAGGTTGAAGTGAGCATTGATGGATTCGAAAAGAATCTAGAAGGATTATTTCGAAGGTTGATTAGAACACGAGCCTCACTTCTCAACATAATCTCTTGTTAGATATACATGTATGCAAAGTAAACCTTTTTGGCATTCGACTTTAGAGAATTTGCCAAAGGGATACATTATAGACGCATAGATACGATTAATTGATCAGATAAATGTAGAAATATTTTTAAAAAGAAAACAGATACTAACATTGTAGATGCAAGATTTTGTGTGAAAAAATGTTATGGAGGAAAATTATACATCAAAGGAAAAGCAATTGCAATATTCTTTTTTAATTGTTATTTAATTTCAGAAAAATTATATTTTGTTGCTTGGAGAACTACTTAAGTTGATTGATTAAACCACAGTGAAATAAGATTTATTTGATGATTTCGGTTCTCAATTTCCGGTTCATACCTACGTAATGAGTAAACCAGGTGATGGGTTTAAAGTTTAAACACGGAGTTATCCCAGGATTAATTAAAGTACTCACAGGGCTAATTTGGTCTAAACGAGATTTTAAGTGGATCCAACGGACGCAACCTTCAAATGAAAAGGCGGGAAAGAGATCTAAGCGTAAATACTAGACACGGAAAAAAAAATAACGGTCATAACCGCCGTCTGATCAAAGAAACTACATAAACAACATTCGATGGGAAACAAAAACGTATTACTCATTTATTCTAAAAAAGCCTAAAACATGAGTAATCCCGAGAAAACAAAAATGGATCCAGAGGAAGAGATCAATGAAAATTCTGACGACAGTGATTACGTTGGGAGCGACATAGAAGAAGGAGAAATCCGCGAAATTGTTCTCGCCCTTCCCGCAATGAGTGTTAGCGAAAGACTCAGTGCGGTCGCGGATGAAGAAATTCGTAAGAAAGCCGTCGCAGCGGCTGACTTGGTCGTGGCTGCCGCTCAGGAAGCAGCGGTGGCAGGAGAGAGTGTGGGACAGACGGTTGATGGAAGTGGCGAGAAATTGAAGAGGAAGTTAGGGCGACCAAGAAAGGTGAAGACGGACCACGCGGTGGCTGCTGCCGATGGAGCGTCCAGAGCTGGAGAAGGAGAGGTTACTAAGAAGCCGAGGAAGAAAGGTTCTTCAGTGCTGACTAATCCTCCTAAAGGTCCTCCCAGATGTAACATTTGTAGGAGAAACTTTGGTTCTTGGAAGGCTGTGTTTGGCCACTTAAGGTCGCACAAGAACCGTGGTTATCACGGTTTTCTGCCTCCTCCATCATTTAATGCGGCCGAGGAAGGGTTTGGTGGAACGGTTGCTGCTTCTTCCAGTGGTGGAGGGTTTGGATTTGGCACCGGAGGGCTAGGGATTGACTTGAATGCTGATCCAGTGGAGGAAGGGGAGAAAGCGCAAGAAACCGGTTCTGGATCGGGAACTACTCCGAAGTTTGATCTCAATAGGTCTCCACCGCAAGATGGAGAAGAAGAGGAGAAAGAAGATAAAGCCGAGTGAAGGCTTTGTGTGACCAAAAACGTTAGGATTCTCTATTTTCATGATTAATTTCAATAATGTGCATGTGAGAATGCATGCAAGTACTCTTCCTTGATTATTACTTTGTTTTCTTCGGTTTGTTTCTTTGAACTACTTTATATTATGTCGTTTGCATGAATATTGGGAATGTAATAGGATGTTTCTCTGAACATCATTTTTAGCATGCAAGTGAGAATTTTTTAATATATCTATACCGATTTACACTATTTCTACTTTTTCATTATTTTTATTTGTTCTGTTTGTTACTAAGTAGGTTAGCATTACCCACCACGGATAAGTACAGATCATATCACTTGAAAACTTTTTTCTGAAAGTTTATGAAGAAAATAGGAGAGAAAAAAGATGTGAAATATAACAACGAAAAAAAAGATGTGAAATAGAACATCATTATCAATATATTTTGATAATGCTGTTGAAGCCAAATCTTTCTATTGAAAATGGTACATAATTTTTTTTTGTAAAGCAAGTCCAATTTAAAAACACATGTAGTGGAAAAGGAAGGGAGGATTGCTGATAAAACTGGGCGTTACAATATTTCAAAAGTATATTAAACTAAGAAAAACAAGAAAGCCGGCCAGATTAGCTAGGGTTGTTCCAAGAAAGGTTTTTACTGTTATGAATTTCGAAATGATTGGGTGGTAAAAGTGGACATGTCAAAACGTCTGTTACACGATTGAATATCAGATCAAAAACATGAATGATCAATTGTTCATGTTCGCAACAAGTCAACGCTTTACCCATGCTACTTTTATACGTGTCGTAACGCGAGACGTCATACACAAAGCAAGTCATAACAAGAGACTATGTAAATATTGACGAGAACAAATAAATATTCTTTAGGAGACGTAACAAGCAAACTACAGAAAATGATTTAGCATCGCTATTATAAAAAATTTAAAAATCGAAAGGTCAATCTAAGTAAAAAGAAAAAAACTCGAAAGGTCAACTGATAATGTGGCGAAAGCGGAGGCAACACAAACAATGACTAATCAGGCTTCACTCTGTGGCCAAATAATTTGACCAAAATAATTAGCACGACAGCTCAAAGAGTCAGCGATTCTGACAGTAATGATCCGAACAACATATTTAAAAAATTCAATTACTGTTGACGTTTTTTTTGGTGCATGACGTGAGTACGTGACAACCATGTGATATATGTATATATAGCTTGTGTAGAGCAAGTTTGAATAACGCAGGTCGATCAACGAAGAAAGAATCAAGCCACAAAACACTTTTATCAAAACAAAAACACAAAGCCATAAGAATGGCGGATATGATAATTAAGAAACATTTAAGATCTACTATTAGTAGTTTACCTTCATGTTCGCATCCAAGCACGAGTGGGATCGAAGAAGCTCTTACCAAGATTAAAACGATTAACACCACGACAGTTTCATCCGAATCGATCTTAATGGGCTTGGATGGTTTGAAGGAGCTCTACAATTAATTATACGGACGAGATTCTGAAAATGGTTTCAACGCAACGTGTTATGTCTTCTGACGGATCGGAGTTTATGGAGGAGATGCTTGATGGTTCGTTGAGGCTAATGGTTATATACTTATATGCAGCGTCTCGAAGGACATCATTGTGGAGAATCACGAGCATACCTGCTCCTCCACACTCTTTCAATCTTTTTCCAGCTTCTCTCTTCATTTTGTCATCGACACTCATTGGGTGTAATCTTCGTTCTTTGATTTTTTCTTAGTTAAGTACTTAAGTTAACTTATAATACACATGTTTAAATTTTAAATATTAATTTCGTGATTTGCCACCGGTTTGGTTTAGACTTCGTCATCCAATTCATTCATTGACCCTGGTTTGGTTCCGCACAATACTCAACCGGTATTTTCTAAAATATAAAGCAAACAAAACTCAAATAAAAAGGTCTAAATTCTAAAACCTTGATCAGTGGGAAACCTGATGTACACTCATAAAAAAAAATTAAAAATAAACGAAAGTACTAAGAAATCATAAATGTTTTATTAATTAAGTTAAACTAATAATTTTATAATTTCTCATAATAATATAGTTTATCAATCATGACAATGGATACAATAACAACTAGTAGCAAAACATAATTCTTGGCATGGTGGCTGACAAAAACTAATATACTTTTCTTCAATCGGCGATGGCGATGAAACTTCAAACTGCAGAGAAGTTTCTTCATGTAACATATGTTTCGCCTCAACAATCTTAACTGTAATGGATATCATCACTGTAACACAAGATGTAATATGCATAAGTAACATAATCTAATTGTTTGTCATCACATATATTATTTAAATTAGGTATGCATCTGAATAAATATTGCATAATTTCTGTAAGTTTAGAGGTAAAACTTGAGTTTCTCTATATTATAAAATAAATATAAAATTTTGATCACTTACCAGTAAAAGCTAAAAGGACGATGAAAGCAGATTTCAATGAAAACTTCATTATTGTCATAGAGAAAATATGTCTTATTCTCTGATAATCTTGTAGAATTATAAAGATAACTGAAGATATATTTTTCACACAGTGTATACCGTTTTTATAGAGTAAAGAAGTGTGCCAGCAGCTATCTAGCTAGTGTAGATAAGATTAAAATTTTAAATATAGTAACACCAATAAGTAAATAACATTTAAAGGAAGATAAGAAAAAAATTCCAAATATTTAAGAGGAAGATAAGTTAAAATCTCCTGAAAATCGTGTATATATAACTATATACACACATAATTTCCTAAATAGAGAATCTGGAAGATAAACATGACAGCCGAGAAGTTGTTGTATGTTGGACTAAAAAATGCCCAATACTAAAATCTAGCCCGTGCCAGCCCAATTAAGGCCCCAGTATGATGCTCATTGGGTTGGAGACTAATACGTGTGTATGATACAACGGCTATATTTAGCCGCGGCTCAGACGAAGATCCTCATGAAATTTAGTCTTTCCCTCTTCCATCGTGGTTTTAGCATCTAAAGTTGTACACATTTTGAATGAAACCGTGTTAAACCAACTCCCTCACCCAATTCATCCGTTGAACCTAGTTCCGCTCAATAACCGGGTCAATTTCTATCTCCTCCGGCATTTTTATAAATCCTTAAAGCGAACAAAACTCAAACAAAAAGGTCTAAAACCCCTGATCAGTGGGGGAAACCTGATGATGGACACTCCGAAATTCATGGTGATATAATTGCTGACATGTGACGGTGTTATTTAAGGGAGGCATCGTCCCTTGCGTGTGGGACCAAATCATCCGTGCATAGATATCTTCGTATCATTTAAATAATGTAACAAAATCTTTCAAAGATCTTATAATTAAATTCAATATATATCTTCGTACCAACAAAAAAAAAAAAGCATTGTAAAACCTTCAAAAGAAACAAAATCCAACGAGAGAAATTATTATATAATGACAATATTATTAAAGAATCGTAAATGGGCGGTGGCTTTGGTGCATGAAAAGAGGTGTAAAAAGAGTTTCGGTTACTATAACCGAAACCGAAACATCGAACTTTGACAACGATTCAACTAAAAATCAAACACATAGCATTTAATGAGCCCTACGTGTTCTGTTCCTGCTTAGTGAAGTACCCACACTCACTTCACATGGTCTTCACGTCTTATGCTAAGCTAGGCCCTACTCATTGACATTTATGTCATTCTGTATATTTATATAAACCCTAGCGTTAAAGAACATGAAAAAGCAAAAAAACTTGAAAAAACTCATTTCTTGAGATGTATATGTCTTCACTGTCTCCGAGACTTCACAAAGCATACAAAGGTAGATGTGTTAGCTTACCGGTTCGGTCTCATCCGAGTGTTAGGAGGATACAAGAAGTGGTCTCCAAGGTTAGAGCTCTGGGATCGTCTTCGTTAGAGTCGAGGACGATGGTCCGTGACGGTCTCTCTGGTCTCACCGAGCTTTATAGTTGTTTAAGTGAAGATCTGTTCAAGTCTTCTTCTGAAACTCAACAAGCCCTTCGTAATGGTAACGGCTTGATGGATGAGCTTCTTGAAGTGTCGCTAAAGTACTTAGAAGTTTGTGGAGGAGCTAAGGACGGTGCGTCGAGGGTAAAGAAGAGTGTTGTTGAGCTTCAGTCAGCTCTGAGACGGAGCAAGAAGGGAGGCGAGTTTAGCTTGGAAAGTGACGTGGATGCTTACATGGCCTCGAGGAAAGAGATCAAGAAGGAGATCAAAAAGTATATGGCGATGTCGAAAGAGACAGACGCTTGTTTGGAAAGTAATGTTTGGTGTGATGGTAATGACCAAGATATGAGTGTTTTGGTTAGAGTGATACAAGAGACAAGTGCGATGACTTGTTTCGTGTTACGCACGGTCTTGTCGTTCTTGTCGTCGCCTAAAGGTTTAAAGTCTAAGAAGAATCATCATCATCATCATAAAGGTTGGGGGATAGTTATGAGGCTTGTGAAGAAAGGAATAGATCATCATAATCAGGAGAAGAGAGATTATGAAAAGGGTTTTTCTTGTTTTGAGCTTGAAGTTATGGAAGATGAAATCGGGAAGCTCGTTCTGATGACGGCAAGGGAAGATCAAGAAGAGAGCGAGGTTAGTGAAAAAGTAAGCGAGAGGATTCAATGCGCATTGGTTAGATCGGAAGGTGTAGAGACAGCCATGGAAGAGCTTGAAGAGGGGCTCGAAGGATTGTTCAAGGTAATGATACAAGCTAGAGTCTCTCTTCTAAACATCCTCTCCACTTAATTAAAAAAGGTGATCAGGTTCGAGTTTCTTGATCTGGATTAGGAAATTAGCTGGACCAGGTCGATTGTTATTAAATCTTGGTTTTTTTTTTTTTTTTTTTTTTTAACGTTTCCTTGTGTGTTCAAAAAGAGTTTAAACATGCATCCATGTTTTAGAGGATGTGTGTTTGACTGTTTGTTGTAAGTTTGTAACTGGTTCTGGTCTGAACAACTCTTGTAAAGTTTAAAAGAGAAACGAATCCAATTTCAATGTAAAGAATAGTATTATTTTTTCCGTATGAAAACAAGTTTTAATTTGGCAAAATCTTTGAAATAATGTGATCAAAGTCTGCTTTATAAACAGAGCCGAGAGTACAACAGAATGAAAGATCCAAAAACATCTTAGAAAAACAGAGTCCACGGGAAATGTGTATTTTATTATATTTTCATTAACTTGATTCAAACAACTTTAACAAAAAAAATTAAGTAGACAATCATGTGAGACAATACATTTTACTAGCTTGTGTGATCATAACTTATATTTTTGGGGTTCGAGGACATACGCAATGACAACCGGTACCAAAACATAATTCCCAGCATTTTGGCGTACAAAAACTTAAGTCTTGTTCATGAATCCGAGGACATACGCAGTGACAAGCGGTACCAAAACATAATTCCCAGCATTTTGGCGTACAAAAACTTAAGTCTTATTCATGAATCGGCGATGAAGCTTTAAGGTGGAAAGAAGTTTCCTCATGTATCATACGTTTCGCCTCAACAATTTCAACTGTTACGGATGTCATCACTACAACACAATATAAGATGTAGTAAGCAGAAGTACAACACAATCTGATTGTTTATTATCACGTATATTTTTTAAATCTGGATATGTAACTAAATAAATATTTCATAAAAAATTGTGTAAGATTCAAAGGTAAGACTATTGAATTTTTCATAACATTATATAAATAAATATAAAACGTTAGTTACGTACCAGCTAAAAGGATAATAAAAACAGATTTCATTGAAATTTCACCATTGTTTAGATTGTTACGTTTGTTTTTTTTTGATAATCTTGTAAAATTACAAAGAGAAAATGAAGATAAGAATGTATATATGTATCATTTGACAGCGGTTTTTATATAATAGAGTAGTATGCTATCTATGGTAAACATTTGGATAGGGAGATAAAGATCAAATCTCCTAAGAGAGAAACAAGATAAAATCTGCTAAAAATCGTAGACTATAACATAGTCAAATGCATACACACAATTTCCTAAAATATCTAAAAAGAGGATCTGAAAATATACAAAATATCGGTTGTATCTTTGACTCAAAAATGCCCAGGACTAAAATCCAACCCAAGCCCATATGCCATATCTACTAAAAGTCTAAAACGCTTGGGAGGCTTTTCTTAAAATATATAACGGCTACATTTTGACAATGTTGTGTGTTTGACAAATTTTCGACTCTGGGATTTTTTCGAGGTCTCTATGATAAAGCACCTGAAGAACATTTTTATTTTCTTTTGGGAAGAATCTGGCATCGATCATTCACTCGAGATTTTGTCCGTGTTCGATTTTTGGGTAAAGTTAGGGGTTTTGTTTAAGTGTGTTGATGGTGCTTCTTATTATTGTATATGATAAAGTTGCTTCAGTAAATTTGTAAAATGTTTGCTTTGTGGCATAAAATGATTTGTTTTCTCAGTAACCAAAATTCGATACTCTCGCATACGCATACATCTCAACTACTTTGTTATAATATTCCTTTTAGTATTTTGTTTAAATAAGATGATGTTATAAGTATAACACAAGAAATAGTAACACCTTATTAGACAGTTAAAACATATTTGAATCAAATTTATTTACGAATCACGGTAAAGTCCGATTCGAGTGAACAAGTCGAATTTACACAAAAGCTCATACCGTTGCCTTGAAACCCTTTTAAAAAGGATAATTTTATAGTCATGTCGTACGTAGCCGACCTAGCATCGGAAACGTGAGTGGGAATGCCACTAAATTTAAAGAATATATTTTCCTTGATTCTCACAACTTTCATAGAACATTAAGTAGACAATTACTGTATGCCAAACAATACTTTTTTAACTCATGTCAAACAATAGTCTTTTATTCATTTGTGACATCATAAATTAATAATTTATGCTTTTGGAAGCGTAGGAGGACACACGCAGTAACAGCCGGTACCAAAACACAATGGTTTGCAACCTGGCCTACAAAAACTAGTTCCTTTTTCCTCGATCGGTGAAGCTTCAAGTTGGAGAGAAGTTTCTTCATGTAACATACATTTTGCCTCAACAATCTGAACTGTCACGGATATCATCACTGCAAACACAATAATTAAGTATAAGTAACATAATCTAATTGTTTGCCATCATATGTATCTAAACAAATATTGCATCAGGTTTAAGTAAAAGATTTAGAGGTTACATATATATTATATAAAATACTAATTACTCACTAGTAAAAGCTAATAGAATGAGGAAAGCAGACTTCAATGAAAACTTAACCATTGTCGTAGAAAGTTTTGTTTTATTCTCTAATAATCTTGTAGAACTACAAAGACAAAGTGATTGATATTATCTATGGACAATGTACAATGTATAACGTTTTTATAGCATAGAGGTGTGTGCTGTCGAGTACATGCTAAATTTGTATATATGGTAAACAAAATTAGCAGATAAGAGGGAAATAAGATCAAATCTCCTTAAAATGGTATGTACACGTAATAATCCTAAACAGAAGATCTGGAAGATAAACTCTACATGACAGCCGAGTGTCCAAGGCTAAAATCCAGCAAGTGCCAGCCCAAGCCCATTATCCAATCAAGGCCTTGAGAGACTTTGCTTAGGATGCTCTCGTTGAGATTGATAAACACGTGTCTAAGATACAACAACGGCTATATTTTTGATAATGTAAGTCGGTGTGTTCTTGTGGGACCCAAAAGAGCGTTACTTTCCTAATTTCATTGGACCGTTCCGTTACATACACACTAGTCAGTCTTCCTTCTTTCTTCATTCATCTCCTGCCTCCGCTTCTGTATCAGAGACACGGTGGTGAGAAAATGACGGCAGCCGGAGTAGCCGCGGCTCAGACGAAGAAGCTCATGAAATTTAGCCTTTCTCTCTTCCAACGAGGCTTTAGCTCCTCTAAATGGTACACAGGTTTTATCGTTACCTAATTTCTCTCAGTCAACACAGATTTTGTGTTGCGATACTTATTAGCTTAGATAATCGATCTGGGCATTTCTCTTTTTTTTTTTTTTTTTTTTTTTTTTGTTTCTAAAAAAGTAAGAATTGTGGTGGGTGTTTGAGAAATTTCCGATTCTGGGGTTTTCTCGAGGTCTCTGTGATTAAGCATCTGATGAAAACTTTTGCTTGTTTTATTGGGTATTTGATCGGATAATAAAAGCAAAACGGCGGCGAAAATGGCAGTGGCTCGGATAAAGCTACTGAGGAACAAAAGACAAGTTGTGGTGAAGCAAATGAGGCGTGACATCGCCGTTCTTCTTCAATCCGGTCAAGATGCCACCGCTCGAATCAGAGTATATTTCACTTTCCAAGTTTTAGACTTTTCCTCCAATTCAATTAAATTCAATGAAGAATTTGATTTGGTTTGTCACAAATTCAGGTTGAACATGTGATTAGAGAGCAGAACATTCTAGCGGCAAACGAAATCATCGAGCTTTTCTGCGAACTTATCGTCTCCCGACTCACTATCATCACCAAGCAAAAGTAAATATGATGATAAATCTCAGTTTTTCAATTGCCTCTTTAAACCTTACTTTCAAATTTGGTTCTTTATATGTGTTTGGCTTTGTTTTAGGGAATGCCCTGTGGATCTTAAGGAAGGTATTGCGAGTTTGATCTTCGCTGCGCCTAGGTGCTCTGAGATTCCGGAGCTTGGAGATCTCAGAGACATCTTTGTCAAGAAATACGGGAAAGATTTTGTCTCTGCTGCTACTGATTTGCGTCCCACTTGTGGCGTGAACCGGATGGTAAATTATAAACCTTTTCATGTTCCCTTGAGATTCTGCAAACATGAATCTTGATCTTGTTTTCTTCTCTCTTGTGTGTTTGTTTGTAGTTGGTTGACAAGCTTTCTGTTAGGCATCCCGGTGGAGAATTCAAACTGAAGATCATGAAAGAGATTGCTAAAGAATTCCAAATCGATTGGGACACTACAGAGACTGAGCAAGAACTTCTCAAACCTCAAGAAGAAACCATTGTAATATAGTCTCTTATTAATCTCAACTCTCAACTTCTTTTGCTTTTTAGAATCTGATTAAAATCTGTTGTTGTTGATGTATGAACAGGGTGGTCCAAGTGCGTTTGTTAGCGCCTCAAGCTTACCCGTGAATCGTGCAGCTCACGACCCCATTGATCCTACAAACGCTGCGCTGAGGTATGTACATACATACATGCATGATCTTTTTGGTTATGAGGGACTCAGAGAAATGAAGTCTTTATTTGTTGTTTTTGTTCATCAGATCGAACAGCAGCACGAGCATCAACACTCATTATTATCAAGACACTGAGTCAGCAGCTGAAGCAGCGGCTGAGTTAGCTCAACAGGCGGTTGCAGCAGCACAAGCAGCTGCGTTACTAGCTAACAGAAGAGACAGCACCAACACCAATCATTCAACAGACGAGAAGGATCATCATTATCATCAGGCAGGCTCAAGAAGGCAATCCCGAGATTCTGAAACAAGCTCCTACTACGCAAAACCGTCTGCGGAAAACAGAGGGAACTTTAGAAGATACAGCTACAACAACAACCGGAGTATTAATGAATCTGAGCACGAGGAAGAAGACTACAGCAGAACCGAAGCAGAAGCAAAGGAAATGAGGAGGAGACACAGCTACAACTCTCCATCGCTTCCTCCTCCTCCTCCTCCTCCTCCTCCTGCAGCTTCTGAGGCCAAGTTTGATGAGTCGGATTACTACGAGGAAGAGACGGAGACAGAGGCAGAGGAAGGACCATTACAGAGTCGTGCTTCTTCCCTCCCGCCAAATCGAGCACCGCCTCAGGCTCCTCAGTCCGGTGAATCCAGAAGAGAGTCAAGCGGTCACGCTCACCCAAAACTGCCTGACTATGATTTGTTAGCTGCACGTTTTAAAGAAATCAGGCACAGTAAAGGCCCGTTGATCTGAAGCTGGGAGCCACCTTCTGTATGCAATTCTCGTGTTTACACTACTATTACATTGGCTATTGGTTAATTTTTGTGGATGAAGAAGAAAGACACATTTTTTCATGTATTAAATAACGGTTCGGTTTTGTTGTGATTTTGTCAGAAAGTGAAGTAAAAACAGAAACTAAAGATAAAACGGCTCTGTTTCTTGAATTGTTTGACTAACAAGTAACAACAGTACATATAGATAGAGATCCTAATGGGGAGAGTCGAGTGGTCTGATTTACCTGCACAAGGAGCATTTTAGTGAAAAAGATGGACAATAATTTGGTGAAATAGGTCGAGGTTGATTACTTGGGAGACAAGAATCTCATCGTGGCTACGGATAATTGTTTAATGGTCTAAGACTCCGAATAAACTATAAATGTTTGGAGAATTCTATCTTCTTCACTGACGAATTTAGGACTGCAATGAAGGATGAAGACGTTATATATACTAGGAATTGTACCCCCGCGCAAGCGCGGGTTGTTTGCATATATTTTTAGTTGTTCATTATCATTTATATACTTTACAAACTGTGCGCTTAATGTTTTTTCTCTATATATTATCCTGTATATATGATATTGATGTTAGAAATAGTCAATACTTTATTTCTTTTTTAACATCAAAATCAATATTTTAGTTTTATATATAACTTGTTTTTATTACTTAAATTTAACTGTTAGCTTTGAACAGTCAAACATTTTCCATGAAATTTTATTACATACACTATCTTTTACATAATATAGTATATTATTATGAATTTTAGATATTTTAAAATTTCTTTACATTTTTTTATTTTAAAAATAAATCTCTTGCATCTATTGTTAAAAAATAACTTTTAATTTTTTAAATATTAAGTTCAACCAATTTTTTTTGTCTTATATATTTTTATTAATCATTTCTTTTTTAATAATTTTTTATAATTTTGGTTGAATAATAAATCATTCATAATATCTATCATTATGAAAATGTATGTATTAATTGATTCATTAATTTTGATTTAATTAATTTATATATATTTTTTTGCTGATGTGGACACTCTAAGAAGAGAGAGTAACTCTCTAATTATATATAAGATAGTGTTCAAGCATTATGATAGTATCTATTATTGATGAAAAGCAGCAAAAAATTACATCTAATATAAGCTCACAATAAATGTCATTTTATTAAAGAAATATTAAGTTTTGGCCAAGTCAATAAGTGAAAATTAATTGCAACAACAAAACAATTTAGATGCATTTTTTTCTCGAGATGTTAAATGTTTAGATGTAAATTAAATCAAGACGTGTAGATGACACTTAGGTGCTGATTGGTTTACCCGCTGCTACCCGCAAATGCAACGTTTGCGGTAGTAGCGGTTATTGGCGTTTGACAACAATCACCACAAACGCTTTATACCGCTTTAAACCGCTCAAATCCCTTAACAACCCTCAAAATCAAAAGCTCCTTCCCAGCAGCGTTTGCGGTTGCGGGCGGTTGCGGGTGGATAATTAAAAAAAAAAAAAACACAAACTTATATAAAATCCGAAAATAAATAATAATATTTATTAAAAAATAAGATTTGGATAATAAAATCACAATATAAAAAAAAATTAGTACTTTTAGTCAATATTCATTAAAATCATATAATACTTATATATTTATAAGTTCTACAAATCAAAATTCTCTTGATAAATATTCTTTTCATACTAATACATATATATCTAATAAATAAAATTGTAATATAAATTTAATTTTCACATTAAATATATATTTTGAAAATAAAATCACATTTTTTATTTAAATTATAGAAATTAAAAAATAGACGTAAGTATTATACACATATTATTCTTTATAAAAAAATATTTTTAATTATGTTGAACCATAAATTTAAAATTTTCATTATAATATAGTTTTGATATTTTTATAATTATATAATGTGTTTATATTATTAATTTATTGTTTAACCGCTATTGCATCCGCAAGTGAACCAGTCATAAGTATCCCGCAAACGCATCCATTTTCAATTGTTATGCCAGTCGTACAAACCGCTTAATAACGCTACTAATCACAACCGCCCGCTTCCGCAAACTCCCGCACCCGCAACCGCAACCGCAGCGGTTAAACCAGTCAGACCCTTAAACGTGTAGATGAAAAAGTATTTAAATATATACTTACAATAAAGATTTTTCACATAAAACATGAAGTTTTGGTAAGTCAAGTAGTCAAAATCAACCATACCACATGATAAATCATGTTACCAATCACAGCCTATAAAGTTTATAGAAAATAAATTAAACTTTGACCCAAAAGTTGGAAACATTTGCCACACACACAAAAGAAAAACTATGTAAGGTAATTACATTTTCTTTGACCCAAAACTAGGAAACATATCTTTCCCAGAAACACTTTCCTTCCACGTCAGATTTAGGGTATATATATGGACATACATATCTTCAGATTATTTCAATCATAAAAACCTAATAGCAAAATAAAAAGAGAGAGAGAGAGACATATTGTAATGACTAAAGCCGTCGAGTGGGATCGTTTGCCCGACGAGCTCGTCGATTTAATAGCCAACCATCTCTTCTCCGACGTCGAGCTTCTCCGACTACGTACCATCTGTCGATACTGGCGTTCTGCCGTCGTCCTCGTCCCCAAGAAGCGTTTCCCCAATCGCCACGACCGCAACCGTAAACGCATCCTCTCCACTCACGGTGGAAAACCGTGTTTACTCTCTCCGACAGCTTTCTTCCGTGTGGTTCGGTCGTCATGTCCGTCGAAAGGATGGCTTATCAAAACACTAGATCTGTCCGAATCCGAATCCCGTAAAAGACTTCTACGCCCTCTCTCTCGTGACCTCATCAAGCCTTCAGCTCAAACCCTAGATCTTCTGGGGTATACGGTCTCAGAGCTTCATCAATCCTACGACGTGCAATACGTGGAGAACTCGATTAGAGTATCGGCTAAATTCGCTAGGGTTGTTCTCGTAGACGATCTGGTTTTCGCAGTGGATGGCGAAAAGAAAATCTGGTGGTGCAATAGTAAAGAAAGTAGTAAAGAAGATGCTGCTTGGACAAGAATTAGAGATGAAGAAGTTGAAATTTTCGCGGACATTATAGTCAACAAAGGTCAAATCTATGCCTTAGACTTAAAAGGAGCGGTTTGGTGGATCAGCAAATCTGAGCTCAACATATTTCAGTACGGTCCTTCGACTCCACTTGATGACTACTACGTCAGATACAATTGCAAAGACAAGAGGCTCGTGGAGTATTGTGGAGATATTTGCGTTGTTCATCGTTTCTGTCAGAAATCTTGCGTAAGGAGAGTGACCATCGAGAGGACCGTTGGTTTTAAGGTTTATAAGATGAACGAGGAGTCGGTTGAGTGGGTTGAGGTTAAGTCTTTGGGAGATAGAGCTTTTGTGATGGCTAAGGATAGTTGTTTCTCTGTCTTGGCGAGTGAGTATTATGGATGTTTGGAGAATTCGGTATATTTTACAGATGAGGAAGAGGAAGACAATGTGAAGGTGTTTAAGCTTGGTGATGGAAGTGTTACTAAGATGGTCAAATCTTCTTCTCAGAGCTGTTTTCGTTTCGTTTCTCCTCCTTTCCTTTGATTATTAGGAGTCTTTTGTTTGATTATACATTTCTAGTTCGAATCTTTTTGTTTGATTATACATTTCTATCTCAGAATCTTTTTGTTTTGTCCATTAGAATAACATTGTATTGCTCAAAGAAAAAAAAAGAGTAACATTGTATTCAAGTTTGTGCTTTTTGGTTCTGATTAATTTGAAAAGGAAAATTGCAGAAGAAAATCGTTTTAGTGTGAGGAATAATCGAAATTTGCATACTTGATTTGAGAACTTTTTGCCACTAAACCAGAATCTCGATAACCGAACCGGGAATAATCAATTAGCTTCGTGATGGTTATTGTCGAGGCAGAGAACGGCGTCGTTTTCATTTTTTTCACTCGATCGCTCGCCTTCTTCACTTTCCGCGGCGTCTTGAGGAAGCGTCGTCGACGCAATCTTTGAATTTTTTGTTTCCAGACTCGATGAAACAATCACAAACATCCTAAATCTCGTCAGACAAATTTCAAGTTTCCACGAGGCGTTCAAGATTTTGACTGGAGATATGAAGAAATCGCCGTTGCCGTTGCAGAATGTGCACCGCTCCGATAAGAATGTTGCCGGGAGAGAATCATTAGTGAAGCTTTTGAGATGGCATTTCGGTCATGCAGATTTCAGAGGGAAGCAACTGGAGGCTATTGAAGCTGTTGTATCTGGTAAATTGTATAACATACGCTTTTTTTCTCTCTTTGCTCATTGCTCATTGGGAAAATTAAAATGATTTTTGGAATTCTTCTTCGCTTCTGTTTGTCGTTTGATTGAGATTAGGAAGGGATTGCTTTTGCTTGATGCCGACGGGAGGAGGAAAATCGATTTGTTATCAGATACCTGCATTAGCTAAGCCTGGAATCGTGCTTGTTGTTTCTCCTTTGATTGGTATAATCTCTTTCTTCCCTGATTCCATGAATTGAAAATCTGTGTGTTTGGATTGGTCTCTAACTTTTTTGCTCTGTTTCCTCTCTTCATCTCTTGTGTTTACCTTCACAGCTTTGATGGTAAGTGCATTTCTGCATTGTTCTTTTCTTTTTTCGTTTTCGTCTCTTGAAGGTTTATTGTGAGTGAATTTTGAAGGACCATTCTTTGTTTCTCTTTGCTAAAGGAAAACCAAGTGATTGCTCTGAAGGAGAAAGGTATTTCTGCAGAGTATCTCTCTTCCACCCAGCCTACGCATGTTAAAAACAAGGTGATTTGGCGATACTGTGTTTCTACGTCTGTGTGTGAATGCGTAAATGCCACCTGATTTTAAGCTATGTCTATTTGTTAATATCCTTTTGATGTGATTCTTGAATTTTGCTTTAGATCCATGAAGACCTTGACTCTGGAAAACCCTCAGTAAGATTGCTCTATGTTACTCCAGAGTTGATTGCGACAAAAGGATTTATGTTGAAGCTGAGAAAACTCCATTCCAGGGGTTTACTAAATCTTATAGCCATAGACGAGGTAAGTCCCCCTGCGCTGTAATGCCTATACAAGGGTAAGCAGAAAGTTGGTTTGATTTCTCTCGACTGCTTATGTATATCTCAGGCACATTGCATCTCATCATGGGGCCACGACTTCAGGTTCATAATTTGTGATTGTGTCAACGTTCTTTTCCATGGGAGGTTATGATAGTCTAACTTGGTTTGTCGTAAAACAGACCTAGCTATCGTCAACTTTCAAATTTGAGAGACTCTTTGTCTGATGTTCCAGTGTTGGCTCTAACTGCCACTGCTGCTCCTAAGTAATCTTCTATTTCAGTGCATTTGAAGATGTGTGTAATCTGTAGAGTCGTCTCTCAAACAGCAAATTTTCTTTTGCAGGGTACAAAAGGATGTTATTGACTCCTTGAGTTTGCGGAATCCATTGGTCCTTAAGTCATCTTTCAACCGCCCAAATATCTTCTATGAAGGTTTTTCCTTTGAGCTATTAATCCATTGGTCCTTAAGTCATGTTTCATTACCATGAAAGAATGGATTTTCTAGATTTGCTTTCCGATCATCTAAAGAAGTTTTTTTGTTGGTGCAGTTCGGTACAAAGATCTTATTGATAATGCTTATACTGATTTGTGCAACTTGCTCAAGTCATGCGGAAATATTTGTGCAATTATCTATTGCCTTGAGCGTACAGCCTGTGATGACTTGTCTCTTCATCTCTCAAGTACTGGGATCTCTTCTGCTGGTAAAAAAACTACCCCTTCTACCTCTATCTGCTTCAATATCGAGCCACAACCGCTGACATATGTTTATCTTTATGTTTACAGCCTATCATGCAGGACTTAATAGCAAAATGAGGAGTACTGTTTTAGATGATTGGCTGTCCTCGACGAAGCAAGTTATTGTTGCCACAGTGGCTTTCGGGTATGAATCACTCTGTGAATTACCTTTTTCATTTGGGTTCTGGTTTTATTATGATCATCTTTTTTTGCGTCTTGTTTATGTTTGGGAGCTCTTGGTGCACGTGGTAAACGATCTAATTGTTTCTCTACAGAATGGTAAACGAAGATTCTTTCTCATGTTGCATATTTTCTGAAATTTTCTACTTCTTATGTGCTGTAGCATGATGAGACTACTGACTTTATAGGGTATAGATAAGAAGGATGTCAGAATGGTTTGCCATTTCAACGTTCCAAAATCAATGGAATCTTTCTATCAAGAGTCTGGTAGAGCAGGTCGGGATCAATTACCCTCGAGAAGTGTACTATACTATGGTGTAGAGGATAGAAAGAAAATGGTAATGTTAATCTGGTTATTACAGTTTTTGGCTTCAGAACTTTCATTCCATATGTAAGTTCTCTAGCTTACTTAACCAACTTGTTGCTAGGAATTTCTACTACGGAACTCAGAGAATAAGAAATCCCCATCCTCAAAGAAGCCAACATCTGACTTTGTGCAGGTAATGGCTTTCTTGTTTCTTTCAGGCTGTGCGTTTTTCAGTTGAAATTTACTCTCGCATTCATGTTCATGCTGCATGCATTTAGATGGTCACATACTGCGAAGGTTCTGGATGCCGAAGAAAAAAGATTCTTGAGTGCTTTGGTGAAGAGGTGTGTACTTATTTATGAATCAAATCCTTTCACGTTTCATTAAAACCAAGCCGCTAATTCTCTTGATGCAAACAGTTTCCTGTGCGGGAGTGCAAAAAAACGTGTGATGCATGTAAGCATCCAAATCAAGTTGCTCATTGCTTGGAGGAGCTCATGACTACTTCCTCCCGAAGACATAATTCTTCTCGAATTTTCATGACCAGGTTTTTCCTTTAACCACATTTAGATTCACAGCGAGATATACAAAGTCTAACTGAACTCCATACCCATTTTTTTCTGCAAGCTCAAACGATAAGACCAATGAGGGACAGTACTCTGAGTTCTGGAATCATAATGAAGATGGAAGCAATTCCGATGAGGAAATATCAGATTCAGATGGTAACTCATTTTCTTGATATGTTGCACATGCATGTCCAAATCTTTTCGATTAACACTACCTATAGACTAAAAAATCTCTAACTTACGTAAAATTCATCTACACCCAGATGACACTGAGGCTGCCAGGAGCCTAGCAGGACCTAAACTATCGAAAAAGTTGGGACTAGACGAGAAACTGGTTTTACTGGAGCGAGCTGAGGAAGAGTACAACGAGAGGAATAAACAGGTTTGGTAACAGATTCACTTACAAAAACTTAAACATCTTTCTTCTGGTTTAACTTTAGTAAAGCTTATTCAACCATTCTCAGGTCAAAAAGTCAGAGAAGAATGCAATATCTGAAACACTAAGGGAAGCAAGCAAGCAAAGACTCTTGGATGAGCTAAGGCGAGTACTTCAGCTGCTCGGCGGTCTAGAAGAGTAAAAATCTCTTGCATTCTCTTTTTACATATTTTCCACTTAAAGAAGCTTATGGGGCGCTTTCTCTCTTATCTCGTTAATTGGAATCTTGGGGTTTATATTGCAGGATTGATTCACAAAAAGCATCAGAGTTTCTAGAAAACGAGTGCTTTAGAAAATATAGTAAAGCAGGGAAATCATTTTACTACTCACAGATAGCGAGTACTGTGAGATGGTTAGGAACTGCAAGCAAAGACGAGCTAACGACACGACTTAGCATAGTGGTCAGTTTGGTTAGAGAAGAAGAGCCATCAAGAGATTCGATGCCGGTGACTGAACCAACCGAGAACATAATGGAAGAAGACGGCAAGGTTAAGGCAGCCGAGTCAGAGGTCGATGAACCGACACGAGAGCTAGTGGTGAGCCCTTCGCCTATAAGCCTTCCACATATTCCTTCATTCTCAGAGTTTGTTAACCGGAGAAAGGTGAAGCACAACACATCACTTGACAATTCTTGTGAAGATTCTGATGACAAGAAACCGGCAAAGATACTGAAGCTGCAGTGAAGTTGTAGCGAAACTCGGATGTTTTGTCCTGTTCTCTTAATGTTTCACCCGGTTAAACAGATGTACGAAACCTAAACCAATTTAACCGATGTAAAACAAAACTATACTAGAACGAACAGTAAAATCTGTAACTCTGCAGCTTCATTTTTTTTAGATCTTGAAGTTGGTCAACCTGAAACCGTACAAGAATATCAATTCTATTTCCCCGATAAAAAATTTAGTTGATAACGCCGTTGCCGGGGATCGAACCCGGGTCACCCGCGTGACAGGCGGGAATACTTACCACTATACTACAACGACTTTGTTGATTGTTTAAAGAATATTGTCAATTCATTTTTGGATTGATACTAAACCGTACCACTACAAGACTAGATTTTTGGTTATGTCATGATGGTAAAACTTGGCAAGTACTTTGTTCACACCGTAAATTAGGAAACCAAAACAGAAATGAAAACTTGATATACTTCTTTGTACAAACTGAAAAAGGCTTATTTTTTTTTCTTTTTTTCTTTTTTTCATTCCCTTTATCGTCTAAGAAAGGAATTATTACACTGACATATGACAATACTATATATACACATTTTCTACATCAACTCACATGTCACAACCACCACCACCACCAAAGAAAAGATCTACAGATTTCTGCAAAGAAAGTTTAAGAAAAAACAGAAAAAAAGGATTTAAGAAAAATCTACCGCTTTCTTTATCCAAACGCCAACTGCTTTCTTTTCTTTTCCATAAAAAAAACGCTCACTAGTTTCAAAAAGCACACCTATTTATAATCTTTATTCTTATCAATCGTATATTATATAGTTTTTAAGATACGATTCAAGATCTGCTGAGTGGGGAGTTTTACGCTATGAGATACACCTCATGGAGAAACTGGAGACTGAGGAATCTACGGCTGCTCCGGCGAAAACTCTAGCGTGATCGCTTTCCTGACCGTAATCCATCATCGGACGGTACTCTAGATCGTCGTCGTGATCGTACACAAACTCCGGCATCTCTATCTCGTTCCTCCTCACGTGCTCCCACAGATAGTCAACTCTGCTTATGTACCTCAGCTTACCATACAACCTACCGTACCCAATCACCACACCAATAATCAACCAATCAGCAAACGACGTCTTTATAAAAAACCATTTCTAAAAGTATTAAGAAAAGCCGCGCCGCGGTTACTCACCCGCCGGAGAAGAGAAATCGGCCGCAAGTGGCGAGGAAGAGACGGGACTGAAGTCCTGGGTGGAGAAAGTAAACCTCCTGGAGATTGTCTCTGACGTTTACCGGAATCGCGTCGTAGATCGCTCGTAGAGATGAGATTCCGGGGAAATTCTCGCTCCTCTGCACGCCGGTGTGAACGTAGAGCACGGCGAACGGTTTTCTTCCTAACCGAGGAAAGATCTTCTCGTCCAGATACTTCTTTAACACATCCAGTGACAGAAATCGAGCTGATTTGAAGAAAAATTCAAATCAGTTTCTGGAAAAACTCAAACTTAAAAAGGAAACAGAGACAGATCCGATTGTATCAGTACCTGGAAAGAATTTGCCGATGATTCGAAGTATCTTACGACCGCGTTTGTCTCTGCCATGGATCTTGAATATCTCAAGCTTCTCGATCAGCTGCTCTTGCTCAATCTCCGAAATCTGAGTGTTCATCGTTTCTCTCTTTCTCTCTCTCTCTCTCTATCGCTTCGTCGGCTTAATCAGTGAGTTGAGTTAAAAGACGAACAGTAGCGCAAATGCAACGAGTGAACGTGAAGATGATTTTAAAAAGGGCAAAACAAAAAAATTGTATTTATTGGGGAAACGACGGGCAATTACGAATATTCTAAAGCATCTTCCTTTTGACATGATCTTTCTCACCTCTTCGTGGGTCCTACACTCATTACCCTTTTTTTTGTTTGCCGCAACTAATCTGGTCCCTCCATTTTCTCTGCATCTAACGGCTACTCCTTTTTATGACTACTTTTCCCGCGCGCTCTTGGGCGTTACGTTACGCCTCATCACATGTTAAGATATCTATGGATAAGATAATGTTAAGCGTTACTTTGGCTGATCTGTTGTTGAGCAAAACTAAATCGAACTATTATTTGTCTTACAGATCTCTTGTCTATATCTATCCAATAGAATCTTTGATAGTAATAGAAAAGTTTATCTAGTGCGTATGATATCCAACGGATGATAACGGCAAAACTGTGGATCATTAAAATAGAAAAATAGTGAAATACCCAAAAGCACATGTAAGAAGAGAATATTCAAAAGGACACCAATACATTCATCTACATATGTATATCTACACGCATAAATCATATGTATATACAAATACATACACGAGTGACTACTAAATGGCTGCAGATTCTCAAGTTAACAATCTTTAGATGGTGAAATAGTGATGCTGAGGCAAAGGGTAAGAGAGATATTCATGAAGGTATAACTTATACCTCCTATGGCAAGAATAAGCACTTTAATCACTTGCATTTCAATAGAACACCCTATAGCTATCAGGATCAAGAAAGGAGTAAAAACGTGATTCACCTAATACTTTCTGCAATAGTTACAAAATTTACTGAAGTTGATTGGCCTCATTTGGCTGATCAAGGCTGAATCCGGACATCTCCGCTAGTTCAGCAAGTTCTACTTCTCCGCTTAGAACCTAAACAATAAAAGAGGTGAAATAGGAACTGGATTGTGATGAAAATGTACCCACGGATTCAGAGGATTTACTTACCTGACCATTAATGATCCATGTCGGGAATCCTTCGATACCAGCCTCTGAACATGCCTTGAATATCTTAGTTCCTTTCTTATATCCTTCGGGGAAACATTCCACGTAATTCAATAACTTCGCCGCTTCTCTTCCAAACATCTACAAATGGATGGAACTTACATGAAGGTAATAAACTAGTTTCAGGCAAATAGATGATGAATGAACAGTTGAACACTACATACCTGTTTTTGCTCTAAACAGTGAGAACACCAGAATGCTCCATACATTTTCGCTCCAATGGAGTTTAGATGTTTTGCTAAAGCAATAGCATCAGGGCTTGATGATGTAGTGATCTCCGTTGAATAATATGGCAGTTCAATGTCACCTGAGCTGAAAGGAGTGAAAACCAAAGACAGTTAAAAGAATCCACCTCATTTGACTCATTCATCCTAAATGCATATATTTGTTCACTACTTGTTACAAAAGACTAAGAGTTGCCATCGTACTTCAAAACTAAGACTGTGAACCTAGATTACCGTGAAGGGATTGGCTGAGCAGTACTATAGGAAGCAGTTAAGGAGGCAACTACTATGACTGCCAAGCATATCTGCAAGCCTACGACTTGTTTTATCTCTTGAACCTTCACATCCTACCACATAAATGTAATCCGAAGTTTAGATGTCATCTTGAGGCGAAATATAACAAAGCCAACAAATGTAAGAGACTAATATAAAGGGATACCTTGAAAGAGAGGAAAAACAGAGTAAATGATAGGAAGGCAGACACTAAACAGTACGGGCACGACGATCCTGAGAGTTTTGTGCCAAGGATATACAGGAAATATGCACTAGCAGAGGCCATTGCAGTCGAGGTCGCAAATAACGCAAAACGCCCATTGCTCTTACTGATTCCAAAGGGTAAATTCCCTTCTTCCCCAAGCTGCGCACTTAGAGCAGTTACTAAGCCATACATAACAAATCCAATCACTGGCAGAGGAACACCTACAAAGAATGTAAAATGATCCAATCAACTTTCAAACACATTATACCTGCAATGCAAATGTGGGAGAATTCCAGTTTATAAGACAATTTCTACACTCATGACTGCCTAAATTCACACAATTTCAAATTTCCATTGCAAAAAGTGGAGCTACAGTCATTAGAGCAATGGACTATACCGAAAACGACGGCGTAATCGCTGTTCAAGACATCGCCGCAAGTACCACCACCAACAGGGCAAAACGCATCGGAGCCAGTGAGCTTGAGGTAAGTCAAATACGCGGTGTCTAACATCCCAATAACTCCGATTCCGGTATACCAGCTGTATGTCGAACTGTCAGTAGCTAATTCACTTGTGGACGACGATGAGGAAGTAGAAATCGATGGCGCCGAATCTCCACCATCGTCTTGCTCAGACGAAGAACACTTGATCGGAAACACCGGAAACCTCCGGTCAGAGACCTAATTGAGATTATCTGACTTCAAATGACCGATCACACACTAGCACCATCACAGAAGAAACTCATGACAAGAATTTACCTCGAATCGTCTGGGATAAACATTCGACGACGGAGGAGGAAAATCACGGATGCTGAAATGGAACTGAGTGGACGACACTGAAACAAACCTCGCCATCATCGTCGTCGAACAATCGCTATCCCACCACCATTGTTAACTTCATCTTCTTCTCTGCTTCCAGTTCCACCATCTCAGCCACTTTTTTGACTACTGGGCCTAAGGCCCAAATATTGTTTACTTGGATCCATTATAGAGGCGTAAGGTAGTATCCATCCGAGTCAGCAAGTTATCCAATTCAGTCACGAGTCACGACTTACGAGGCCACCGAGTTGGACTTATCATGATCCATTTCCACGACGCATCGGCATCGGCATCGGCATGGCTTACATTTTGGAATCGATATCTATCCAAAGGGACTGGCTGACGTGGCACTGAAAGCCATAATCTTTGTGGCTGTACTCTGTTATATATGGACGTACGAGAAGAAGTAGCTCGAAGCATCTAAGTAAGAAGAAGAAGAGAAAATGGAAGCAATGACTATTAACACACCCTCACGAATTGGAAGCTGGTCATCGGCTATTTCTCCACCTCTGCAGACGTGTGGATCTTTCAAGTCGAAATTACCAACGGCAAATTCAACAAGAAGAGGCGTCGTTGTTGCAGATCTTCAAAATTCAAACTTCCAATGGTGAGCTAACGTTTGGAAGATAAACTCTCTCATTTTTTATGACTATAAACTCTTTTTTTAATCTTTTTTTTTTGTTATTGTTGAAGGCGGAGAGTATCAACGAGTAGAGGAAATGTTGCAGCAGAAGCAGCTAGAGTCCCGACATCGGTACCGGTAAGAGTGGCGCACGAGCTAGCTCAAGCAGGATATCGGTATCTCGATGTCAGGACACCAGACGATTTCAGTATCGGACATCCGTCTAGTGCCATCAACGTACCTTACATGTACAGAGTCGGATCAGGTTTTTCATCGCCAACCTTTAGATTTTCGTCTACAGTTTGAAAATGAAACACTTCAAAAACTAACATCAAATACAAAACGTTGCAGGAATGGTTAAGAACCCGAGTTTTCTGAGAGAGGTCTCGTCTCGCTTCAGGAAACACGACGAAATCATCATCGTAAGTTTTGAATTTTGGTTTATCTCTTGTAACTGGTGAAAAACAGTTAACACTGGTAAAAAATATCGCAGGGTTGCGAGAGTGGGGAAATGTCGTTCATGGCTTCAACTGATCTTCTCACTGCTGTAAGTGTGATTCAGTTGTTAAAACATAGTATCAGTTGTTAACACATAGAAGCGGTTTTAATGCTGCCTCGTGTACAGGGCTTCACGGGGATCACATACATTGCTGGGGGATACGTTGCGTGGACAGAGAATGAGCTACCAGTAGAAGAGTGAAACCAAACACAACCACTCTGTTTGTAAATTCTAGATAAAATAACAAGTGTTTCTGTATGTAAATGTTACGACCGATTAATAAGATTACTCTAGCTTTACTTGAAGGCCGTTAATAGTAACAACGAAAAATCATATATAGCTCATATAATAGCCGCTCAAAAGAGAGAAAAACTTTTCATTTATTAAACTCGCAATGCAAATCAATCTCTGCAGTGGTTCATGTCTCAAAAGAAAACTGTTAACAAAAGAAAAACGTATGAATGGGGAAGAAGAGGAAAAAAGAGTGAGGTTCTACTTTTACTGTTATAAAGAGATCCCTCACCACTACTAGACACAAAAACTGTACAAAGCAAGATTAGATGTGAGCAGAGCTCTATCCAAACCGATCGAACCACAAGTTTTTTCCACAGAGAGTATCAGTGATGCCCTTTTCTTAGGCTTGAAAAGTACCCACCATGTTTGTCCTTGTGTCGTTCCTCATCTCCAACCTGGTGGTCATAACATATTATTGCTCACAAGTCAGACTCGCTCTGGTAATGAATTTACATGGGCAGATAGATGATAAAACAGTTACCTGATGAAGTAGTTGGTTAAGCATCTCTATGATTTCTGCAAAATTGGGTCTTTGAGCTGGGTCCTGTTGCCAGCATTTCTCAAGAAGTTCTGTCAGTTTTGGGTGTGTTTCCTTCGGAATCTTTGGTCGTAGTCCCTGCAAAAGAATCAAGAATCATTGTACTAAAAGCTCTTAAAAGCACAAGGAAAAGAAATGTAAAGTCCTTATGAACATACCTTTTGGACAACGCCTACAGCGGCTTGTAGTGGAGTCAAGTAAGAATATGGGAGCTGTTTTCATTCATTATACACCAGAAGAATATAAATTACAGTCTCAAACGCAGAAATTAACGAGCTTGGCAACTTTTACAACTTCAGTTCCAGAGAGAGGAAAGTAAAGAGACTTACCTCCCCTGTCAAAAGTTCCCACAGCACAATTGCGTAACTGAAGACATCTGCTCTATGATCATAAGGTTTGTGCTCAATAACCTGAGTTATAAACGGAAGAAACCACAGTCGGGTCAATTCAGGCATTTAGCTAGTGAGCTTCCACAGATGAATGTCATGATTAAAACTACATGTCCAACTCTCCATAGACATGCCATTATTTTCATGTACTGAAAGCGAAACACAAAAACGTACGAAAGCAATAATACCTCTGGAGCCATCCATCGATAAGTCCCTGTTTCAGCTGTCATGACCCCTGACTGAGTCTGTACTCTGGCAACCCCAAAATCAGCAACCTTGACAACCTGTTCAAAAAATATGCAGAATAAAGACGTGCACCTCTATTCTAGTAAAGTCAATAGAATTCTGTGAAAACGACCATAGACTGAGGCTTAGCTTACTTCATGTTCGTCCATAAGAAGATTAGCAGTCTTGAGGTCTCTGTGGATAATATTGTTTTGATGAAGATAGTTCATTCCTTTCGAGACGTCAAGTGCCACTTTGAGCAAAGACTGAAGTTTAAAAACGCCTTTTTGTTTGTGAAGAAAATCGTAAATGCTCCCTCGAGCCATGAACTCTGATACAGAAAGATAAAAATTAGTGGACTGTGCAAACATTTGAAAGCCAAAACTGGTAAATGAAATGCTGTGGGGATTAAAAAGCAATAACCTACAAGAACCTCACTGTCACCAAGCATGCGGATACAAAACAGACAGTAAACAAACGATACAGATAGAACCAGTCTCTTATTCAGAATCTACTGAGAACTTACCCGTTACAATGCAGAGGTTTGGAGATCGTGTGCATGCACCGATAAATTGGACCACATTTTTGTGTCGTACTTTCCTACAATAGAAAAGTATCAATATTAACCGTCCCCAAAGAACAATCAGCATCTAAAATATGCACTTGGCTACTTTTTACAGCATAAGAGATTTTGACTGAGAAAGTTATCACACGTCTGTGAATATAATGTATTGCAGTCACATTCTAAGAGTATGAGTCACAGTGTGAATTGACTGAAATATACCTCATTATATACACCTCCTGAGAAAACTCTCGAAGCATTTCAGCATTTACACGCTCAGGCTTGAGAATCTTGATAGCTACTTCCTGACTGCAATACGTTCCTCTATACCTGCATAGACATCCAAGAATCTATATCAGTTTACTTCCTCACATAAACTGCCAGTATATGAAAAAAGTAGAGATGTTTGGAACGAAAGAACTCACAGTTCCCCATATGATCCACATGCCACTTTCTTTCCAATTTTGAGCTGTTTCATGTCAATTTCCCACTCATCAGTTCCATCCGTAGGTATTTCAACACAGGCAGGTACCAGCTCATTGGTGGATTTGTCATGCTCAAAGAAAGTAATTGATTTCTGTTTCGAATAAGGTTGATCCTGCAGAGCAGCCAGTGTGGAATATGGAGAGAGGACAACTATCAAAAGTTGATGCAAAACATAGCAACAAAACATCAGTACAACGTCACCCTAATTTTTGGGGTGAGCTAATGCTAAAGCATTATTTTCGTTTTCAGATTTCAGATTTCGAATTTGGAATGAGGCATGGAGAGAATATGATGAATCTCACGAAGATAAGAAATGCTCACGAGTCATGTCAATAAAAATGTAAAAGATACCTTAAGCTTCCGTATCTCCTTCCTCAATGCATCCTTTAAACCCTCTGTTTCCTGTATTTCCAAAGTGCATAAACTTTTCTTAACCAGCTTCGTGATGACAGGAACAGTAAGCTCGTTTATATCTTTCTAGGCCATTCACTTAAATACATCAGTGACAAGTAACATGCAGAAAACTGAAAATATACCTCTTGCGCCCAACCATCAACAACGAAGACATCCAGAGAGTAACCATCCGCTGTAGAGAAAGCATGAGCCTCCTGAATATTCAATCCAAGTTCACCAAGCATGGAAGTTAACTGGAACAAAATATCTTTTCCCGCTCAGATAGTGATCAACCATTCTTTACATGACAGTCTCTAATCAGCAGAAATGAAATGTACGTATTTGTCTTATCATAAACATCACTTCACTCTACAGAAGAGCAACTTTGCCAATATAGTAAATCCACCAACCTGACTAAGGAGTTTTGGCTTGTCAATGGTGGAAAAGGTGATTTCGTGCATCGGTCTATAAGATAGGCAACAAAGGATAAGATCACCGCACATGGTTGTATAATAAAATCAGTTTTAACCTGAAAAACATGAGAGCACGATCCCATGCTACAAAGAAATTATATGCAGACAAGAATGGAGAAAATACAATGCAACTCAAGATATTTTAACTTTCTTCAGAACTCTCACCGAGAATTAGGCAACTGTGCATTGACAGCACTATCATCGTCTTCAGTGTGATCTTTGTAGGCTTGTGCAAGAGCCTCGAAATTCGGAGAAGAACCAAAAGTTGGAGGTGCAAGAGCCCTGCTCGAGTGGTATGAGCTTTGAGCATCTTCCTTCACCGCAGGATCTGAAGGATCAGCCTCAGCAGAATGTCCATTAACTGTTGGAGAAACCTGTAAAACAAGTACCAATTAATTCAGCAAAGGATAATGCAGTTCCGAGCAAAGATTTCATCATCAAGCTTTAGTGGCAGATGCTTAAGTTACCTGTACACAACGAACTTCAAATACAGGTCTAGTTGCAGGATCTTCAGCCAATTTCAACAATCTCTGATGCGTTAGTACATCTTCTGCTCTCTCAACATTTACATCCAGCGCATATCTACACAAAAATAAAATGCCAAAACACGAGAAAATGGTCAAACAAATTGTCAAAAACTAGCAAACCTACAAATACACGTGTTGAGAAACGGGAGAAGAAGCAAACGAAGACTCAATTCTCTTCAAACTAATAAAACTACAAATCCATTTCAGGATGAGACAGAAATTCGCCGATGTCCATGAACAAAGGATCATGGAAGAGATTTCAAAAACTAAGTAAACAAACAAGTTGCAAACACTAATCATTGATCCAAAAACTAAAACTTAGTAAGGAAAACCACTAATCAGACAGGTTAGAGCAGAAATAGAAGAGATATACCGAGCAGGAAGACGATTGAAATGGAGCCAGAGCTGATCATCGAAATTAGGGAAATGAGCTTCTTCGTAATTGGATTCCTGGATTCGCTGTAGAACCTCGCCGTACACCTCGAGCTTCATACGATGCTGCCTAGGGTTTTCCTTAGTTACAGAAGCCACGACGGCCCTGCTTCCGCAGCTCTCCTCAGTCTCCTCTTTGATCGCCATCGGAACAGAATCCACGAGGAACGGCGGATCAGAAACGAATTAAAACAGCTCCAGTAAACAGAGGAGAAATCAACAGGAGCGATCTCTTCGATCCAAAAGCACCAAAAAGGAGAATGATCCAAGATTCAGGTAAAGGTGAAAAGACGAGGAGAGAGTGAAGGAGAAAGAGAAATTGGGGGAGAAGAGAGAGAGATGGTGTTTCGGTTGAAAGCCAGGGAGGACATGAACGTTTCGTTGTGTAACACGTAGGGATTGTCCACGTCATCATGTGGTGTCCACATAGGTGTGTGGGTCACGGGAATCTCTGTATTTTTTTTTTTTTTTTTAAGATAATCTCTTAATGGATAATGGACAGTGTTGCTTTTTGGCTGTGAGAAATAATGTATGGTGGTGTTGCTGTTTAAGAAGAAAAAGAAAAGAACATAGTGGTGCTTTTTTTGTAGCTACTATATGATACAAGTACAACTATGATGATGGAAATGTTTAGTATTTTATCTCACAATTTATCGTGTTTTTGGATGAACAGAAGATGGCTCCAATTAGCAAAACCATTTGGTTAAATGTTTTTATGTGAGTTTCATACTCTAATGGTCACAACATGACAACAATTCATGAATGATGAATCAACATGTTGAACAAACTCATTTTTTACATATATTTGCATTCATGACAAAATCATTCAAGGGATATTGAGATTTGACATATCTCCATCACGTTACAGCTAGCACGGATAAGACCAAAGTTTCTTGGCCGAAAATAACTCAATAAAAGAGATGTTACGGTATGAAAATAGAGTACCTCATCATGTACTTCGATTTCATCTCTTATCTATTAATGTGTCATGTGTGTGTTAGATTAAAGCAACTGGATCTTGTCATGAAACCTTCTTCTTCACTGCTTTATTTGAAATGATTTCGTAATGTAGATCATCGATTCCGTTACCAAGCATGGCGCTCTTTGTTGCTCCTCTTCTTCTAGTTCTAATATTACTAGGTGATCCACCGGGCTACACCCAGTTATATTATATATAAATTTATATAGGGTAGACATCATTTTTCTTTCAGTTAGCAATTTATTTTCTAATAGTTTTGTTCTTTCTACCTTGTTTAGTTACTCTGTAAAATATATCAAAAATTCAAAAAAATTGGTTGAATTGAACATCTAATTCCCCTAAAAAAAAACTTAGTAGGTTATATGAAACTAAAGAAAATGTGTTTTCAAAAATACAAACACAGCAAAGTGATAAGTCGAAGTATTAGTTTCCACACACACAAATAGAAGTATGAATAAATTTGGGAATTACCTTATTAGGGATTTGCAGTTGTCATAGTAAGACCTCTATTTGCTGACGAAAAAAAAAAAAACCTTTGTTTAGGAGTTTGCCAATGTATGTTCACAAACATGAAGTCTCCAGTTAAGCCCTTACAACAATAGCTAAACCACCTAAAGAGTTCAAAATAAAAATAAGCCAACAAATAATTATAGACACACTCGCATTCAATCGACAGAACATGAAATTTAAAATCTAAAATCTTTAAGTGACATTATTTTTCCAAGACGGATATATACTGTGATTGTAAACCATATAATTTTGAATTAAAATTGTTTTACAGGTTTCATATTATTGTTATTTTTTTGTATATAAGATCAGTAAAAATACAACTTTTTAGATATAATATTTTTTTTGAACTCATGTTCTCTTTTTTCATTTCGTTTGTATTATTTGATTTTTTTTTTAATTGTTTCTTTTTGCTGTATTTGTGTTCTCATAATTCTGAACAATCTTGTTTGATAAGACAATGTCTTAGGTTACGGTACATATATTTCAATAAGTTGAGATGATGTTTATTTTAGTTCGGGAAAAAAGAAACTGTATGGTTTTAGTTTATGAAATTTATGTTATAATTATATGTGAATCACCCACATGAAGTTCGATAAAATTGTAGATAGTTTTCCATTGTAAAAATATGTGAAGTAAATTTGCATATTCAGATGTAGTATTCCCCATTCATGGCAAAACTATTATATTTCCGTCTTGTATTGTTGTCTCTTAAATGAGAACTTTTTGGCTCTAATCACGGCTGATGGTAAGGCATTCGATAACTCTGGCTCTGATTTCATCTCTTTGCTGGTTGCTCTTACTCTTCGCTATGTAAGGTGGTTTGGTTCTCATATCCTTCTATTTCTCCCTACTTTAAGCTCGTTCTCTTTTTATCCTTTTGGTTTTGGAGTTCTGGTTTCAATAATTTTTTGGCATTTGTCCCTTGATGGTCGTCAAGTCAAGGATAAAATTTTCATATACGTGGTTGTCTTTGTTGCCTGATTTTGATATAAGATGATGATCATACACACTATTTAAAAGATAAGAGTTCTATCAGCGCAGCCTAGATCATCAACCGTAGTTGCTTCGTGTCTTCTTTCTTCGCTGGTTTCGCACTGTATCAAACAAACAACCAAACATGACCGTTACTGTGGATGTTCAGTGACAATATGGTGTACAGAAGATCTTTAGAATGTGTGGTACCTGGTGGTGAAAGCCTGGCTAATAGATATGTCCTTTATCCTCTACAAATTGATAAGATCTATAGCTTGAAAGTTGAAACTGCAGTAAAAAGATTAATGACTTATATCGGTGGTAAGATCGACCAAACAAAAACAAAAAAGGCTTATCTCACCACCATTTCTAAGACCATGTTGATAGTCTTTTTCTTTACGTAGCTAAGGAATCTGAGACGTAAGCGGAAATTGTAGTCCAAGTCTGAGATTACAAAAATAAAATATAGTTGAAAGCAAGTTTAATCATGAAGGTAGAAGACTTATAAAAGCTCAGAGAGGCATACCATAGCGTGTATCACCATGATTTGTCGACTGTAGTTAAACTGTGGAAAAAACAGAGGAAACATACTGATGCTGAGATTAAGAGTGAAAAGTTTAAATGGTATTGCTAAACGGAGGTTGATAACGTAGTATAGTAAAACAAAACAAAGGGAAATAACTTTTTTGGAAATGGGAAATACTTAACTTAGGATGCTTTTTAAAGATGAAATTTTCTGTAATTTGGAAAGCAAATGTAGTTTCATGAAATAAAATCGCATGCACATTACCAAAGAGAAAACGATGAAACATGGAACATAATTAGTGGAGAGATACAATTTAGAGAACTTATCATTCTCTTTCTAAATAGAAAACAATCCTAGACCTAGAGGAGGAAACCACTTTGAACAAAATAAACTGTTCTTTTGAGAAGCAAATGAGGAGAGGAAGAGTTAATAAACAATATCCATAGGTTATGGATTTAGGGAAGATCCATAAACCATGACAATCAATTTTAAAAGAAGCGTTTAAAAGGATTTGTTTAAATACGGGAGATTACCTTGATGGCATTGGAGAAGGTGAACATTAACCTCCATTGTCTTTCACCTTTTAAATAGGAGAAAATAACTTTGAGCTTTCTACATTAGCTATACAAATTAGACGAAACAAAACTTCAGCAATATTATTCTTCAAATTTCAAAAACCATTTTTATCCAGCGCTTGAAGAAGAAAACAATAGTGGAAAGACACAAACCTTTGTTGAAATCTATAGAGAAGGGGTTAACCATAATTATGACAAACATACACATCTCTGATCATGTAAACAAAACAGTCGATAATTCATCTGGTCATGAGAAGGAGTAATTCAACAGGAAATCGTAGACCTGAACAAATGACAAAAAAAGATAATTAAGAGAGATATGATAAGCCTTCATTACCTGCAATTTGGTCGCTGTTTTTGAAAGAGATCAGCTTTCCTCTCCTCCATCGATCCCCATCGCTCTTCGCCCATGTTAATCAACCTTTGAAAAGTTAACCAACAAAATATTTCAAATGATAAAGCCCAACTATTGACAACATGTACACCCAAAATATCCATCGAAACAATACAAATCACTTGTACGACAGCAGATTGGACTGATCTCTGATTTCTAAACAGTACGATACAATTCATTTTTGGTAACGACAGGTGTTCTAAATTAGGATTTGGAAACTAAGAATAAAGTTTAAGAATCTTACTCATGAGAATATGATGAACGGTGGAACATAATTAGAATTAGAGATAGGAATTAGGAAGCGATGCTTTAAAGTGGACTGAATTGAGAAAGTAATTAAAGATACCTTTAAGCAGTGATAGATGAAACGTCTTCTAACTGGTAGAAGATGAATGCCGTTGCTACAACAGAGAAGGAATCAGATCGTTATCAAATTCGCAGAAAGAAGATGGATTGGTTATGCCGTGGATGCTCTCAGGAAGACCTCTTTCTCCCTCTGATCAAGACTCCAAATTGTTCACTTCAGACATTCCAACCTCCATCACCAGACCGAAGCTCCACGTTCTGTAAACGGACTCCTCCGTATGAAGACCTCCAACCCGAAATCAGAGACGAAGAATCAAACTCGAAGAGTTTAAACTCGAAGAACCCTAAGCGGAAGGAAAAATAGAGGAAATGTCACTGAAGAGGATTTGAAAAAAAAGTGAATATTGTCGTCAGATCAGATTTGGAGACAATCTTCTTTCCTCTCTCCATCTTTGAATCCAGAGCAGACGAAACGAAAATATCGAAATCGAAAGGTTAGAAAAAGTAAATTACATTGAATTTTGTAATTGAATGAAGACAAAGAAAGAACCTCTATAAACTAATACTCATAAATTAATATTTCAATAAATGAATAGAATTTTCAAGTTCCAAATTCAGTTTTTGTCTAACTATCTCTCGATAAATTAGTAATCTCGTTAAAGTAATAATATATTATGATCTCAACGTTATTACTCAGTAAATTTGCAGGGAAGAAGACGAAGAGATTAAAGCATGAATAATGAAGCGAGCATTTTTTTTTGCACAATGCCACGTGGTATGGTGAGAGCTACTTTGGAATTGCTGACGTGGGTAGCCTCTGAAGCGCTGCTTTCATTAGTATAGATAGATAGATAGTGTGGTCTAAAACCCATGTTTTCCCAATCTTAACGAAGGGTTGGGTTTGGGCCTAAGAATAAGTTTGGGTCTTTCAAAATTATACTTCAAACTTGTTTAAGTATTGACAGAGCATATTCATTAGAACTCTGTGGCACACATTTGCTTTGATATGCAAATAAATTGATTAAGTTGATCGGCGAGAGATATGCAAATGATATTGGTAAAGCTAAAGTGGTTCGCAAAGTTGGGATAAAATGAAATTTACATCCGTAGGACTATATAATAACCATGTCCATATCTAGGTTCGGTAATTACAATCACAAAATTTATTTGAAACAACAAAAACAAGTTATATTCTTTTTGTCAAGAAAAAAACAAGAAGAGAGGAATATTACACAGCTGTGAAAGGAGGCGTGATGACGTGGCAAAAGCCAATCAAGTAGGAATGATTGGTCACTATTTCTCTTCTTCCAGAGTCCAGATATTTTATTCCCTTCCACCAGTTCATGCTGACGTTCTTTATAACTAATTAGACTAATCAAACATAACTAATTAGACTAATCAAACAATATCATGGTTGGTAGTTTTCAGGAGACGAGCTGAATCCTAGAGTTAGTAAGAAAAATAATACGAGTACTACGTACAGATCAAATAATTAGCTCAAGAAATGAATTAGATGACCGTAAGATGCGGAAACCGTAGGATATGACAACAATCAGAGGAAGACACGTGTGAGCAAGAGATAAGCCGTTGTCTCGTCGGGTACGCAACGCTAAAACCACCTGAGACGCGTTTTCTTGTCGTTGTTGTATGGAGTATCAAATACGGAGAAAAATATCAACGAAAAAAATGATTTGGTTTTCATTATTATATCTAACAAAGCCAATTTGAACATTAACCTCTTAACATACGAGAATTGGTATAGACAAAAAGACAACTATTCCACCATTTTAAACGATTTAAGACTTCTAAGTAACAATGATCAAGCGTAGTTTGAAATTATTTTATTGGCGTAAGTACACAAGCCAAAGGAACTAAATGATTTTCTTGGAGAATATGTGAAATAAAAAAAGCGGTTAATGACGTTTAACGTCATCGCATCATCATTGCTCCACCACTCCTCTATTTATAGTTTTTTTCATTTAATTTTTTCCTCTCCTCTCTTTTCACATTTGGTCCCTTCAATTTTGCTTCTTCTTCTTCCATTTGGTCCCTTCAAAATCGTCTCTCCAGAGAACACAACAAAAGAAGAGAAGAAAACATTCAAGTGTGAAGAAAGGAAGTAAAGAGAAGAGAGCAAAAGGAAAAAAGAGATCAAAAGATGGGGCAATGTTCATCAACGACAAAGATGAGAAGAAAGAAGAAAAGGGAAGAAGAAGGTTGCAGAGAATCAATGGAGAGGAATAGAGGATGTTTAGCGATGGTGAAGGAGAGGCGTTCTAGGTTTTATATCGCTAGAAGATGTATTCTAATGTTGCTTTGTTGGCACAAATACGCCAATTCTTGATAAGGTTTGTGTTATATATTGTTCAGAACTCAGAAGTAAATAAACACGCACATATGTCTTTTTGACTCCATAGCTTTTGTCTTTGACATTTTTGTTGGCCGAGTTTGAAATTGTGAAAAAGCTCAAAGATTCTGATCACATAAGATATGCTAATTCACTCAAAACAAAGTAGCCTAGAGAAAGAACAGAGAATCTATTACAGTTTTTGTAGATTTCACTTCACTGGGCAACACACAATCCCATAGCAACAAGAAACCAAAAATGTCGGCAACATAGTCTTTGTGATATATTAAGGATGATGATCAATTACACAGCCTAAATCAACAGAGAAGTTTTTGAATTCATTTATCAAGAGAGTGAAACAGGTCATCTGGAGCCACGGGGTTGATACCTTCTCTCTGACCTTCTCTCAGGGCTTCTTCCATAAGGCGAGTAAGACCGATCTCTCCTAGAACTTCTTCCACCACGAGGTGAATGATCACGTCTTGGTGGTGGTGACCTCCGATGTCCGTAATCATCACGATCATAGTGCCTTCCTCGACTGCTACGCTCTTCTCGGTCTTCTTCCACAACAACAACAAAAAGAAAGATCACAGAAGAATTAGCAATCATTTCATTTGTTAATAGACTCAAATAATACTAAACAGAGAAGGCTTGTTGAGGTCTTCACTAACCACTGTCTCTGGAGCTTTTCAAGCCAAGGTAGTGTCCTGGGGTGGGAGTTCTTGGGCGCTTTCTTCTGGACTGGAGATCATACAAAGCACGTAAAACCTCATGAAATGGGCACAACTTCAAGTTACAAAAGCCACAGGTATATTCAAGGAAACGAGATGCATCCTAGGCTGGGGAAACACTTTGACTAATAGTTGTTGATACTTGAATAATGTCCTTTGATTAGTTGAGAGGCTATCTAGTTGCTTATGATAAGTTGAATCAGATCATTTGGAACAGCTGTTTAAGCTGGCGATTGGACTGATTGTTGTCAACACTAGCTTGACGCAATACTTTCTGAATGGTCAGAAAACCTCCAAGTTAACAACTAAAGATATCAAACATATCATATTGCCACCCAAATCAGTAGAGAGTGAGAATTTTACCCTTTCGACAGTTATGTATCGGCCTTCTAGCACAGAGTGGTTGAGATACTTAATGCACCGCTCAGCGTCTTTGAGGGTATCCATTGTAACAAAGGCGAAACCTCGAGACACACGGGTGCGCGGCTCCATCACAAGAAAACACGACGCAACCTATGCAAACAGTTAACTACATGATCAAGGATTGTATGCTCAAAAAATGCAGAGACAAGTAGGAGAATCGGCTTTAGATTAAATCACCTTTCCTTCCTTGGAGAAATGTGCTTCAAGATCCTTGTCAGTGACTCTTGTAGATAGGCCAGTCACATAGAGAGTAGTACCGGGGTTTTCAATATCAGACCTATCAAACCAAAATGCAAACATTAGAAACCATCAATTCAATTCCAGACTACAAAACAGTGCAAACTCAGATGGAAAAAGAAGAAGCTAGAGCTAACCTTCCACGGCTTCTTGACCTTGACCTAGTAAGAGTACAGAAAATGAAAGAAGATTACTACACAATATCCTTCTGATTCGTTTTTAGTGACAAACGAAAACCCTTGAACTGAACGCAACAACTAACCTTCCACGGCTTCTTGATGGAGATATGGGTCTCGGTAAGGATCTTGACCTAGACCTCTCCCTCGCCGAGTGCCTTGGTAAAGACCTTGACCTAGACCTCTCCCTCGCCAAGGGCTTTGGCAAAGACCTTGACCTAGACCTCTCCCTCGCCAAGGGCCTGGACCTGGATCTGGATCTAGATCTGGACTGGGACCTGGCTCGTCCTCTCCGAGGTGAAGGAGATCGTGAATCCCTGATACAGAAATCGAGAAAAAGATTACACAACCCGTTTACAGAAATGGTTAAGCTGTAACATCTTTCACTAACACTTCCTAGTTCGAATCACCACCTAGCAAAGCTTAATATCAGTCCTATGAGCTAAAATGCATCAGCTTAAACTCAAGTACAGAGAAAAAAAAACTCCAAAATTAGATCTCTAAGAAGTCAAAATTCGCAAATCCATTCGTCAGATTCACATCCTACGCAAGTGTAATTGAAATTCAACATTGTATAAACGTGTACAACACTAAAGAGCTAGAAGTATCAGAATTAACAGCAATGAAGAAATGAAATTTTGAGAATCTAACCTTCGTTTAGGAGAATCCGCCTGCAAAACGAAGTAATTACATCAATTTCTTCGGAATTATCAAATCAACAAAAAGCGTAACGATTGATGGTCACAGAAGCTTACCATTGCTAAAGAAGCGGTGGAAAACTCCGGTAGCGATCGAGACGGAGAGATTTAGGGTTTTACTGTAAGCAACAAGCGTAAAATCAGCTTTCCTTTTCCCCCTTTGTCTTACAGATGAATTTTTTTATTCTTTAAATCTTATATTACACGAAGTACCAATTGTATGTGGAAAGACTCACCTTTCTTATGGTGCATTCTGCAACAAAACCCGGTTTTTAATTAACGGTTCGATTCGATTTTCGCTACAGTACCGGAAACTATCCGCGAAGAAACACAATTACAAAGTGGATCCAATCTGTGATCTGTCTATGAATATTCGGTTTTGGTTCGGTTTAACAGAACCGAATAGGCACTTATCCAACTGAAACTAGAAAACAATTTATTCGAAAAGCAGAATAATATCCTTATTAATATTTTGCCTCCACAATCCTCACTCACTCTACTCTTTGAACCACAATATTTGACAACAATCACAGAAAGAATAAATAAAACAACAGTTAAATGTACAACTCACACAACATTGGCAGTTTTTTTTTTCTCAGGATCAGAAGAAACCCTTAAAAAAAATGCTGAGATTTACACATTAACATTAACATTAAGATGAACATCAACATTACGTGGTTAAAGTATCAGGGAGAGCCATGGAATGAGCTCCAATGATCTTGCCACCAACATCTGGGAAACTGTCGTAATCAGGAAGCGAGCTCACTTTACCATCAACGTCTACTTGTAGAGGATACTTTATCAAGTGACCTTGTAGCTCCGAGAACTCCGAGTCTATGAACTTTTTCCAGTTTCCTTCAGAGATCTCGTTCACGTTCTTCACGCATTCTAAATCTCCTGGCTCCATAAACTCATCTCCAGTTTTCCCTAAATGCTCTGCCCATAGTGACATTCTGTATCCATACACCTGCGGATAGAGATCATCTCAACTATCATTATCCTTTCAATCAGATTCAAAATATAGCAGAAACATAACTTATTAAGAATCTAAAATGGCCTCAGGGTCAAATAGGAACGTATGTCTTTCTTTACTAATCTAGGATTCATGACCTTGAAACTTGTTCCATGTAGATATAGATTCTAGAGACACTTTTGAGGAGGAAGGCAAACCTGGCCACGTGGGTGTTTTCCCTTGTCAGCCCATGTATAATGGGGTTGATATGCGCCCATGGCTATTTCGGTATCTTTCGTGCCAGCCATTGATCTTTGGTTGATATTAGCAGATCCCATGAGAACATACTCATCATCTACTATCATCCCCTTTGCGTGCACGTAAATCATGAACCGCTGGAACTTATAAGAATCCGATACCTGAAGATGCAGTAAGAACAAACCATAAGGAATTTGTTCCTGATTACTACTGGAAAGTGTGTATATATATCTGTGAGCTAGAGTTTAAATCTTATACCACAGTGCCATTGGTGGCTGGCATATATACATCTGGAAGTTTCTCTCGTTTACCAAGGCAATAAAAGTTAAGGTAGTCTTGAGGATGAGCATCTGACTGCACCGACTTCAGTTCTCGTGCTATAACATCATACATCATCTGCATAGTTTGGCTCTGCAAACGAAGATGTTTTTAACAGAAGTGTTAGTTTCTCTTGGAATGAAATAAAAGAATTTCTTTTAATATCAGAGGTAATCTTTTACACTCAGCCAAAAGTCTTACCTGCCAATATAGAATTTCTTGCACAGGTCCGGACTTTGGGTCGCCTTCAGGCCACAATGGTATGACGACATATACAGCAAATCTTTCTTTAGCTCTGATTTTACTAACAATCTTAAGTGCCAACTCCATTGGAATAAGATTGTCAGCTCCTGCTCATTCAGGAAGAACACAGAGTCAGAAAATCCACGGCAACATTTTATTTCCTAGTCTAAGAACAGTCCTCAAAGATCAAAACGTACCTGCGTATTTATAAGAAGGCCAGGCATAAGAAGAACCAAGGAAATACTGATTCTCGATATATATGAAATGCTGAGCCGATCTGATTGTCTGGATGTATGCAGTCTGGATGCTTTTATCTACTACAAGACGCTTGGCACACTCCATATGCTGCAGTATAAATATATAACTTTGAAGATTTAGTAGTGGCTACATTGGCTTAATAACATCAATTCCATTGAATAACTGGTGTTTTTTGTCAAGCAACATTAGTAATAGTAGCAAAGAAGTTTAACTACAAACCTGGGCCTTAGCCTCATCTTCATATTTTGGAAATCCTTTCACGGATCCTGAGTCGATAGAACGGAAAACCTGAAAGTCAAAGAAACCGCATGATTAAACTAAATCAAACCAACCAAAGTTATTACACGAGAAATATACTGTGGAAGGAATCTGGAAAATACCTGACAATGCCAGTTCTCAGGATCATCCTCTTTGGAAACATAAACAATTGGATCGTCCTCTGGAACAATTGAAGTACCATCCTTCAGATATTTAAACACTGGGCTTAGAATCCATGAGATACGTCCTATCCGGATCAAAGCATCATCTTGCCAGTGAGTTTTCCCCTTCAAACGTAAGCTAAACTCTTTCCATCGTGTTGCCTTTCTCCACCTCTGCTCAAAGTTTATGAGAACATCATACGCCGCAGGCCCATCAATCCTACAGTGCAAATCGTGCCAAGGTTGTCTTGGAGCCTTGGTACCAGCCTGAGGAAGGAGAAAACAGAATAAGAATCAGGAGTAAGTTAAAGTAATTAGGATTCTAACTTGAAAAATAACCAGCTAGTAATCATACACTTACCGGAAATGTAGGATTGTGAAAATCATCCTTGAATACAGTTTCGAGGTCGTTTAATATCCGGTGCTCAGGTGTGTCATAGCGGCCGTCACAAAGATCGATACCTCCAATAAAAGCTGTGACCTTCCGGTTATTACCAACAGCCTGAGTGTCTACAAGAACACACTTCTGATGGTGGGTGAAGAGAGTGCCAACAACCTGAGAATTAAACAAAGAACTGAACATGAGAGATGATAGCTATGCCAAAACCCAAGGGCACAACATTTTAATATCAGATCCATTAACTAAGCCAATAATTTGAAGAGCTATCACATGACTTGCCTGTTGTTTGAACAACCCAAGCTTACTGCTGGCATAGCGAGGTGACAATACGCATATCACAGAAGAATGCTTGAAAAACTTCCTAGTCTCTTCATCATGTGTCCCCATAACTCCAGCCTGCAAAAAGAAAGCCAAATAACCTTATCAAGACATAGAAATCTCACCAGAAAAACTTCAAACTTGGCACTCAGCAAGAAAGCTAATTGCGATTAGCAAACTTTGTAAAACACTCACCGTGCTTATCCCAAACTTATCATGAGAAGTCTTATCGTCCCACACAAGAAGCAAAACTCGAACACCTTCCTCCGATTTGTATTTCAGCAATTCACCAAGCGTCAAATCACCACCTCTTGGTAATTTCCTTGTTGGTTCCCTAACCAGCTTCACCTTGTGGAAGACAGACCAGCCAACAATGTAAATCATATGGTGAGCCTCGGAAACGGCATAGCATATATCTTCCCAGCACTTCCCGTGCTGGTAAACCTCCCCATTGTCCAACGCAATCTCCGGCAGCATTCCGTCCATTACGTGAGCGTCCTGGTAAAGCCTCACCTGACTTCCTTTCCTCACAGGGAAATAAGTCTTTTTAACACCTTTACGCTCCGGATCTCCGGGGATCCCAGTTCGATAGGATTGGATCTGATCGAACGGAGTGAATTTCATATCGATGTAAAGAGCTGTTTCCTTTTTCGGCGGTTTTCCCGATGCGCCGAGTACCGGGAACCAACCGGAAATGCGTTCGCCGGATGCGACATCCCGAGCCGGGATCTTAGCTGTCCCGATGATCTGCGCGCCGAAGACGTCGTCGTCCTTGACCTGGAACTCGAGGTAAGCCAGCGGATGCGCCACGGAGATGTTGAAATGCTCGTCCCAGAGAGGATCCTGGGCGTTTTTCAAAACGCGAGTCCGGGCAAGCGTCGCCTGAGGGACGACGACGGTGACGTACGGATCGCTGGTGATAACCCTCCGGTGGCCACGGATGTTCCTATCACCGGATTGGCCTCCACCGTCTCTGTCTCTGGGATCGTGATCATCTATCGGTGTGGTACAGGCGTTACAAGCCGTGAAGCAACGGCGCATATGCTCTGAGAACATATCCATGTTAGGTAATCTCCTCGCCTGAACAATTTTCAAATCGAGGTCACCGTGTAACAGCATCACATCCTCCGATACTTTCTCCGCCATGTTACAAATCAGGCGGAGGAAAAGAGGAAGGTGAAGAAAAAGCTAACAAAAACCGAAAACCCTAACGAACAGGGCTCGGTTGTTGTAGCTGCAGAGACGAAAGACGAATTTGAAAGTTTTTTCTTTTTGTTTTTGTTAAATCGATTGAGTGAAAAGTCCTTTTTTTTTAGTAAGTAAGAAGATATTTATTATTTTTAGGTGAAATGATTTGAGAGAGAAAGAAAGGGAAGGAAGAAGAAGATGGGACACGTGGAGGCACGTCGTAGTGGAAGTTGGTGGGTCGCCGACGACATGATTTCGTGTAGATCTGAGAGAGTAGCCGTTGCACACGTTCTTCATTTAGCTTCTCTAATTGGTAAGAGTAGGCTTACACTTTGCTTAATTTAGTTCACAAGATCTATTGCTGATGAAGTTTGGTTTTAGAATGTTATCCCAGTTTTTTTTCTACAACTTTCATTTAAAGCAATTTAATAATGGTGAATTGAGAATGATGATGTGCAATGGTCTTCTTTGTGTTCAGACAAAATAATGCAAAAGGTGAGTCAAACACACAGCAATGCGAATCTTATAGATGCATTTACAATATCATTGATTAATTAATTCTTCGAAAACATAAATTATTAAAAGATTGGGTACATGATGAATCCCATAAAATGACAATTCTTTAATGGCGGGTACAACGAGAAATAAATTGAATAAAACAAAACTAAGACCATATCATATTTAACTTTAAATGAGGATAAAGTTTTTGATAATTTGGAATTCTTTTTCTGAAATTCCTTATTGGAAAAGTGCAGTTGTTTAAAAAGTCGTCACATGCCCCAATCACTGTTGTCGGAAACAAGGAACAAAGTATTCTCGATTCAAACCTACTCAATCAAGCAACAGTAAGAGAATCCATTCATGCGTTACAAATGAACCGTTTCACATGTTTTACTTTCTGGAAAAAATGAAAAAAAGCAGAGAGAACTCAACGAAAAGCCCAAACTTTATAATGATATTGTCTATATTGTTTTCCTTTTGGAGTGAGGACGGATAGCTTTATGGGCAAGTTTAGAACAATTTACAAATCACAAAAGAACAGGATTTACTAATAATACTTTCGTCATAAAGTTTCCAACAGAAGACCACTTTGAAACGGTTTCTTCTCTTCCTTTTCTCAGCCTCAACTGTCTCTGCATTCAGTCTCCTGCTCTGTGCTGGTTACACGAAATGACATGTGGCTAGGCTTGTGAGCTACTAGGAGTTATAAAGTCAGTGGTCCAAGAGATTTAGAGGTTACCTCTTCTCTATATCTTTCAAGGGTTGGTTTTATTATCCTTGCTGGCATCTTTACCAGTCTTGTCAGTTTTATCCCCCTCACGTGGTGTGAACTGGCCTGTGGATGATGGTGAATAACCGGGGAGTGTTGGTGAGTAACCTGCGCTTGGGCTGTAGTCAGGGCTCGCTCCTGAGCTGTATGGGCTGAGACAAATTAAGAACAACTACCCGGTTACACTTTTTGCAGAATTCAAATGCTTAAGACTACAGAGATCGTAAAATTCTCCAAATGAGATTTTGATGTACACAACAGACTATAGAGAGTAAAAATTCAACCTGCTGGGACTGTATGTTGGACTTGATGGCGAATAAGATGGAGACGTGGGGGAGTATGATGGTGATGTCGGGCTGCAGTGTAAAGTTACAGAGTTATGATTCAATATCAGAAACGATACTAGAAGCTCATAGAAGAAGACACCAAAAGGCGGGTTGCTTACCTGTAGTTTGGAGATGTAGGACTGTAGGGGCTAGATGGTGATAGTCTTGCATTGCTAGGGGAGTAAGCCACAGCTGGGGTGTATTTTGCAGACTGAGGGTTGTAGCTTGGAGACGTAGGACCGTAGCTCGGTGATGTTGGGCTGTAACTTGGTGAGGTTGGGCTGTAGCCTGGAGACGTAGGGCTGTATGCAGGTGAAGTAGGGCTGTAAGATGGTGATGTCGGGCTGTAGGAAGGCGAAGTAGGGCTGTAAGATGGTGAGGTTGGGCTGTAAGATGGTGAGGTAGGGCTGTAAGATGGAGAGGTAGGGCTGTATGCTGGTGAAGTCGGGCTATACGCGGGTGAAGTAGGGCTGTAAGCAGGCGAAGTGGGGCTGTAACTTGGGGATGTTGGGCTGTAGCTTGGGGATGTGGGACTGTAGCTTGGAGACGTAGGGCTGTAGCTTGGAGACGTGGGGCTATAGCTCGGGGAGGTGGGAGAATAGGAAGGACTTGTAGGAGAATACGCAGGGCTTGTTGGGCTGTAGCTAGGAGAACTGGGACTGTAGGTCGGGGAAGTGGGGCTATAACCGGGAGAAGTCGGGCTATATCCAGGTGAAGTGGGACTGTAACCAGGGGAAGTAGGACTGTATCCAGGGGATGATGGGCTGTAGCCTGGAGATGAAGAAGGCGAGAAGGCCATCCCACCAACATATGGAGAGAACTGTGCTTCTGACATTGGAGACAAACGCATGTTTGGGCTCAGGAGGTAGTTTGGGGACATCATGCCTTCGTGGTAAGGAGTGCCAGACACTGGTGAACGAGCAGGAGTCATTCCAAACTCAAGACCATCCATATAGCTAGGGAGCTGAAGTTCAATTGCATTCTTCAGCATCTCATCGTTCAGATACAGCTCACAGTCTCCTGTTCCAATCGGTGCAAGCTGACCAAGCATTATATTCTCTGTAACACCCCGTAAGCAGTCCGTCTCAGCATAAGCCGCAGCATCCAACAGAATATCAACAGTTTCTTCAAAAGAACATCTCATCAGAGGCCCAGTGTCGTTTCTGTTGATACCATGTCGCGTGATAGCCATAAGATGACCACGATAGGTCATGGTATCACACAAGATGGCAAGATGGCGGTAATTCACATAAGACCCATCAAAGGATATCACAACTCGAAGCTCATCCAACAAAGCACGACGAACTGCCTCAATCCCCAGAACTTCGATAATTTCAATCAAGTGATTGCTTGTTGTCCTCTTTGGATCCACATCTTCGTGGCACATTACAGCTAAGAGATTAACACCTTCTGTATCTAACATCCACTCCTCAGATGTCTTGAATCCTCCCTCCTCATCAAACCTGCTTTTTCTAACCTGTTTGATGAAAACCTTGTTGATGTCTGGAATACCCCTGAGCGCCATTTCTGTCAGCATGTTGCTCTCAATCTTTTTGAGGAAAACATCATCTTCCGCTGATTCATCTTGCGCTTCCCCCTTTGCTCCCTCGTCATTCATAATACGGATCCGAAGGATCAGCTTTTGAGCATTGTCATCATTGAATATGCAAGTCAGGTCATCATCAAACTCAAGGTTGATCTTCTCCGCAATATCCGCCATACTCAACTTCTTGTCAACCATCATCTCACGATTCAACTCAATACGAAGCAGCCAAGGAGATATTTTATCCGGAGAAACATCTTCGTCTGGCATTTCATAGTAGGACCTCACAAATTCATAATCTTCTTCAATGATAGTACTCATCGGATCCGGGTCATACCAGACCTCCGTAGCTTGAGTGACACTCCTGAGAGTAGTATACTCCAAAGCACATTGAACAGTCTTAGCCCCCTCTTTTGATTTGCTAGCTTCCGGTGTGAGGTAGACAGATAGGGAAGGTGTTTTGATCCTTTTAGCTACATTGATAATTTCGCGCAACCTGGGGACACCGAGTGTAACATTCTTTGCACTAACACCAGCATAATGGAAGGTGTTCAGAGTCATCTGCGTAGCAGGCTCTCCAATTGATTGAGCAGCAACACAACCAATCATTTCCCCCGGGGCTACTAGTGATTGTAAGAATCTCGATTCAATCTCACCAATGACCCACTCAAAAGCCTCGCGGCTAAGCTTGTATTCCTCCAAAACTCTTTTACTAGCAAGAGTGCTGCGAAGCAAAATGTTAAAGAACAGTGTGGCATTTTTCTGTGCTTCGACACTCAATGCATCATTTCCAGGAACAACTAGCAGCCTCTCCTGTAGTTTATCAACAGCATCAACAATTTCAACAGGGTGCATATCCGAGATCTTGCGCAAGTCAATCTTGAAAGTCTTCTGGGCATTCCAGATATGCCTCTTGATGTTAACTGGCAATGGCCAAGTGCTGTCACCATTTGTTGCAATCTCAGTCCCGAGTTGGTATCTATCAGCCTCAAGTTTCTGATACTCCGCATCAAATACATCACGCAGCTCCCGGATCCCTTTCAAGTCCTCAAGATGTTCTTCACTTAGGTACGTAGGATTCCAGTTTTCATCGTCAATTTCATACTTGAAAGTCCTATCGAACTCTGATTTCTTCATTTTCAACGAATCCAGCTTCTGTGATTCAATCCATACAGCATCCATACCATCTTCGCCATAGAGAAATTGAATAACATCACCCAACGAGTTTCTGACTGTCCCATCGTATTTAACCATAATATCCTCCATAGCCTTGACCAGTCGCCTCTGAATGTAACCAGTTTCTGATGTCTTCACAGCTGTATCAATCAGACCTTCCCTTCCTCCCATAGCGTGGAAAAAGAACTCTTGAGGAGTCAACCCACGTAAGTACGAATTCTCGACAAATCCACGACTTTCAGGACCATAATCATCTTTGGTGAAATGCGGCAATGTCCGCCCATCAAATCCAAACGGAATCCGCTTTCCTTCTACATTTTGCTGACCGACACACGCAGTCATTTGAGAAATATTGATGAAACTTCCTTTGGATCCTGCTGTAACCATGGCCTTGAGGTTATTGGTTTCTGCTAAACTCTTTTGAGCACTACTTCCAGCATCATCACGAGCTTTATTCAAGACCTATTAGCACGGTTATTGAGTCAGCATAGATAAGAACCACAGACAATGCACCATATGAAAATGAGATTATTATCAAGCCATTAATGTACCTGATTAACCCTATTTTCAAATGTCTCTGTCATAGTTCGCCCTGGTTCAGGGTCCAATTTCTTTTCCTGGAACTGACGGATAAGGTCTTTCACAGCAGTTTTCGCATTAGAAATAGTTTCATTGATTTTCTCCATTGTTGATGAATCAGCAATTGTGTCACCAATTCCAATGGTAAAACCATTCTGCAGAAGCCAGTAATTGACAAGCCACTGAGTATGACCAAGGAATTTCCTAGCTGCATCAGGACCAACCTCTTCCCTGTAAACCACGTAATAAAATAATTAAAGAAAAGTCTTTATAAGGTAGTAAAGAGTAAAGATTAGGCAGTAAGCAGATGCGACGAAGTGAACATGACTTACCAAATGACATGCACTAAACTTCCATTACCGGTACCAAGGGTCTTTTTGCAGAGAGTTCCGGCAAGAAGTTCACCTCTTTCAATTCGTACTTGAGTATCTCCTGGAGTTATGAATCCAGTCTCTGAATCTGCGTGCCAAGCTGAATACCTGAACAGATTTATCTGCTTTGGTATAATGAGATTGAAAACTTGTTTGCCAGTCCAAAGAGGGCGCGGCTTCAAAATTGCAGGAGCTGGAACTTTCCCGTCGAAGTCTTCCCACCACATAAGCGTATTCATGAATACATCCTGACAATGGCAAATGTATCAGCACAGGAGTTGGTTTATCGTCTCATCAAACTAGAGAGAGAGTTTTAACAAGCAATTACAAATGAAACTGTTACCTTCTCTATGAATGTATCTCTCTTTGTAATTTTCCGGCATCCTAGAAGGGTATCCTGCACAATACCCATCACAGGCCGATTCGCCTGGGGAGAGACGATACATTTAGGGACCATCATCAGCTCTAACACCTCGGCTCTGGTCTCGAATGATTGTGGTACATGCATGTTCATCTCATCCCCATCAAAATCAGCATTGTAAGGAGAGGTGACAGACAAATTCAGACGGAAAGTGGAATATGGCATAATCCGAATCCGGTGACCCATGATAGACATTTTGTGCAGACTTGGTTGACGATTAAACAGAACAAAGTCACCATCAATTAAGTGCCGTTCCACCTGTGACCAAGAAAGCATAGAAAAATGAGTACTTCCAGGAAAAAACTTTGCTGCTTGAGTGGATAGAATAAAGAAAAGCAGTAAATACTTTGTATCCAAGTTCCAAATGATGATCACTGCTCTTCTTAAGGTACCGAAGATCTAGTCTTTGCCCATCATCCCTAATGATATACTTCGCCCCAGTCTTGCCAGGTGGAGGATGTGGCCCATAATCAACGAGCTCCTTTAATCTGCAAATAAAAGATTGTCAACAAAAATGGAGGAAATGCTTACTGAACAAAAAACAAAACACCAGAAGTACTAACCTTTCAATGTTATATGGAGTCACTGTTTCCGGGTATGTGAGATTCAGGGCAATACTCCACGGCACACCAAGTTCATCGATATTTATTGTTGGGTCTGGTGTAATAACAGTACGTGCTGAGAAATCAACACGCTTTCCCATCAAATTTCCCCTGATTCTGCCTTCCTTTGCCTTCAGCCTACTACATATAGATTTAATAGGCCTCCCTGACTTTTGAGTAGCCTGAAGAAAACAAAGGGCAATCTAGATAAAGCACTGTCCGTAAGTATCATACCAGATTTCTGGAAGGATACAAAAACATTACCCGTGGCTGTCCAGGAAGCTCATTATCAAAATATGTAGCTATATGAAATTGCAAGAGTTGTGTAAACTCTGATATGATATGAGCTGGGGCTCCATTTTTTTCCTGTTTCTTCAAATTCTCATTGTGTCGAATAATCATGGCCAGCTGATGTGTCAAGTCATCCTGCATCAACAACAAGCATGAACTCAGGGACACACATTCAGTTGGCATAGTGAAAAAGCAAGTCCAAAAAGGGTAGAAACATTGGCAATCAAAGAGTAACAGTTTTATTCAGAAAACCGAAGACTTGCCTCACTTCTGGAAGTGGCGTCCATCATTACAGATGGTCTGACAGGAGGTGGAGGAATAGGAAGGACTTCTAAAATCATCCAGTCAGGACGAGCATACTTAGGGTTGAACCCTAAGAGTTGACAATCCTCATCACTAATCCTCTTTAAAACACTCAAAACCTGCAAAATCACATGCCATCAGAATATCAGATTACCCCAAACATGAAGAGTAAGTTCACTTGGAAGAGAAAGAAAAAGACGAACCCTGTCAGCACCGAGTATCTGTTTCCTTTCAGCAGGCTCCGGAAGCTGGTCCGGCTCATCGCTTTTCTTCCTTGTAATTTTATACTCTGCAATCATCTTCATACCCTCAATAGTCAGCTTTGGTTGCTGCGCACCACATCCATCATGGCCTTTCTTTACTGGTTCGTCCGCGTCTTGCTTTTGGACATCGTCAATTTCATCACCTCCTGGACATTTGGTCTTGTTTTTGCAGGCATCCAGAATTTTCTTAAGCCTATTCTTGGGATTCTTTATCTTCATAGCCTGCTTAAACTTGTGCTCCTCCTTCATGAAAATAACCAATTGGATTATTCTCAACACTAACATATCTTCTTTAAGAAACATAATCCTCTGGTAAATTCAAGAGGAAAACTAAATGAAACAAAGGAGTTCCACCATACCTCATCAGCCAAAATCTTGGAGCAATTGAAGCAAACACATCGCATGATACTCAACACGGTCTTCATAAAACCGACATGATACATTGGCTTAGCGAGCTCAAGATGGCCAAAATGCCCTGGGCACTCAGCCATATTAGCCATACACGTCTCGCACTTCACCTTCCGGTCAATCGTACCAAGCCTAACATCACTCAATCCTCCCACCTTAGGTTTACCCTTCTCGGTGGTCTCACTATGCTCAACGTGTAAAACGGACATTTGCCTCTGAAAAACAAAAAACCAAAGGCAAAAAAGCCATTAGCAACCAGCGGACACAGAGCTCTTACTCGTAGGATCCAAATACCATCAATAGGTTAAATAGAACATGATCCTCAACTAAACCTATCGATTTCTTTACTATTATTCACTCCCTATCCAATTTCCCCGCCGGCAATATAGACGGCGGAGCAATGAGCTGAAACAGCAAGAGAAATCGATAGAGAAAGGAACATTACGATCTCATCGGGGCTAAGTATGCCAAACTGGACCACCCGGACTTTAGAGACCTCGGCCGGAGAGAACGGAAACCGCGTATCCATGGCGGCGAAACTCCGATCAAAGACAAATCGAGAAAAAACGGAAACCCTAGAACGTGAATTATTAGGGAATCACAATGAATTTAGCGCAATAGTGTTTCCCTCTCTTTCCAATTTGTCAGTTTAGAGTTTACTTGAACTAATTTTTTTCTGTTTTCCCTCTGGTTTGAAAGAGCCCAGATCTCGATTTCTCTCGTCGCTTCACGAGGAGAGGTATGAGCAAAGAGAGAAAATTGCAGCCCTACGCCTATATTTATAGAGAAAGAGGCACCTCCTTAAAGGTCGGTCGGGTTAATTGGGCCGTAATGACTCAGGCCCATTTACCATCTTTTTATACTTGTCTAATTTTTCCTTCCTTTTTAACCTGGATGCCAAAAGTCTCTGCCTGCGACGGCGCTGACCAGATAAAAAGATTGTTAATGGGCCCAAGATTCGGTTTGATTACTGTTCATATTCCGGTTGACTGAACCGATTATAAAAACATGTATTGCGCAAAAAAAGAAAGGAAAAAAAAATATGCAAGAATTATTATTAGTCTTGTAATAACCAAGCTTGGTCTCTTATATGTAGCAAACTGATGATATAAGCTTATACATGACATTTTCAGCTACTATGAAATCACAGGAACACCATATGTTGAAACTGTTTGTCGACAAACAAGTTTAGGATATATCAACTTGTGAAACGAAGACTTCATTAGAAAAAAAATTATAGATCAACTCACAAGATTCAATCCACTATAGTCGTGAATAGTCCCATTAATTCACCATGTTTGGTATAAATATGGATTTTTATTAAGTATCAAACAATTAAGTAGCTAAGCACTGGTCCAACAGTATAAATTAAGAAAAGAATCCCTATACTATAAGAACTTAGGTATGCAATTAGGTTAGAAGCTTTAAATTGTCTTCAATACATATTTCTTAGCTATAGGAAATACCTAACTCCAATATTCCAGAGGGAAAATCGCACACATATTCAGTTTAGTAAAGAAAAACAAAAACAAAAATAGTGAATGAATTCACCAGAGTTGATAAATTTAAATTATCTTCACACTCTCAATTTATAGCAGAAAATGTAGAATAACAAATAGCGGGGTTAATTCGTAAACACGGAAAACTGTAGGGATCTAACAGGTAATAAACTACTCGGATGCTGCACTATAAAGTCAAACGTGTGAGAGAAGAGAAGCCACTCTGTTTATGTATCTAACGAACACGATAAAGACGAAACCAAAACAAACAAAGAAACAATTATATATTTGATATATTCATTTAGCTTCGATCATCAAATGCATGTTTTCAGTGTAACGCCTTTTCTTTCGATTTAGATTCTCTAGACGGTTCTTGACAGATTTCTAGTAAAAAACAATCAAATCAAATGGCGAAGAAACCAAAGCACCTTCGTCACCAGCCTCGTAAATCTTCATCTTCACAGGCTTTTACAGTTATCACACTTCTACTCTTCTTCGTTCTGATTCTTATCGGTCTCGGAATCATTTCACTACCAAGCACTAGCACCAACTCTTCAAACCCGATCGATTTGACGACCACTGTACGGACAAGCGAAGAGAGGTTAGAGATAAGATCTTGTGTTTTTGTTTGTTCCAGTACAATGGTTTTTCGTTTTTTCTCTTATTGAGTAATTGCTTTGAATTAATAATTATAAATAGGGAGAGTTATGGAGACGAAGAAGACGGTAATGGAGACCGTTGGGTCGAAATTATTTCTTGGGAGCCTCGAGCTTTCCTTTACCACAACTTCTTGGTAAGTTTTTGTTTGCTTTTCTGATTTATCACAACTTAACATGATATGTTCATATAATTTCGATTTCTTGTCATACAAGCTAAGAAATTATAAGTTGCTGTTACTCTATCATAGAGAATTTTTGTTTTGTGAGAAAGAATGTTTTTTTTTTTTTTTTTTTTTGGCTGCATGTTTGAAATTATTTATATATACATTGAAAAATGTATGGGAAATTAACTTTAGGCTCTGTTTTCTTTATTAAACTTTTGTTAGACAAATGAAGAATGTGAGCACTTGATTAGCCTCGCGAAACCTAGTATGGAGAAGTCAATGGTGGCTGACGTAAAAACCGGACGCAGCAAAGAAAGCAGGTTCTCGTGTACTCAGCGATGCAATGTCTTTTAATTTGGAAAGATTTGAGCATTTTCTTCAATTCCAAATCCGTTAATGCATATGTAGAGTACGGACGAGTTCAGGGACTTTTCTTAGACGAGGACATGACGAAATCGTGCAAGAGATCGAAAACAGGATTTCAGATTTCACCTTCATTCCTGTAGGTATGTATATGGCTTGTTTTTTTTGTTTTTTCTCTCTAACGGCGTTGTTACTCTTTATTTTCTTGGGAAGTCTTTGTGGAGTTAATGTGATGTAATAATTGCAGAAAATGGAGAAAGTCTTCAAGTTCTCCATTATGAAGTTGGGCAGAAATATGAGCCTCACCATGACTATTTCATGGATGAGTTCAACGTTAAAAGAGGAGGACAAAGAGTTGCTACTGTCCTTATGTACCTGTAATGTGAACCATAAAAACCCTTTAATAATCATCTTTCTCATCAGCCACAAGAAAACAAAAAGGAACTGAATCTTGCTTATTTGATTGTACTACTACATAAGGTCGGACGTTGATGAAGGAGGCGAAACAGTTTTTCCTGCAGCCAAAGGAAACATAAGTGATGTCCCGTGGTGGAATGAGCTCTCACAATGTGGTAAAGAAGGACTCTCTGTTCTTCCAAAGAAAAGAGACGCTTTGCTCTTTTGGAGCATGAAGCCTGACGCGTCTCTAGACCCTTCTAGTTTGCATGGTGAGAGTTAAAGCTAAGAGAGAAATCTAAAACTTATCTTAATTGATCGTAACTAAAACCCATTTAAAATGGTTATTTTTAATTTGATTCAGGTGGTTGTCCAGTGATTAAAGGAAACAAGTGGTCATCAACCAAATGGCTTCACGTTCACGAGTACGAAAATTGAATAAAAAAGAAAGGAAGCTTTTGAAGAGAGGTAAGCTCTCACCGGAGTGATGAACCCTTTGCACTGTCTCAGATATTGTTTTTATACTGTTGCTATCGTCTTTTGCAGATATCTATGGTCTCACCAGCATGTACTACTACTATGTGTATCAACAAAATCGTGTCGTGACCTTTAAGTGAACTTATGTAGCTAGCGTTTACATAATGAACTTTTTCTCTTTCAAAGTTTATCAACTATGGTCAGATTAAAAGCCTAAAATCTTATAGATACACATAACAAATAAAATGTATACTTAGCAATTTTCCTTTTGGTGGTTGAGTTTCTCCCAAGAAAAATGGTTGTGTTTAGATGAAAAAAAAATAAATACACTCGCTAAAATTTTCTTCTTATTTTCTGTTTTTTTTTAATATATAAAAAGAATACTCAATGTCATCCTCACGTGGCAGAAGAGGGAAGATAATTTTACAATATTCAATCCGTATTTTTATATAACTATTTTTTTTTTATCAAGGGATATATATATGACTACAAATCATGAAAAAGGAAACCCTAGATAACAATAATTTAACTCCAAGGCTCAGAAGTCAGAACCGAGTTCGCGATGATGATAGGAGGTTCCCTGAATTACGAGCTTCCACGTTTCGATGGGAAGGAGAATTTTAGTCTCTGGCAACTTCAGGTGAAAGATCTTCTGTCAAAGCAGGGTATGGAAAACGCGTTGTTGAATCAAAAGCCAAGATCAATCACCGAGGATGATTGGGATGAGATGCAAGATCATGCACTTTCGACTATTCGTCTCTGCCTTTCAGACGATATTACAAAACAGGTAGCTGATCTCACAACTTCAGGACAGTTGTGGAATAAGTTAGAAACATTGTATCTGTCCAAGTCACTATCTACCAAGCTGTCTACCGAGATGTATCTGAGACAGAGGTTATACGGACTGAAGATATATGATGCTTCGAATCTGATGGAGCACATGGACACGTTCAATCAAATAGTCGGTGATCTAACGTCTGTGGATGTGAAAATTGAGGACAAAAATAAGGACATGATCTTGTCGTGTTCTTTGCCCCCTTTGTTAACAGCACTTTCGTGTAACAAAGAGACGAGTTCTGGAAACGAAGATGGTAAGGGTGAGCGTTGGCTCGAAGTCATCTCTTGGGAGCCTAGAGCTTTCCTTTACCACAATTTCTTGGTAATATGTTTTTTTATTTTTATTTTGCATTTATGGTATGAACTTTTGATTTTGATTTTTGCTATATGCTTGATCATAACTTACCGTTGGTAATATATTTTCAGCTCTGGTTTAAATTTCTGATTAAGATTTGTTAAATGCTTGATCAGAACTTAACATCTTCATGCTTGTTCATAGTTTTTGGATATTTCTTGTCACGCAAGCTAATAAGCAATTTTAACTTGGTAACTAAATTTTCCCATGTAGTTTGTGTTTAGATAAAAACAGATAGGGATCCATATGTTTCTTCTCATGATAAAGAATGTAAAATATGTTTTTTGGATTCATTTTTGAAACTATCTGTATGGTATACATTTCAAAGGTTTGGAAATTGATCTTTAATTAGGCTTTGTTTCTTTAAATTTTGCAAGACAAATGAAGAATGTGAGCACTTGATTAACATCTCGAAACCTAGGATGGGGAGGTCATTGGTGCGTGATACGATAACCGGAGGGAACAAAGAGAGCAGGTTCTTTACTCAGTTTTGTTTTTTCCCTCTTCAAGTCTATTAAGGAATGATTTGACATCTGGAAATTCGTTTTTATTTAGCGCACGGACGAGTTGGGGAGCATTTTTTAGAAGAGGACATGACAAAATCGTGGAAGAGATTGAGAAAAGGATTTCAGAATTCACCTTCATTCCTGTAGGTATGTGACTGACTTCTGATTTCAACTAAGGAAATGTTGATCGTCTAAAGTCAACGTTGCATGTTGTTACTCTTCATTTTCTTTTCTTGGAAATTCCTTGCGGGGTTAATGTAATGTTAAGTGCAGAAAATGGAGAAGGTCTTCAAGTTCTCCGTTATGAAGTTGGGCAGAAAATTGATCCTCACTTTGATGGATATGAAAGAATTGCTACTGTCCTTATGTACCTGTATGTGAACCATAATAATATTTTCTCAACAGCACCCACAGAAACAAGAGTTTTTTTACAATGCGTAAAGTTAACTTTCTTATTTCTGGCTGTACTACTATAATTAGCTCGGACGTCGAGCAAGGCGGCGAAACAGTTTTCCCTTCCGCAAAAGGAAAGACTATCTCTGTTTCACCAAAGAAGAGAGACGCTTTACTCTTCTGGAACATTAAACCTGACGGGACTCAAGACCTTTCGAGTAAGCATGGTGAGGGAGAGATACATTGCCTTTCTCTAAACTTCTCTTATACTTACCCTTTTACATTAGTTGAGATCATGACATGTCAAATAAATCTCTCAAAAACTTATATGATTGATTCAGCTGGTCGTCCAGTGATCAGCGGAAACAAGTGGGCATCAACTAAGTGGCTTCACGTTCACGAGTACATCAAGCCTACTACAGCAATATTGCGACATTGACAGAATTTTATTCTTCGTTTCATTGGAGTAACGTAAAAAATAAAACAATTATATTTGTGCTTTTATACTCTTTAATTTGTTTTGTTTCTTTCTGCTTTTTTTATTTTTACAGTTTTTCACTATGAAAACATAATGCTTTATTACTCTTTCACGCCCTGTCGTAACATATGTAAGACTTGTAACTTTCTAAAAAAAGAAGAAGAAGCCAACGCATGTAAGCCAGAAATGTACCAGAAGCATTGGACCCTTAGCATCCTAACGCCTTTTTCTTTCGATTTACATTCTCTAGAGGGTTCTTGACATATTTCTAGTGGAATCAAATGGCGAACAAACTGAAGCACCTTCGTCCCAGCCTCGTTCGTAAGTCGTAAATCTTCATCTTCAGTCTTCACAGGCTTTTACAGTTCTCACACGCTAATATTGGTTGTGTTTAGATGAAAAAATAAATACACACGCTAAAATTATAATCTTGTGAGTCACGGCATGTCAGCAAAACTCAATGGTTTATATTTTTTCTTCTTATTTTCTGTTTTTTTTTTTTTTTAAGAAAAAGAATACTAAACGTCATCCTCACATGGTGGAAGGTAATTTTACAATATTCAATCCGTATTTTTATATAAACATTTTTTTAATCAAGGGATATATATATATGATTACAAATAATGAAAAAGGAAACCCTAGATAACAATAATTTAACTCCAAGGCTCAGAAGTCAGAACAAAGTTCGATGATGATAGGTGGTTCCCTGAATTATGAGCTTCTACGTTTCGATGGGAAGGAGAATTTTAGTCTCTGGCAACTTCAGGTGAAAGATCTTCTGTCAAAGCAGGGTATGGAAAACGCCTTGTTAAATCAAAAGCCAAGATCAATCACCGAGGATGATTGGGATGAGATGCAAGATCATGCACTTTCGACTATTCGTCTCTGCCTTTCAGACGATATTACAAAACAGGTAGTTGATCTCACAACTTCAGGACAGTTGTGGAGTAAATTAGAAACACTGTATCTGTCCAAGTCACTATCTACCAAGCTGTCTACCGAGATGTATCTGAGACAGAGGTTGTACTGACTGAAGATAATGATGCATCGAATCTGATGGAGCACACGGACACGTTCAATCAAATAGTCGGTGATCTCGCGTCTGTGGATGTGAAAATTGAGAACAAGAATAAGGACATGATCTTGTCGTGTTCTTTGCCCCCTTTGTTAACAGCACTTTCGTGCAACAAATCTGGAAACGAAGATGGTAATGGTGAGCGTTGGCTCGAAGTTCTCTCGCGGGAGCCTAGAGCTTTCCTTTACCACAATTTCTTGGTAATATGTTTTTTTATTTTTATTTTGCATTTATGGTATGAACTTTTGATTTTGATTTGCTATATGCTTGATCATAACTTAACGTTGGTAATATTTTATCATCTCTGGTTTAAATTTCTGATTAAGATTTGTTATATGCTTGATCAGAACTTAACATCTTCATGCTTGTTCATAGTTTTTGGATATTTCTTGTCACGCAAGCTAAGCAATATTAACTTGGTAACTAAATTTTCCCATGTAATTTGTGTTTAGATCAAAACAGATAGGGATCCATATGTTTCTTATCATGATAAGGATTGTGAAATATGTTTTTTGGATTCAATTTTGAAACTATCTGTATGTATACAATTCAAAGGTTTGGAATTTGATCGTTAGGCTTTGTTTCTTAAAATTTTGCAAGACAAATGAAGAATGTGAGCACTTGATTAACCTCGCGAAACCTAAGATGGGGAAGTCATTGGTGCGTGATACGATAACCGGAGGGAGCAAAGAGAGCAGGTTCTTTACTCAGTTTTGTTTTTTCCCACTTCCAAGTTTATTTAAGAAGAAGGATTTGACATCTGGAAATTCGTTAACGTGCAGCGCACGGACGAGTTCGGGAACATTTTTTAAAAGAGGACATGACAAAATCGTGGAAGAGATTGAGAAAAAGATTTCAGAATTCACCTTCATTCCTGTAGGTATGTGACTAACTTCTGGTTTCAACTAAGGAAATGTTGATCGTCTAAAGTCATCGGTAACGACGTTGCACGTTGTTACTCTTCATTTTCTTTTCTTGGAAATTCATGTAATGTAAGTGCAGAAAATGGAGAAGGGCTTCAAGTTATCCGTTATGAAGTTGGGCAGAAATTTGATCCTCACTTTGATGGATATGAAAGAATTGCTACTGTCCTTATGTACCTGTATGTGAACCGTAAAACCCTTTTAATAATATTTTCTCAACAGCCACAGAAACAAGAGTTTTTACAATGCGTAAAGTTAACTTTCTTATTTCTGATTGTACTACTATAATTAGCTCGGACGTTGAGCGAGGCGGCGAAACAGTTTTCCCTGACGCAAAAGGGAAGACTAGTAAAAAAGGTCTCTCTGTTTCACCAAAGAAGAGAGACGCTTTACTCTTCTGGAACATGAAGCTTGACGGTACTCAAGACCTTTCGAGTAAGCATGGTGAGGGAGAGATACATTGCCTTTCTCTAAACTTCTCTTATAATCGTAATTTATCATCTTAAATTAGTTGAGATCATGACATGTAAAATAAATCTCTCAAAAACTTGTATGATTGATTCAGCTGGTCGTCCAGTAATCAGAGGACACAAGTGGGCATCAACTAAGTGGCTTCACGTTCACGAGTACAAGGCTACTACAGCAATATTGCGACATTAACAAAATTTCATTCATTTCGTTGGAGTAACGTAAAAAAAAACAATTATATTTGTGCTTATACTCTTTAATTTGTTTTGTTTCTTTTACTGTTTTTCACTATGAAAACATAATGCTTATTAGTTATTACTCATCATTTTTTGGGTCTCTCTTCTGTAGCAATATCTTCCAAAATTGAAAAACAAAGATGACTTGACAGTAACAATGGTTTCAATTGACTAGCAAGAAGCAAAAGATGCGAAAAAACGACAGAACATAAAAAGTTGAAAATTAACGGCATTCACGTCCTCCTCCTCCTTAAAAACATTTTTATTGCAACAAACCTTTTGGATATAAGAAAGTCTCTCGTGGCTTTTACCAGATTTATTGTTTGATGAGATTCCTGATTACGTATTGCAATATCCCTCCGTGATTGAAATACTCCAACTCCACCTGCCATTCCCAAATTCATCAGTCTGTTTTAAAGCTAAAAGATAAATCAAGACGAAAATAGATAACCATATATTTACCTCTGTGTCGAATCGGAGTGTACACGTGAAAGATTTGCCATTGTTTGTGATGACCGTCACATCTTGTCCTGGTTTGATCTCACTAACGTTGTTTGGGAGCTCAATGGTGTAAAGCTCCTGACCCGTTAAGCCTAGAGTCTCCGCATCTTCTCCAGTCTTGAAGCACAGTGGTATGATTCCCATCCCCACCAGATTGCTTCTGTGAATCCGCTCAAAGCTCTTTGATATCACAGCTTTCACGCCCTGTCATCAGAAATTTAAGACTTGTAATTTTCTATAGTAAAAAAGAAGCCAAAGCATATGTAAGCCAGAAATGTACCAGAAGCATTGGACCCTTAGCAGCCCAATCACGAGAGCTTCCACTTCCATATTCAGCACCAGCCAATATGACTGTGTCACGTCCCTCGTTCCTGTATTTCTGGTACAACACAAAAAGAGAATCTGATTCTAATTCCAATTCCAATTGACCAAACCAGAGAGACTTGATCAGGTATGGGAGGACTATACCATGGCAGCATCGAAGACAGAAAGCTTCTCTCCACTGGGGATGTGAACTGTTTTGGGGCCAACTTCTCCTTTCAAGTGTTTGTTGACAATACGGATATTTGCGAAAGTGCCTCTCGCCATAATCTCATCGTTACCACGGCGACTCCCGTAAGAGTTGAAGTCTCTTCTATCCACTCCTCGTTCCATCAAGTACTTAGCCGCGGGACTGTCCTTGTGGATGCTACCAGCTGGTGAGATGTGATCAGTGGTGATACTGTCTCCGAAATTGAGCAGACAGTAGGCGTCTTTCACGCCGTGTGGACCGGGTGGAGACATGGTCATGCCCTTGAAATAAGGCGGCTCGTGAATGTAAGTCGATTTCGGGTCCCACTCGTAGAGTGTGCCTGTTGCGACAGACAACTGATTCCACATGTCATTCCCTTTGGTGATTGCTTCATACGTAGCTTTGAACATATCAGGAAGTACACTAGCTTGCACCACCTGAAAAAAAACGAAACAGAGAATCTCACATCCCTTCCATTTACAAAATCTCTTACTGTTTATTATGTGTTGCGCGAGCATACTTACCTCAGCAACTTCTTTGTTAGAGGGCCAGATGTCCATGAAAAATATCTGCTTGCCATCTTTCCCAGTTCCAAGAGGCTCCGTCTCAAAATCAATGTCAACCTACAAGAACACTCATGGGATTGATTCCTTGCTACATAGAGACTGAGTGATTTGATTGTTGTGTAATGGTTTTAGAGTTGGCATTAACATACAGTGCCAGCCAGTGCATAGGCTACAACAAGCGGTGGGGAAGCTAGATAGTTCGCTCTGGTTAACGGGTGAACACGCCCCTCAAAGTTTCTGTTACCGGACAGCACAGCGGATGCCACCAGGTCTTGTACAGAAATGAGAAATATTTTAGATTCACCTTTGAACTTCAAGTGAATAAGCATTATAATGTTAACTACTTGTGAGGACTTACCATTATCAACTATCGCCGATGCCACGGCTTCATGGATATCCCCCGAGTTTCCAATGCATGTTGTGCACCCATAACCAACTATACTGAAACCAAGCTGGTTCAAGTACTTCTGCAAGCCACTGCAAGACTTGAAAACTCAGGACCACATACTGCAGAGAATAAGGAAATAGATAACAGAGCTTTCAATGGTGTATCTGAGTACCTCTTTGCCAAGTACTTTGTTACAACTCCAGAGCCAGGAGCAAGACTTGTTTTAATCCATGGCTTAACCTAACAATTGAGAAAGTTCAAACACTTTTGTTAGTTCAGTTGCACGGAAAACATATTAAAACACGATCACACAAAAGAGCATGCCCGAAAGGAATAGTAGTCAAACCTCCAGTCCTAGTTCGCAGGCCTTTTTTGCAACCAAGGCAGCGCCAAGCATTACACTAGGGTTTGAGGTGTTTGTGCAACTGGTGATTGCTGCTATAACAACATCTCCGTGTCTAAGCTGTGCTGGGGTCCCGTTAAAATCGAACTCAACAACCTTACTCTGTGCTTCTTTTGCTACAGCAAAACCCTGGAAATATCATGGATAAGTAGAATCACTAACCACAACTTTGTAAACTGGAACTAGAAGAGTTACAACTAGACAAGTTGCTACCTAGGCCACTCGAATACCTCGACATAATATGTACCTAATCTTGTTCTAAAACCACAGTAACATTTACTAGACGAGCAATCATTTTGATACAGACTTATCCCTCGAGACTGCAAGCATCCACATTAAGAAAAAAATCCTGAACAGAGAGGAGATTTCTAACCTTGAATCCTACTCTATTATCCAAGCAAGAATGCCAGTCTGCTTTCATTTCCTTCAAAGGAACACGATCATGTGGCCTGTATTGTGCATAGAGAGTAAAAGTTTTTAAGCAGATTAGTAACTACAAAATTTATGTAGGGACATTCGATAATTGTACCTCTTGGGACCAGAAACACAAGGTTCCACATCCTCGAGATTCAATTCCAGATTTGAGGAGTATACTGTCTTACTCTCCGGCTGAAATGAGTAAGAAGTTCCAATGAGTGAATATATTATGCAAAATGATAGATGGCAATAGACATAATAACGAATCACTAGAGATGCTTAAGGTTTTACCTCACTGTAGTCTACAAACATCTTGTTTGCACGTAAATACGCCTCAATCATAGAGACCTGCAATTCAATTCACAAATCACTACCCTAATGCACAATAGCCAACAGCACACTAAAATCATGTAGATTTTCCCTAGAAACCCTTACAGTTTCATCGCTCCTGCCTGTCAACTTGAGATACTGCAACGTGACATGATCGACGGGGAAGAATCCCATGGTTGCACCGTACTCAGGAGACATATTGGCAATTGTAGCACGATCGGCTAGAGACAATTCTCTCATCCCTTCCCCTGTGTAGGGAAAAGCAGTGGGTTGATATGTGAGTTAGTCAAACTCACTCAAATAAGTAGAGAAATGAAAATCCTGAAATGTGATATCAAATTTCTCATGACTGTACCGTGGAATTCAACAAACTTTCCAACTACTCCATGTTTCCTCAGCATCTGAGTCACTGTTAAGACCAAATCAGTGGCAGTCATTCCATCTCTTAGTTTTCCCGTTAGCTTGAAACCCACAACACCAGGCAAGACCATGCTCATTGGCTGCATAGAAAGGAATATAACCTCTGTTAGAATCACATAAAGGACGTTGATGCTAAAGTTTTATAATAAAAAGAAACTTCAACGAAATGTTTAAACTTGAACTGCACAAGAATCATCCCTATAGAACCCCAAATTTCAGAAAGAGTTGGACAGTTGAGTTGTGGAACGAAAGAGCATTTCAATTTACCTGACCAAGCATGGTAGCTTCCGCTTCTATACCGCCAACTCCCCAACCAGCAACACCCAGTCCATCAATCATAGTGGTGTGAGAATCTGTGCCAACGACACTGTCTGGGTAAAGAACTCCATTTGTGTTGAATACAACTCTGGCAAGGTACTCCAAGTTGACCTGTCAATCACAAAATTATAAAACTTAGTCTATCTTGAATAAGTAGCAAATACAGTTGTTCCTGAATCATTTACTTACTTGATGAACAATTCCAGACCCAGGAGGTACGACAAGCATGTTGTCAAAGGCGTTAGAGCCCCACTTGAGGAAAGCAAATCTTTCTTTGTTACGCTGGAACTCAAGCTCCATGTTTGCCTGCACTGCGTTCTCCGATCTCGCCACATCCACCTGGACGGAGTGATCAATGACAAGATCTACAGGGACCTGCAAGTTGAAAACCTTGTAGCTTACCAGAAAGACACATGATATCAACCAAACTCAGTAAAATAGCGAAGAAACTAACCAACGGATTGATCTTATGAGAATCCCCGCCGAGATTATTCATGGCATCTCGCATGCAAGCAAGATCAACAACTGCAGGGACACCAGTAAAGTCCTGAAAAACGAAGCAAGTTCAGGAAATCAAAAACTTCATCTCGTCGAGATTGTGGATAGCATTCATTTCTTAGAATTTAGTCTACCTGAAGAAGCACCCGAGCAGGTTTGAACGGAATCTCAACTTGCTTGGGAGAAGTGTTCTCCCAATCAAGTATCTTCTCGACGTCTTTGCTCTTAACTTGAAACTCATCACAGTTACGTATGGCCGATTCGAGAAGTATCCTAATGGAATAAGGCAGTTTATCTGCATACACAACAACATTCTCTCGATCAACAAAAAAAAGAGAAGAAATCACAGCAACATTTTTCAGGAATCTCGATCATTTGTTTAGCATGGATCAGATGAAGCTAACTCACCGATCCTCGGATCGTTCAGAGCTGGCAAGCTGTAGTAGTTCCCGAATTCGCCACCATCAGGCTTCTCTAGAGCCTTCAATATGCTCTTGAAAGGATTCGCGGAAGCTGAAACCACATCAGAAAACAGAGATCCACAAAGACAATCAATACAAATCCCGATTTCAAACGGCGAAAATAGTTGGAAAATCAGCATAGACGATGACAAGAGTTTGGAATCATGAATCATTTTCGATCATAAACGAAATGGAGAAAGCAGATACAATCAGTACCCATGGACGATACAACTCGAATGAAGAAGCGAAGGAGAGATCTGATTCGGGAGAGAGAGAGAGAGAAGTGAGCGGAGTTGGTGAGGTGGTGATGAGTCGGAGCCGAGGAAGATGAAGATTTTTATATAACTAATATCTGGCAGATCCGTGTGGGCTCTTCTCGTCAGAATTGATGGCTGCTTGATTTCATTTTATTTTCCTTTTTTCTTAATTTTCCTACTTGATTTAGCACCACCTGATGATTTTTGAATGTGGGTCGCTCCGTTCAAATGTTATATTAATTTTGGGCTCGGCCCATATTTGTAAGTTAACCGGTTCGGCCTAGCCCAATCTGGCAGACAGAGAATAATTACTAGCAAATCAGATTAGAAGTTTGTTAAGTCTTATCGAAATTTCAAATCCTGCTCTTAAGTTACCATGGCCTTACCAAAACTCAGATTAAAACTCGTGCTTGGTTTCTTTTATTACCAGACAAAAATCTTAGCAAATTGATTAGATAATACCAAGATGTCCTAAAATGCACCATGGCCTTACCAATACGCAGGTTAAAACTCGTGGTTGGTTTCTTTTATTACCGGACAAGAAAGAGACTCATCTTTCATTCTCCGTCTCCCATTATTTATGGAGGTTTATTTTTAATATGGACAAAAAAACATAGGCCCAAAAAACATATACAAGTATAATCGATTTATGTAGTTTTGATTTGCTGATGATTGCATACAAATAGACAAATAGTGAAATAGATAACAGAGTAGATGCAAGTGGTGGCCGGGTTAAATTATCAATCACGTCAATACAAGGACGCACCGGTAAAACGTGACGTGGGTCACCATGCAGATAACCTACCAATCATATTTATCTCTTCTTTATTTATAACTAGGAGAGAACCCGCGCAATGCGCGGGTTTATTAAACCAAATATTTTTAATTTAATTATTCAGAACATTAGATTCGAATATATCATTTGTTTTTTACTCGAATATATTAGATTCTGTAAGTTTTGCATTTTGTTTTTTTTCATATAGTTTTAAAATTTAGTTGTTATTTACGTGAAATCTTATATAGACTCATAGTGAATAGTTTCATATGTTTTTTGTTCTTTTATACAATAATTTATCGACTGGAGTTGAGTTCTTCTAATTTTCCTTATACTAACAATCATTATAGATTGATTATTATCCTACAGACTCATAGATAATAATAATTGCAATCCTTTTTAAAAGGAAATGAAATGAGCTAATTAGCCAGTAAGCCCATTTAAAGCTACCATGGAAACGAAGAGGTCCGATAAATAATCAAGCCATCAAAACGAACAGCATTACACATAATTTTGATTTAGATTTTTTTTTTTTTTTAATACGAAAACGACGTCGTTTTGGTGTAAGACGAAAAAAAAAAATAAAGCGCAAAACGACGTCGTTTTGGTGTAAGACGAAAAAAAAAAAAAATAAAGCGCAAAACGACGTCGTTTTGGTGTTAGGCGAAAAAAAAAAAAAAAAAAGAGTGCCACGTGTCAAAGGCTGAGATTGTCCAAGCCTTATTAGTTATGTCTTTTTATTTTTGTAAATTTCTGTTCATTTCACTTTTCTGTCTGTTGGCGAAACAAGATAAGTTTTCTGTGTGCATAAAAGGCTATATAATCATATGCTAAATCTCAGTCATAACAATATGTTCGGATTCAACTTCTTTTACGTTTAGCAATTGCATGATTATCTCTGATAAAATCATTTGAATTCAGAAATACTGTTTAACTTTTTGTTCATTTGTTGTGCTCTATGCATCAAAAACTGCATGTACTCTAGGATTTTTACACGCTCTCGGTCGCATACACGGCACTGGTCCTAAACTATATACAATTTTTCGTTGTCAGATTCATATAATCACGTATGTAACATATGTTTACAGGGGCCCGAATTTTATTTCAAGGATAGAGAAGATAAAATATATTGGTCAAGTTCATAGCATACATACATGGAACCCAGTACCCACTCTCAGTATTAAAGCTAATAATTCAAGACATGTACATGACACTCAAGCATGTACATACGTATGCTTATATCAATTTATGGGACCAGCTTCTGGACCATTGCCCCATGATGTAACTACTAAACATGAAGGCAATAAAATAATATATGGGGGATCGATATTTAGAATATCGTTTTTGGGGTAGATATTTATAGGAAATGTTTTTAAAATATTATATGGAATCGAGTAAGCAAGCGGCAACCCTCATCTGATAATTTCAGTGTAAATTAATCTATCTATGTCCATTCTGAATGTATTAGCGAATTTGGATCCAAATAATTTTGAGATGAATGATGAACTTACAAGTGAAAAGCAAACAAAAACATCAAAAATGTGGTGATCTGTATGGAAAACCTACAAATTTCTATTTTCTTTTAAAGCCTTCTGGAATATCAAGTCTTACCGGACCCATTTTAAGTTTGGTATAACAATAAACTATTGCTCATATAAGAAAACGTTCTATAAAAGGAAAGGTTGAAGCAAATAAGATTTTGAAATTTCCTCAAATAGTTAACAAAAATAGAATACTACGTATTTATGTATGGTATTCGTATCTAATGGTTTCTTTCATTGCTTGTATTCTCGGAAAGGACCCTACCATATTTTGGTATTAATTCAGACAATCTGATATATATATATATATATATATCCGGAATAATCTTATATATAAAACAAATAATCATGTTTTTTGATAAAAACATTGTTTTTAAAATAACGTAGGTCGCATTCTTATAAGCATTGTAATATGTCTCTCTGACAAAATTGTAGAACTAATGCTAACAACTACTTTGACCCAAATTAATTGAGCTGTACTAAGAAGTTTCATTTGTTTTCGCATGTTAATTGAAATGTAAATTATAATTGCGAATAAATTACTCTCAGATGATGTCATCACTCATCAGGTATCCAATGCAATAAAAGACACATTTTCCTTGTTAAATCATTTTCTAATTTTCGTTCAAGATAGTAATTACTTTCATTATTTAACGGATTATTTTTTTGTTTCGCGGAGTTCACGGATTACCTCTCTCCTCCTCTCCTCTAGTGCTTTGGAAATGAGATTTTTGTAGTCGTGTTTTTCAACATCGATCATGACAGGCAAAATCTAGATTTTACTTCACCTACTCTGAGGTTAAATTCCAAGCAAAGACGGCCCGAGCTTTAATTGCAAGTAGGGCAGAGACATCGGATCTTCTCTCTTAAGAGCGAAGCAAAAACCCATCTCCCTCTTTCCTTCCATCTTCTTTCTCAATTCTCTCTCTCTCCCCCCTCTCTCTCTCTCTCTCTTAAATAAGCTCCACTGAGCTCTGTTTTAATTACCGGCGATCGTTTCAGGCCTCTCTTCCTTTATTATACTCACTCACCAGGCTTAGTCTTTTGGGTTCTGATAAAAAAAAAATGGCATCTTCTAGCTCTAGATTCCAATCGAACGGGTTTAGCCCCATCTCGCCTTGTCCCTCTCTCGGTAATGTCGTCGAACGGATTAAAGACGCATGTCGTTTCCTCGTCTCCGCTGTTCTCGGCACAATTCTCTCGGCGATCTTAACTTTCTTCTTCGCTCTAGGTCCGCCTCTCGATTCTCTTTTCAAATGTCTTCTCAACCTGCATTTGAGACTTGCTCTGTTCGTCTATGTTTCCCAATTTTGTCTCTTTTCTGGCGAAAATCGACTATTTGATGAAAATTATCATTCTTTCGGATTTATTTGATCATTTTGAAGTCTTTGTTTATCTGCGGTTTATGTAAAGCTAAAAAAGTTGCTTCTTTTTATCTTCTTCAGTGGGCACATTACTTGGAGCAGTCACAGGAGCTTTGATAGGCCAAGAAACAGAGAGTGGTTTCATCCGAGGAGCAGCGGTTGGAGCCATTTCAGGAGCTGTTTTCTCAATCGAAGTCTTTGAATCGTCTCTTGTTCTCTGGAAATCTAACGAATCACGTTTCGGATGCCTCCTCTACTTGGTGAGCTGAGATCTTTTAGCTTTTTTTGAAAACTACTCCTTTTGCTCTGTTTTTGAAAGCAGAGTAATCGAAAATTGATTTTTTTTTGTTAATTTTGGTTGTAGATTGATGTCATTGTTAGTCTTATAAGTGGTAGACTCGTACGGGAGCGAATCGGTCCAGCAATGTTAAGCGCGGTGCAAAGTCAGGTACGTACATTGTTATGCAATGAGATCTCTCTTCTCTCTCTGTTTTCTAGATCCTAATCATCTTTCTGATCTCAGATGGGAGCTGTGGATGCAACTTTCGATGAGCTCTCGAGTATCTTTGATACTGGTGGCTCAAAAGGATTACCAAGAGATTTGGTTGATAAGATACCAAAGATCAAAATCACTCCCAAAAACAACAAAGACTCTTGTTCTGTTTGTCTTCAGGTTTTTAGCTCATTTCAACTCTTACGAAACAGCAAATTCGCAGATCAGACCAATAAAAAGGTTCTAATTTCCTGTTTTTTTTTTTGGTGTGAAATTTTGCAGGATTTTCAACTTGATGAAACGGTGAGAAGCTTGCCACATTGTCATCACATGTTTCACTTGCCTTGCATAGACAATTGGCTAATCAGGCACGGATCTTGTCCGATGTGTAGACGTGATCTTTAATCTCTCTTCTTACCATTTGCACAGTCTCTGTTTCTTTCTCTCCTTGAGCTTAAGCTTCTTATTTCTTCTTCTTCTAATATGGTTGTAATCTTAGTTTCTATATGTACAAAGAAATGGAAAAAAAAAGTTTTGATTTTTGTTGACAAAACCCAAAAACTCAACCAAATCCATTTAATAGATTGTGTGTTGATCTCACCAAACTTTCAAGTGGTTGAAATTTTCGCAATATTCTTTAGTTATGACGTGAAGGAAAGGAATTGATATCTATGTGGGAATCTGTAGCTCGTGGGCCTCCAGGAGATAAAATCGTGCCAAATCACATTTCTTGATTTGGTTTGTTAATTAGCTCTAACATCTAAGCAAAGATTATTACTCACCAAACACGTATTCAATTACAATTTGTACCACAAGTAAAAAGTTCTTTTTCTTTTTCCAACAAGGCTACAAGTAATTCTGTATCCAACGTTGTATCTAGAATTTTATACGTTAATTAATGCTTAAATTATGAACCACAGCTTTTTAATCACGGGGATGTAACTAGCATATCCTTGTGTCACTCGAAAATCCTAGAAGCATTGAGTGAAAAGTGTTATTTGGAATTCGTTATCGTAAAAGCAATTTCACGAGCTTTGATTAAACAAAGAAGCTAACATTAGTTGTCTTCACGTGATCTTCTTCCGACAGATTAAAAGATTTATAGTTGGGGAGTGTCCCAAATGTGAATGTGAATATCATTTTCTCTTCGCGCGCTATGGGGCGCCACACGTGGCAGAATCGTCGCAGTTGATAATTGTCATGATCACGCGATAGCCACGTGACGATCCTCGACTGGTCCGCAAATTAAGTCCAGTAAGGGCCCGTATAAGGTCCGCATTGAATAATTTCAGAAAGCGCGAGCCGTTGAATCAAAACGCGGTTCGATTTGTTTTATTTTCCGGTTTATGTTTAATCCCTAAACCCTGATGCCTGAGCTGCTACATCCGTTTTTCGACGGCAGAAGTCTCGATTAAACAGATTTCGTCTAGACTCACGGAGCTTCGCCGGGAAAGCTTGATTTAGTTTCGTTTCGATTGCCTGCTGAGTTTCTGGCGGGAGCAAGGATTTTCTCGTGAGCTATGAAGTTTCTCATTCGATCCATTTCTGGTACGCCATTGCCGATTTTCATAGTTGTATGCAATTGTCGTTGTGGTTAATTTAAACAGATCCCATTCGCATCTGTCAATTACGCATCTACATATCTCTACACCAGCACGAATGTTTACTTCTGATTTTTGATCGGCGGAATTAGGGAGCAATCGGTCTCTGGTTCGAGCTCTGGTGACTCGGCGTTACTTCGCTTCAGCGCCGGAGGAAATCGCAAAGAGAAATTACGCCAACGACTTGTCGGAGTACAACACAGTCGTCAACTCCGTCACAGCTCAGCGCAGGTTTGTATTTTGCCAACTTCCCTAACATTTTATATGAAGAAATGTCCAATTTGAATGTGATTGAAATGAGAATTTTGTTGCCATGATATCAATAATGGACACTTGGATTGTTGATATTGTGTTTGTTTATATATGGCAATGTTTTGTGTTTGGTAGGCACTATCTGTTGAGGGATGTGTATGATGATATGAAGCTAGACGGTGTGCAGCCTACAGCTGATATATTCCATTCGTTTGTCGTGGGAGTGATGAAGGGTGCTCGTTTAAATGATGCTTTCTTCTTCCGTGAAGAAATGAAATCCATGGGAATTGCTCCTGATGTATGTCATCTGATCTTTCTTATTTTTGCTCTTTGCGTAAACTAAAAAGTTATCGTTTGGTTTATGTTCCGATGGTCTCAGTTTTTGAGAGTTTAGCAGTATAGTATGAGTTTCTTCATCCGTGTTGTGTGTTGTTGATTATTGTAGGTGAACTTGTACAACTTTTTGATTTCCACATGTGGTAAATGCAAGAACGGAAAGGAGGCGATCCGGGTATGTTATCTTCCCTTTTGCTCTAGTAGGAGACTTTTTGGCTTCTACACTCCTTGATCTTCATTCATATACGAATCCTTTTGGTTTGTTTCGTTTTGTAAGGTCTTTGAAGAGATGAAGAGATATGACGTAAAACCAAATGGACAGACCTTTGTCTGCCTTCTCAATGCCTGTGCTGTTTCTGGCCAATTAGATCTTGTGTAGGTTACAAACCCAATTGATTTCCTTTGAATAAGTTTTTATTGCCTCTTTTCTCCGTCAGAAGTAAGTTATGCGCAATCTTAGAAGTGATCTAATCTAGCTTTCATATCTGACTAATATGTTAGGTATGCGATAGTCCGAGATATGACTGCTGCTGGTGTTGGTTTGAACCAGTTCTGCTATGCAGGACTCATAACTGCTCACTTAAACAAGCAGCCTAGACCAGATAATCTCTCTACCAAGGTAACATTTGAAGGTTTCCTGTTCGTATTTCCTTGTAGTTTGAATGAAAGTTGGTTTCTCACATCCTCGTTATTATTTCCTCAAAAGATTCTCGAGTTCGTGGAGCAGTCAAAAGGCTGGTCATCAATTGATTCATCAAGGAAGAGTGCAGAAGATATGATGTTTAGCATCAGTGAAGAAGAGCTGTACAATATTCCAACCGCCGAATATTCCCACAGGGGCAGGTTTCTGCAGAGGAATTTGACCGTGCACCATGTAGCATTCAGTGCTCTCGCTGATCTAAAGGATGTAAAAGTAAGATGATTTGTGTAGAAAATGTTCTGTTTTGGGGGAAACAAAATTACAAAAGCCAGTTTCGGAGTTTATTTTGGCATCTGACAGAAAAGTCACTTGTACATGGCAGGCAACGGAAGCTCTTCTTGAGATGCTAAAGAAAGACGGAAAAGACACTGACACTTACTGCGTGCTACAAATTATGAGGTACAGCACTGTATATTACGTTACAACATTTCGTTGAGAACCAATACATGATTATCATATCTGCATCTAATTTTATATCTAATCAGGTGCTATCTACACTCGAAAGACTTCAAAACTGGTCTCAAATTGTTTGAAGATTACATGAACTCAGACAAAACCCCTGCCATGGAACTCTTCACGGTAACTATCATCTGACCCCATCATTGGCGTTTCAACATTTCTTTGAAGAGCATATATTTGGATGACCTGTATATATTTATTTGATCTTTTGTTGCTTCTACAGACACTTATAGAGGGAGCCATGACAGATTACACCGATGAAGGAATGCAGATTGCTCAAGACGCTTTGGTAACGCTTATAGCCTCGAGCTTACTAACAGAACATACACGAAACGAATTAAACGTTTTTTTTATATACGCTGGCTAATGGTAGATCCTTTGCATGTAAAACTGATTACTGTTTATTCATAAATGCAGGTGAAGATGAACGAACGCAATTTCTTCTTAGATCCAAGAACTGGAAGCAATCTGCTACTCAAAGCCGCTGGTGAAAAGGTAAATGTCTTAAAGTCCCCAAAATTAACTATGAAGATATCGTTCGCTTCTTGAAGCTTAAAAAACGATTTTTCTTTTTGGCAGACCGGTGGGTACACGGTTGCGAATATGATATGGGATCTGATGCAAGCTCGGAATATTACACCTACATTACCTGCTATTGAAGCTTACTACAAGGGATTGAAAGTAAAGCCTAAAAAACTCCCTTTGCTTAATCTTTAGAGAGCTTTAATGGTAATTGATAGTAATTGATGGGTTTTTTGGATTTTGTGGTGTGGGAATGACAGGAACGTGAAATACCAGAGGATGATCCGAGACTGATGTTAGTGACGCGTACGTACAATACCCTGCGCGTTAAGCAAGGGACATTCCCTAATCGGCGCTAAAAACAAGAGGGACCAAGAGGAAGAAAGATGATATCATTTGCTTCTTTGTTTTCTGCTGGTATTTGCTTATTAGTATCTCTGTAAACCATCTGGCTATGCTTTTCTAACAAGTCGTTTATTAGATGAATAAGGAGACTTCCCATAAAAAGAAACTTCATCATTAGAACCTGGAAAGCTCTGTGTTTACATACTGAGTAACAGACTGATTTTTAAAAAAGCCAATGCTTGTTTGGTTTATACAGATAAGGCAAATGCATTTGCTTTAGGATTCGATGTGATTGCAAATTGCTTTAGAACCTGGAGAGCTTTGTCTTTACTCTTTCGATACAAAGCAACAAATTGATTTAAAAAAAAGCCAACGCCTGATTGGTTTATAAAGATCAGGGCTGTTCACTCTCAAATGCACCGGTTTAGTTTGTTTTTTTGTTTGGCAAAGACAAACTTGGAAAATAGAGGAAAACAAAGAGAAACTATACATTCTGGTGTATCCATTTGCACAGATAAATAAAAGCAATAGTAGTTTCTGAATCACCAGATTACATCAGAATATGTCATTAGCATCTCTTTAACCACAACAGCCACCTCCCTGTGAGATCGCACCATCCCTTCCTCCAGCTGCACCTTGAGGACGCCCATAGCCGACCTTAATCCCTGATGACTGCAACATCCAGAGAGATTGAAAGGATATGAATCGAACTGTAACACAATCAATGGGATTTCTGTCTAGTGCTATAACCATCAGAATCACACTCACAAAAGCAAGGCACAGGATTCACAAAACTGATATCATATAAACTAAGTTTGCTTCCAGATTCAGGAGGGGATTTACCTCGTTGGATACATCAAAGACGCCGTCCTGAATGTTCTGGAGGATCTTTGCTGCAGTCTTTATGAAGGCCTGTTGATATTATATAGCATGTTATTCCAGAGGTAGCTAAGTAACAAGATGCGGGAAAAAAGAGCTGCAAGGAAGTATCATTACCTCCTCAACGTTTTGAGCTGTTCTTGCAGATGCTTCTAGGAACAACAGTCCATGTTCTTTGGCGAACTGTTCTCCTTCCTCTTTGCTAACAGCTCTCTTGTGAGCAAGATCACTTTTGTTCCCAATCAGCATAATACTCATGTTAGGATTTGCATGTTGCCGAGCATCCTCTAACCAGCTTGCCAGATGGTTAAACGTCTCTCTCCTACAACCAAAACAACAGAAATTTAATGGCAGAAAGATCAAAGCATGAAAAGCTTCAATGATAAACTCTTCCGATCCATCTTTTTTTGTCATATGAATCTTTTTTTGTCATATGAAGATCATAAAATTCCAAAACAATGACTTTAAAAAATCATCCTCCCTAAAGAGCATCCCAAGAAATACCTGGTGATGTCATAGACAAGCAAAGCTCCAGCTGCTCCTCTGTAGTATGATCTGGTGATGGATCTAAAAGACTCTTGTCCAGCCTACAACATCATAGATCAAAGAATTAGGGACCTATCGATCATAAGAAACCACAACAAGGACTGAAAACATCACCAATGCGCTGGTGAAACTCAGCTTCTCGATTTCAATTAGAGAATAATCATATAGAATCAATAACCGTGTAGTAATTAACTTTCCAAAAATAACTCCACTTTGAGTGTTTGGGGATGAAGAACCGTGTATTGGCAATTCTAACACGGCATTGCTTCTCTAAATACGGATAAAGTGTATTAATTATGACAGCTAATACATATATCTACCTTGGAGTTAAACAATCCTAAATCAACAAAATCGTGATAAGTTCTTAGGCCAATATGTGAAAGAGAAAGAGACGTACGGTGTCCCAAATTTGCAATTTGATGGGGCGTCCATCGACGGTGACCATCCGAGCACCAAACTCGACACCAATGGTGAGATCGTGGACTGGTTGGAACCTCTTGTCAGTAAATTGCAGAAGCAGGCACGATTTTCCCACACCTGAAAGGACAAAATAACGAATACCTAATTGAGAATCTGCCGCGAAATCGATCTATCCAAGAAAAATCAAAAAAATTGGGGTATGATCGGTGGTGGAATTGGGTTACCTGTGTCTCCGATGATTATGTACTTGAAGAGGTAATCGTACGACATGGCTAATTGATATTTGCGCAAGGGTAGATGTTTTCTTCGTCTGGGTTGAGAGAAGAGATGTGAAGGATTGAAAGAGGAGGAAGATGAGATTGAGAGTACAAGTCACCGACGCGCTTTAATTTTTATTTTCGAGGTTTCTCGATGGAGAAGCTATCGCATTTTCATCTTTAAATTTTTTTGGTTAACCATTAAAAATTCAGGGATCAGAATGAAAAATAGAGAAATATCTAAATTGGACTCAAATTTGTTTTGTATGCTTTATTTAAATTGATTAAATAGTTTTGTCAAAAGCATTTGTCTACCAGATTAAAAGATATTGTTTAGGCCAAATTAAGGTTTAGCTTTTTAGTTTTAGAGTTCAAAATTGAGAAATTTTGGAAATATATCTAAATATCAGTTTTTATTTTGAAAAATACCGTAATTTTTTAAGATTTTGAAAACTACACTTTTTATAAGTAAAAATACTAAATTATCCTAGTTGAAGTTTCTAACTAATTTAATTAAAACTCAATTTAATTAATTAATAAACTAAAATCTAAATAACAAAAACAAAAGATTATAATTTGATTTTTTTTTCATGTTAAACTGATAAACATTTTTAATTCCTAATTATCTGCTAAAAAAGTTTTGTATTTTTTTTGTGGCTCAATATTATGGTCAATGTTTGATGAATATTATATTGTGTGTGGTATTAATTTTTTTCTATGAAGTTCCAAAAATAATTAAATCTATTGAAATTTAAAAAAAAAATATTCTCTAAATTTATCAGTTTTTAAATTTTATTTTTTAAATAACTTAAATATATTTATCTTAACAAAAATAAAATAATATCATTACAAATTTGGGAGCTGCTAAATTGGCTTACCTTTTAGCATTAAGAAAGGAAAGTACTAAGGTGCTAGCGCTAGGGTTCTTCACTATGTTAGATTCCCCGTTGAATTCCCCGTTGAAGGTGAAAAATAGTTATAATGTAATTGTCTTTTGTACTTCATTTTATCTACATCTTGTGTATGTGATGGTCATCTTTGGTTTCATTGAGGATTTTGACTTTGCCGGTGGTTTCTTAGCCGCTTCTTTCGGACTAGTCTTTGAGAAATGTGAAATTTGGTGGCATTATCCTCTTCTGTAGTTTGTGGGGCTATCTAGACACTAGACTACGCTAGACACTTTCAGAGTGACACTGGATGATGAGCTCACTACTCTTACATCACACATTTTGTAGTTGAATGGTGATATTCTCGCAGTCCATGAACCATTCATGCACATACCAATTTTACGAGACACAACCCTTAAGAAAAAAAAATCAAGGAACACTGATTACTGAAAGCTGAATGTTAAATTATATCTAACAACATAGAGAATATGTCCTTCTGCTCTCTTCTTTAAGCTCAATTCAACAAAATAAGATAGCCAAATCATAACCAATTCTAATGTTTAACATTAAAGAAAGTTTGTTTTTTTAAGTTATATAGCCATTTTGAAACCACATAACTTTTATTACTGTGTAGGTTCATATTTTGTTTCTTCCAAGTATTACAAAACTTTTACGTTTAAACCTATGTTTCTATAAGTATGTCGCCAATAGTATTTAGTATTCTACTACGTGTGACATGCCTTTGTTAGTTTGGGGAAAAAAAATAGAAATCCGTTTTAAGTGATTATTTATGGAATTTTGCATATGTTTAAAGTGGGAGAATAGAATCTATGAGATAGTTTACAATCCACCGCGATCGCGTTCCTTGTTCCCTCCTTCTATCCTTTTTACTTTCTACCATATGCATCTTTGTCGATCTAGTCGAGAAATCGAACCCTAAATCCCAAATCGTGAATCTCTCGAAAAATTGAAGATTTGGGTTGCTTAATTTGGCAGTGCAAAAATCGCGATGCATCGCAGTTTTCCGCCAGCCGCGATGCCGCCGATTTCATCCATGACAATGAATTATTCATTCTCTCCTCCACCATCCTCCGGCGACTTGCCCGGGATCCCCGACGCCTGGTACGGCAACATTCAGTACCTGCTTAATATCTCGGTGATCGGGCTCTTAACCTGCGTCTCCATCTTCCTTTTCGTTAAGCTACGCAGCGATCACCGTCGCATGCCTGGTCCTTCTGCTCTCTTCTCTAAGCTCCTCGCCGTCTGGAAAGCCACTTGCCGCGAGATCGCTCGGCACTGCGGCGCCGACGCTGCTCAGTTCCTCTTAATCGAAGGTGGTAGCTTCGTGCTCCTTTTCGCCATTGCTCTTTTGGCTGTTTCGGTTATGCTTCCTTTGAATCTATATGCTGGGACTGCTCTGCTGAGTGACGAGCTCTCCAAGACCATGATTACACATATTAAGAAAGGTTCTGCTCTGCTTTGGCTGCATTTCGTGTTTGTTGTCATTGTTGTCGTCATCTCGCATTTTGGAATCTCCGCCATTGAAGCTAGGCTCAAGTTTACTAGATTTAGAGATGGGAATGGCAATATCAGCGACCCGAATGCAAATTCCACTGCTGTGTTTACAATGGTTTCCTCTTAAAGTCTACAAACTCGCAAACTCTTTCATGGTATTCTTCATTTGATACAGTGACTTTTGCAGATGATCGTCAATGCTCGCTCATAATCGCCTCCATCAGGCTAAAAGAACATCAAAAATAAGTTCCAAGTGAGTTTTCCCATTTTAAAATTGTATAGAATTACGTATAAGAAAAGGCTGAAGAGAGATCACAAAAACCTACGTGTTCTGTAAAACATGAAGTCAAGGATCATAGCCCATCCATTTTGTCCAACAGCGTATCTAATTCCATTCCGGGTTCGTAGCAGTAAATACATTACAATTCTGCGCAAAGGAAATCAATTTGGATTCAGAAATGCGAATGTAAAGGATATATATAGTAATGTGTAATTAACTGTAACTCACTGTTGTGGGAAAATCAATATGGTGATCCTCCTTAATATGGGTGACATAACAATCACAAATATCAAGGCTCCCCCAGCAAGTAAAAGATCTTCTGAACTCTGGAAACAAGTGTTTTTTTCTTTCAATTGATATTAAATGGAAAACAGGAGACTATAAGTTATTTTTTAAAGACAAGAACCTGAAGAATCAAAAGCGCAGACATAATAGAGATGCACCACGAAATAAACACTGATGTGCTATTGTCAATGGAGCCATCTTGAGCCTTGAGAAGTGGTGAATGCATAGCCAAAAATCCCCAATGTATTCCTATGAATTGTAGACAAAGCAACCAACACAGCACATTCTAAAACCAAAAAGCAGATAATATGTGTTTAGCATCTTCATGAGGTTACATAAGCTGCAAAGTAAATTTGGACACTAATAAAACAAACCGACGTACACTCTCATCATCGAACCCCAACGCTCTTGGCACACCTTGAAAGAAACCGGGTATGTGGGGAAGAATGACATAAGTTACACCAACCTGACCAACAAATGAAAGCAGAAAAAAATATAATATTTTTAAGTGTTATTGGGATAAAAAGAGTTTGAAGATAATGAAATACAAAACACAATAAGTAAATTACCAGAGATGAATATATGAAAAATGCCAAAAATCTCCGTCGAGTCGGTAGAAGCTTAATAATCTGAACATCAATGATCAAAACCAAAATCGCAAATAGTAAAATAGATTATCTCTCTCTTAAAACACACAACTGAGAAGAGAAGAACATTACCTGAAAGAGGAGAAGCAAGAAGACAAGGATAAGACCAACAGTGAAAGAACAAGTGCAGTAAAATGCAAATGATCTACTCAGTGGAGAAGCCCAAAGCAGTAAGATGGTACCAATGATTAAGAACAGTGGGCGATACATCAACGACTCTGCAACAAAGTAGAATCAACCAGTGCAACAAAGTAGAATCAAGTCATCAACCAATGAGGAAAGAATATAGTTTAATTTTCAAACAAATAAAGAACAAAAATCTCACCAACTACGCTGGACACTTCCAGAGTGACATTGGCAGATGAGCTCACTACTCTTACATCGCATATTTTGTAGTCAAATGGTGACATTCTCGCAGTCCATGAGCCGTTAATAGCTTCCTTCCAGAGATGATGAGGGCACATACCAACTTCAGGAGACACAGCCCTTAAGAAAAAAAAGAATCAAGAAACACTACTTACTGAAAGCTGAATGTTAAATCATATCTGAAAACAATCTGGTTTGGACTAGAAAGACTCACAAAGAGCAGCAAATGTGTATTTTACTTGTTTTCCCAGCAGCTGAGGCTTCAAAATTTAGCTTGAGTGAATGTGTATAGTCCTTATACATGAGGAGATACCTTTGATATCCATGGATATGTATCCTGGCATATTGATAGGTTATTTCTTGATTCAACCCAGGAGAACCCTTGACCTCTAAACGAGGAGTGACGTTAAACACTATTCTCTCTCCCACATCTCCCACAACTATTCATACATTGGGTTACAAAACACGTTAAAAATCTCCAATAAAATCTCCAATAATAAGAGCTAACTCTAGAAAAAACTTACCCAACCGTTCATCATCAGCTGAACCAAGAGGCAGGCATGGCGGGGATGAAACGAGAGACGAGAAAACAATGATGATTCCCATAACTAGGAGGAGGAGAAGATTAGTATCCATTGCTGCTTTCTGGGCTGTTTTTTTTTATTGTTTGAGGAACCAACAAAAGATATATTTCAAGGATTAGGGTTCCAGGGTTGGTTTTGGTTAAAAATTACTGAAATCAATGCAGGGCAAGCTTACCTGTGTAATTCGAGTTTCGTTTTGTGTTTTGAACTACAAAAATCAACTTGCGTCACCACCAGAATTGAGATGTTGCCACCGAAAACCCTTTACGAAATTCACAAATCACAAATTAGTAACTGGAACCCTCTAATCAATCAGAAACAGAACAAAAACCTACGAAATCTATACCTTAGTAAGAGAAATTTGACAGGACGTCGAGCAATTTGAGAAGAATCAGACGAATTCTTAAAAAAAATTCGCTCCGATCCAGAGATTTCAGAATAGAAGCTTATACAATCTCAAACAAATCGGAGATACATAGTGAGAAAGAAGATCAGAGGAATTCGCGAGTTTCAGATGCAAGTGAGAAGAAGATCGAAGATAGAGGAGGATTGATGTTTTGATATTTCTGGGGAAAAATCTGAGACGAACTCGCAAGCAAATTTTTAGGAAAAGGGGTTTTATTTTATCAGTGTATAAAGAGGAGTGATTTACAGTTATAAGCAAGTTATAAGCACTTTTGTCTTTTTTTTTACATTTATAGGCACTTTGTGTTCTTAGGTGACTTTGGAGTATTGTAATGACAAAATATTCTTTGCTTCTTTTTTTTATTACAACTTTGTTAACTACTTGTTTTACTTTACTTTTTATTACTTATCTCCATTGTTTCACCTCCTTTCATATTTTAACTTTTTTCCAGAAAAACTTCTAACGACAAACAAAAAAAAGCTCTAAAAACACCGCCATGATTTCTCTGCCGCTCCTCTCCCGGTAACACTGCTGTATTAATTTTTTGTTTTAAGTTTCTCTTACCGATGAATTAGATCGCCATTGTTTCTCTGTATGAAGAATAGCTATTTTACAGAAATCCCGTCACCTATTTGTGTATAAAACAGAGGTATAGAAAAAGCTATGGAAGGTGATTCTAATCTCTCACTCTTCTTTTTATCAGAAGAATTGTAAATTGATAGGTTGTTAAATGTGTAGAAAATCGACAATTTGAAATTCATTGCTAAGTTGTCTTCTAATTGCTTACAGAAGCGAGAGATTTAGTTCAGATCTGGGCTTTCCTAGCTTTGAGATATACACCTGTGGCAAGACTCACCCGTCCATGTAAGTTTTTAGTGACATGGAGATGGTCATGGATATGAAGAGATAGTTATGGATATACACCCCGTCCAAACTCACCCATCCACGTGACCACGCATGTGGGTGAGAGTGGCATACAGGAAGAACTTATGTTACCTGTTTTTCTCGAAATTCAACCCGTCCAGAGTCCCCAGTACACAGACATATCATTTCTTGGGAGAATGTGAAGGAGAACAAGAAATAGGTTACATAACCTATACTCAATCTTTTATGTTTTCTCGCAAAACCTATACTCATCCTTTTTTAGGTTGTCCACGATCCTTTATGTGAGGAATATCCTGATGAAGTTATTTGTGTACAGACGGATCAACTTGGTTAAGCGCGTATGGATATGGACAATTCCGAAGGAGTTGTTGAGAAGCTTGTTATCCATCCACCGATCTAAATCAGCCATTAAACTGAATGTGCACGCATCCACCGTATCCTTACCAAGAAGATAATATATTCTCTACTACCAAACAATGACACAGCTATAAAATACTTTTCCTTTATTACGACCTAAGGGTCAAACACGTCTGCCCAACAATGCATGAACATCCATCTCTTAATTCAGTAACTCATAATTACATGTATTATGAGAGAGTCATTAACAGTCGAGAGCTACATATCACTGTTGCCAATCCATGAAACTAAATCTCAAAATACAATAAGACCTTATGGTAGAAGACTTTATGGTAGAAAATATGGGCCTTCCTAATTGGTTGTTGAAAACCGATCACTTTCTAACCCCGTCCAAAGTCACCCGTCCATGTGAGTTTTTATTGACATGAGAAAATGGTTATGGATATGAGGAGATGGTCATATACACCCCTGTTTTTTTGTCATGGATATGAGGAGATAGTTATGGATATACATCCATGTCTAGACTCACCCGTCCACATGGAGCACGCATGTGGGTGAAAGTGGTGTATAAGAAGAATTTATGTTACTTGTTTTGCTCGAAATTCAACCCCGTCCAGAGTCCTCAGTACACATACATACCCGTCCAGAATCCTCAGTACACATACAACTATACAAGACTTTATGGTAGAAGATATGGGTCTTCCTAATTGGTTGTTGAAAACCGATCACTTCTCTAGCCCCGTCCAGAGTTACCCATCCACGTGATATGAGGAGATGGTCATGAATATTCACCCCATTTTTTTATTAGTAAGTGGGTGATTGATTTATCCATGAAGTCGTAATCTAAAAGTTTATACGAGGAGATGATCATATGGACATTGTCTGAACCTGATCGTATAGACATATTGTATGGACATTGATCATATAAGACTCGAAACTTCCTAAACATACCAATTCGACGGTGAGATTTGAGTCATGCTATATCCATTCATATTTCAAAACAATTATCTAAGTAAAGACGTCCAAATGGACGCATTACGACGTGTACACGATGTGTGGACATGTATATGTGGACATAAGCGCGAGTTAATCCAGATTCATCTTCTCCAAAACTTTAACGAACTGAAATTTTTCCAGATCGTCAATAAACTCAGATTCATATAATAGGAGCATAAATTTTTCCAGATCCATCAACTCCTCTTCTTAGCTTCGCAATGGTTTTCTTCCTTTGACTAAGACAAAAGTAGCTTTGTTTTAAAGACAAATCTTTCCTAGATCAAATATCTGTTATTCTTAATCTCTGTATTGTCTTCTTCCTCTGATATATGGCAAACTTAAATCCGGACGAGTTCATCAGGTTTCAGATCGAAGAAAGTTACTGCGACATTTATGGTAAAAATCCTTATTCAATTGTAAAAAGGAAAAGGACGCAAACTTAATGAAAGGTTATCAGTGGAATTTCGTTCTCTTATTTTTGGGGCAAAGTCACCAAGTAGTGAGAAGTGTCTTTGTGTGTAATTAGAAACTAGAAATGTGTCTTTAGATGTAATTCTCTCGATAAAAAGGGATTTTAGCGTCAGTTAATTTTTGATACTAACATTATTTCGTTTTATTTTATTTACCGTCATTAAAATGACTTTCTACCGTGTATTTCAATAAAATAACTAAATAAGTCATGTAGCCCCATGTCTTTGTTAGTTTGGGCAAAAAAACTAATCATAAAAAAATTAGAAAACCGTTTTAATACTAAAAAAACTGGAATTATATGGGAATTTGAGTTATTATTTATGGAATTTTCTTATGCTTAAGCGGGACTATATGAGATATGTGAGATAGATTACAATCCACCGCGATCGCGTTCCTTGTTCCTCCTCTATCCTTTTTACTTTCTACCATATACAGTACATCTTTTTGTTCTAGTCGAGAAATCGAACCCTAAATCCCAATTTTTTCTCCAGGATGAAACTCGGATAAATCGTGAATCTCTCGAGAAATTGAAGATTTGGTGGGTTGCTTTATTTGGCAGTGCAAAAATCGCGATGCATCGCAGTTTTCCGCCAGCCGCGATGCCGCCGATTTCATCCATGACAATGAATGATTCATTCTCTCCTCCACCATCCTCCGGCGACTTGCCCGAGATCCCCGACGCTTGGTACGGCAACATTCAGTACCTGCTAAATATCTCGGTGATCGGGCTCTTAACCTGCGTCTCCATCTTCCTTTTCGTTAAGCTACGCAGCGATCACCGTCGCATGCCTGGTCCTTCTGCTCTCTTCTCTAAGCTCCTCGCCGTCTGGAAAGCCACGTGTCGCGAGATCGCTCGGCACTGCGGCGCCGACGCTGCTCAGTTCCTCTTAATCGAAGGTGGTAGCTTCGTGCTCCTTTTCGCCATTGCTCTTTTGGCTGTTTCGGTTATGCTTCCTTTGAATCTATACGCTGGGACTGCTCTGCTGAGTGACGAGCTCTCCAAAACCATGATTACACATATTAAGAAAGGTTCTGCTCTGCTTTGGCTGCATTTTGTGTTTGTTGTCATTGTTGTCGTCATCTCGCATTTTGGAATCTCCGCCATTGAAGCTAGGCTCAAGTTTACTAGATTTAGAGATGGGAATGGCAATATCAGCGACCCGAATGCAAATTCAACTGCTGTGTTTACTATAATGGTGCAGGGTTTGCCTAAGAATTTAGGGTCTGATAGAGTTGAGTTTGAAGAGTGCTTTAGGCAAAAGTACCCTGGGAAAGTTTACAAGATTATTGTTCCAATGGATTTGTGTGCACTGGATGATCTTGCTACAGAGTTGGTTCGTGTTCGAGACGAGATCACTTGGTTAGTTGCCAAGATGGACTCTAGGCTTCTACCGGAAGAGTTTGCGAATGCTAGCGATGGTGGATTACTGTCTTACGTGACTACTCTGTGGATTAGAGTGAAGATCTTTTGGTCTCAGATTACAGAGAGGTTTGGTTTTACTGATGATGAAAAACTGAGGAAGCTGCAAGAGTTGAGAGCTGATTTGGAGTCTCAGCTAGCTGCATATAAAGAAGGACGAGCACAAGGCGCTGGGGTTGCTTTTGTGATGTTTAAGGATGTGTACACAGCTAATAAGGCTGTTCAGGATTTCAGAAACGAGAGATCAAGGCGTACCGGAAAGTTTTTCTCTGTTACAGAGCTGCGGCTACAGAGAAACCAGTGGAAAGTTGAGAGAGCACCCTTGGCAACTGATATTTACTGGAATCATCTGGGACTAACAAAAGTTGCTCTTATTGTACGAAGAGTGATTGTGAATACGATTCTGTTGTTGATTCTTGTGTTTTTCAGCTCCCCATTGGCCTTGATTAGTGCCTTGATCAGTGCCGGACGAATCTTCAATGCTGAAGCATTGGATAATGCTCAGTATTGGCTCACTTGGGTGCAAACTTCAGGCTGGATCGGGTCTCTGATATTTCAGTTCCTGCCAAACGTCTTCATTTTTGTTAGCATGTACATTGTGATCCCTTCTGCTCTCTCGTATCTTTCCAAGTTCGAGCGTCACCTAACGGTGTCTGGAGAACAAAGAGCAGCTCTCTTGAAGATGGTTTGCTTCTTCCTTGTGAACCTCATCGTGCTCAAGGCTCTTGTCGAGTCGTCACTGGAAAGCGCGCTCTTGAAAATGAGCCGTTGCTATTTAGATGGTGAGGATTGTAAGAGGATTGAAGAATACATGAGCCCTTCCTTCTTGTCAAGATCATGCGTTTCTGCTCTAGCTTTCCTCATCACAAGCACGTTCTTGGGAATCTCCTTTGACCTACTCGCTCCAATCCCTTGGATCAAGAAAAAGATCCAGAAGTTCAGGAAGAACGACATGCTTCAGCTAGTCCCCGAGCAGAACGAAGAGTACCCTTTGGAAAATCAAGAGCCAAGCAGTAACCTTGAGACACCACTTCTCCCTGAAAACATGTTCGAGTCTCCAAGGTTCGGCGACATCGAGCCAATGAGCCAAGACCTCTCTGAATACCCAGTCAGCAGAACCTCACCAATCCCAAAACAAAAGTTCGACTTTGCCCAGTACTACGCCTTCAATCTCACCATCTTCGCCTTGACGATGATATACTCTTCGTTCGCTCCACTCGTGGTCCCTGTAGGCGCGGTTTACTTCGGTTACAGATACATTGTCGACAAATACAACTTCTTATACGTGTACAGAGTTCGTGGCTTCCCTGCAGGGAACGAAGGAAAGCTGATGGACACGGTTTTGTGCATCATGCGCTTCTGCGTCGACCTGTATCTCGTCTCCATGCTCTTCTTCTTCTCTGTCAAAGGAGACTCCACAAAGCTTCAAGCCATTTTCACACTTGGTGTGCTTGTCATGTACAAGCTTTTGCCTTCGGATACAGCAGACCGGTTTCAACCGGCTCTTCTCCGGAGTATGCAGACCGTCGATAGCATCGTCGACGGACCGGTGGATTACGAAGCTTACTCTCAACCCAACTTCGATTGGGATACTTACAACAGATGATTTTGCGACCTTGATAAGTCTTATTAGTTTTGTTCTTTGACCAAAATTCTATTTTTCGAAGTTAAAGAGTGTTCTCTTTGTAAGTTTGTATATCTCTCTGTGTATAATGAATGTTTTGAGCACTTATCAATATGGACCTCTTTAAGCATTAATATCCAATTCTTTCATAATTAATTAATTATGCGATAGAAGAAGCCGAAATGAGCAGGTGGGACCCAGTCGATCGGAGTATTCTTTTCAACACATGGACTGTTACACTCACCTAACGAAGAAGAAAGAACATAGATCTCTTCTTCTCTTCCTCTCAAAGTCTCGATTTTTTCTTTCCTCGTTTCTCAAAATACCTAATTTTGTTTTCTGTTCCCCCAATTATTCACTTTTCGAAGACCTAAATCACGCTTTTTGATTTCGAATATTTCTTGGGTCTCTCTCTGGTCATGATTTCTTATTCTCTCATTGTCTTCCCGAGAAAGTTCTCCGGGAAAGTAGGATAATTCCGTCGAGTTCTATAGAGATTGTGTTCGCAATGTCGTGCTGCGTCTTCAAGAGTACTCTCTTCTTGATCCCGATTTTGACGTTACTGAGCTCCTGGAGCTGCAATGGTCGAATCTTCACCTTCGAGATGCACCACCGATTCTCCGACGAAGTCAAGCGGTGGTCCAATTCCACCGGAAGATTCGGTAGTTTTCCCCCTAAGGGAAGCTTCGAATACTTCAACGCTCTCGTCCTCCGTGATCGGCTTATCCGCGGGCGTCGCCTCTCAGAGTCGGAATCTGACTCGTCACTCACTTTCTCCGACGGAAATTCCACTTCTCGTATCAGCTCTCTCGGATTGTAAGTTGCATTTTGCTCAGATTGTCCAATTTCGAGACTTCTCTGCTTCAGGATAAGTCTGATTTTTTTGTTTCTTCTTCTGATTTCTCAGTTTGCATTACACGACGGTGAAATTAGGAACTCCGGGATTGAGATTCATGGTGGCTCTCGATACAGGAAGCGACCTCTTCTGGGTCCCCTGTGATTGCGGCAAATGCGCTCCAACCGAAGGAGCTACATACGCTTCTGTATGTTAAACACACTTTTAGCAATTACAATTGTTGAGAGCTTACTGATCTTTAGCAGCTGAATCCTTGATTCTGTGGTTTCTATTTGCTGTGTTTTAGGAATTCGAGCTGAGCATTTACAACCCTAAAGTCTCAACCACAAACAAGAAGGTGACCTGCAACAACAGTCTATGTGCGCAGCGTAATCAATGCCTTGGAACATTCAGCACCTGCCCTTATATGGTGTCTTACGTCTCTGCTCAGACTTCGACGTCCGGTATCCTCATGGAAGATGTTATGCACTTGACTACCGAAGATAAGAATCCAGAGCGTGTCGAGGCATATGTCACATTCGGGTTAGCATCTTCACCACTGCTTCTTGTGTGTGTGTGTTGAGTTGAATGCAGTAAGTTCCTGAGATGTGAGCAATCTGTTGCAGATGTGGACAGGTCCAAAGTGGTTCCTTTCTAGATATTGCGGCACCGAATGGTTTATTTGGCCTTGGAATGGAGAAGATATCTGTTCCAAGTGTTTTGGCGAGGGATGGTCTGGTTGCTGATTCTTTCTCCATGTGTTTCGGACGTGATGGAGTTGGGAGGATTAGTTTCGGGGACAAAGGAAGTTCTGATCAGGAGGAAACACCGTTTAATCTGAATCCTTCACAGTAAGTGGTAATTCACTTCCGTTTCCTTTTGTGAAAATCCGATATGCCAAAGAATGCACCTTTTAAACCTTTGGTGAAACTTTTGTGCAGCCCAAACTACAACATCTCGGTGACTCGGGTGCGTGTGGGGACTACTCTAATAGATGATGAATTCACAGCTCTCTTTGACACTGGCACGTCGTTTACTTACTTGGTGGATCCAATGTACACGGAAGTCTCTGAGAGTGTACGCATCTATACACCATCACGTTCGTTTTTGTTTCCTCACCATGCTCCATTTTTGACATGTATATGAATCACGTTGTGGTCTTCAGTTCCATTCTCAGGCGCAAGATAAGCGCCACTCACCGGATCCAAGGATTCCCTTCGAATATTGCTATGACATGAGGTACGAGTTTGTATCTATCCGTCCACACTCTGTGCTTCTTTGTCTCCGCCACTCAAATCTAAACATGTTTCTTGTGAACGGTGTTGATCAGCTCTGAGGCTAATGCCAGTTTGATACCGAGTCTAAGCCTCACAATGAAAGAGAACAGCCACTTCACCATCAATGATCCTATAATCGTCATCTCTACTGAGGTATGTCATTGATAGTCTCTCCCTCTCTCTTTACTCTTTTTCTTTTCTATCATTCCTTGTCTTCCTCAACCCAACCTTAATGCTTTCAGTAACTCTTCATTCTCACAGGGTGAGCTTGTATATTGCCTGGCCATTGTCAAAAGCTCTGAACTCAACATAATCGGACGTAAGATCAGTTTTTCTTCTTATCAGTCATCCAACATCTGGTCAATTATGTTGACCTCACATTGTTTTTAGTAAACTTTTTACCCTTGATGAAACAGAAAACTACATGACCGGGTATCGTGTAGTATTCGACAGAGAGAAACTCGTCTTAGCTTGGAAGAAGTTTGACTGTAAGTCTCCTCTTACGTTTGATAGATCACTTGTGGTCTGACTTATGTATGATCTGTGAATTTGTGTGTGTATCTTAACGCAGGCTATGATATCGAAGAGACGAAGACAACACTCACCGGAGCAAACAAAACAGAGGCGGTGGCTCCAGCAATGGCAGCTGGAATAGGGACTCATAGTAATTCCTCAGAGCCACACAAAACAAACCAAACCATCTCCAGAAGTAGCTCTTCCTCTAACCAAAGATTTATAACAGTAAAGCTATGGTCCTTTTTCAGATTTGTGTTCATATTACTTCCACTTTTTATAGTCTTGTAGTCATCTTCTTTCGAGAGAAGCCAATTTTTTTCTTTCTTTTTTTGTATCATAACGAGACTATAGAGATCGGCTTCTTCAGGAAATATATGCTCTTTCCACTCAGATCACTAACTCATCTCTGCGTATGACAATTCTTGAACACTTTTGCTCTTCTGTAGTCAGAGACTTACTAGGCAAAGCGAACTAAATCGGGATATATAAGAGAAATAAATGGTTTCCATATTAATGGCCACGACCGGATTTTGATCATTTCTTTAATGTTATATCTGTTTGAGATGGATTGTATATATGCACATTTACGAACTTTGTTTGTCACATAAAACTCATTATAGCCAACAGAGTACTATGTTTTGGTTTACTCGAGATTCTCTTATCTATCTCTATCCATTCTTCGAATGTAAGGAACAAGAAGATCATGAATGAAGTGGTTAGATATTTATCGTCACAATATGGGTTTTCATACATTGTGAAAAGAAGATTCGTATTCTAAAGGTATATGAAAGGACTATTCAGTATACATTCTCGAATAAATATATCCAAGATGTTAACATAGTTACACCAACATGAGTCCATGACCAATGTCAAGAGACTAGTTTAGTGGATTAATTGTAAGATATCATACAGAATATGGGAGACAGACCGAAGTTTCACATAATAAATATTTTGTATTTAATAAATTTATGAAAAAGGTTTTGTATAAGAAACATTTAATTATCGGGTAACCATTGACATTCTTTTTGTCAACAACCATAGACATTCTAAACAAAGATGACAACATTACTAGACTAATATTCGTAATTTAATGGTCAACGTAGCTTATATTTGAATTATACGAAGTCTCTTGTTAAGAATTTCTCAAATTTATGAATAATTAAGATCGTTTTTTTATCAAAATGAAAATCGCAGATGTTGATTAACTAAAAAGCATTGATATATTCACTGCCAAAACTATTGATAACTTGAATTTCTTACAAGTCAAAATTCTTACCTGAATTTCTTAAGACCCGACATCTTGTTTTATAACACCATTTCTCCGCATAGATGTTTTTTTACATTGGTTGTCTAGTACCACTTGTATCTTAATTTAGAATTTCGGTTTATATTAGTTGACTCAACAAAATATTGTCTAAAGTGTTATGAATTTTGTTTAAATCAGTTCGATTACGAGAAAATGACTTAGTGCCCACTATCACGTTTAGTTGAAGCTGTAAATTGATATACAAAAAACCACAATCTTGAAATCTAGAGTCTTGAAGGAGTATTTATTTGCTCTGACAAGCTAGAATGTAATTTTAAAATTAATAAAGTATTAAAGTTCAGAAATTTGAAAAATTTAATGGTTAAAACTGCATGATTAGAACAAAATCTTCTGAAGTAACTTTTTGATCTCTAATTCTTTGACCTCCTCAGATTTCAAGATCGGAAAGTGTCAGGAAAAAAATTGACACTTAAATATGTTCCTATGGTGTGACTCATTCTTTTATTCTTTTCTTTTTCATATTCTAAGAAATAAATAAACACTATAAAATACAATATGCAAATATATAACAGAAAAATCATCTACTATTAATTAAAAAACATACTAATTGTGTAATTTAAACACGGTTTTCAGTTAATACTTAACAGTGTAAGAAAGTTGAATATGGTGGAAAAAACGATTTAATTGTTTGACCTATTTTAAGACAGTAAAAAAAAGTGAACCAACAGTCTAGTGCCACGTGCCGGATTTGGTCTACTCGGTAGTTTCACACTTTCACCTGTAAACGTCAACAATCCTTCAATAAGCTTCACAGCCAATAAGATTCAGAGAAGGAAGAAGTGTGTTTTTTTCTTGTGTTTACCTCAAGGGTAATCTCGTAATTGCCCCCTTCCACGGCATTTGTAGACAAAAAAATCCAAACGGAAAAAATGTAACAAAAAAGGAAGAGAAGTTTATAATTAAAAAAGGACAAATATAAGAACGGAAAGAAAAAAAACTAGAGAGAGAGAGAGAGGAGACTTCACTGCTCCATCGTCTTCTCCTTTCTGTGAATTGTTTTTGGAAAAATCCTTCTGCTACCATTCTTTTTCGCCATTACTCGAACCCTAGCCCTAGCTTCCTGATTTCGCAGAGGTTTCGTTGGATTCTCTCACTGCTAACTCTTTTTCCGGGGGTAATCGATCATCGTTCATTTAGATACTGTCGATCGGAGCTCATCGACTCTCTAACAAACCCTAATTTTTTTTGTCTGCTGATGGCGTCCGCCACTACCAATAACTCCAGCTCTTCTTCCTCTTCTTCTATCTCCCCTCGTCACATGACCGAGAAACACGGCAGTCCTACCGCCGCCGCCGCACAATCGCGCCGCCCCTCTCGGCAGGTTACCTCTCCGTGGACTCAAATCGTCCGCGGCGAACCAGAGCCGATCGCCGCCGCTCCTTCCTCCCCTCAGCCCAAGGCCCCGATCGAGCCGATTGCCTCTGTCTCCGTAGCTCCACCTGCTTCTCTTTTGACGGTGGAGGCGGCCTCGGCTCCTGGAGACGAGAAATCGGAGGAATCTGGTGGTCACGGCAATGCCGGAAAGAAACCAGTTTGGAAAAGGCCGTCTAATGGGGCTTCTGAGGTCGGGCCTGTCATGGGAGCTTCGTCGTGGCCTGCTCTCTCTGAGACCACCAAAGCTCCTTCGAACAAGTCTTCTTCTGATTCGTTAAAAAGTCTCGGCGATGTACCAACATCATCATCATCTCTTCTCCCCCTTTCTCAGGTTTCAACGATTCTCATGACCTTGTTGACTAAATATTCAACTTTTAATCTCTCCATTTGATCTAATTTGTTTCGAATTGACTATAACTGTGTACCGTAGAGATCGATGTAACCTCTTGGTAGAAAGTTTGTAGCTTTGATTGTGAAATGATGAAATGAATCTTAAGCTTTAGCGCAATTTTTTATCCTGATTTTGATGATGAAAATGCTTACATGTCTTATGACTTAGGGAATTGCAAATGTTCCTGTTGCTGCACCAAAGCAAGTCAGCCGTGCAAGCCCTAATCCAACGACAAATCACTCGCGGCAAAGATCATTTAAACGGAATGGCGCCGCCTCTGGAGCCGCTGCTAATGGTACTGCTTCTCAATCATCAGCGCAGGGCTCATCTGCTGAGTTGTCTTCGCACAACCCTTCTCCTAGAGGCCAAAACCAGAAGAATGGCTTTGCGTCACAGAGCCATGGTGGTGGTGGTGGTTCCGACAACCAATCTCAACGAGACTCGTACAGGAACCAAAACGGTAACCATCACCAGAGTCACGGTGGCAGGCGCAATCAGGAGCACGGGAATCAGAATTGGAATTTCCAGAGAAACTTCAACGGGAGAGATGGAAATGCACAGTCACAGAGAGGTACACCTGCTCCAGCGTTTGTAAGACATGCTCCGCCGCCTGTACAGACAATTCCTCCTCAGTTTATGGCAGCTCAGCCTATTCCGCCTTTTGGCAGTCCTGTCCCATTCCCTCCTGGTGAGACGCATTTGAAAGATCACGTCTTTTGAATTTCATTTTGTTGTTTTCTAATGTGTCTTCTTCTTCGTTTTCAGAATTGGCATCACCGTATTATCCCCGTATGCCTTTCATTGGACCTCTTTCACCTGGTCCAGTTTTCTTCCATGTCCAAGATCCTCCCTTAAACATCAAACTACAGAAGCAAATACATTATTATTTTAGGTAGTACCTTCGTATTGAAATTCTCGTTTTCTTCCAATTGCTCAGTAGTCAGTTCTCTTTTGGGAAGGAGTAATTTAGATTCAAATGTTTCTTTATGTTACAGTGAAGAGAATTTGATTAGAGACACATACCTTCGGGGGCACATGGATGATCAGGGCTTTGCCCCGCTTCGTGTGATTGCTGGTTTCAAAAAGGTACTTAAATTATTTTCTGGATGTGATGTGTTGTATGTTGGCCTTATTCGCTTTTCTCTGTTTATGATATGTAAACAGTATATCTTTTTTTCATTTCAAAGTTTATTCTTTAAACATCTGTAGAATTGCAGTCGCGTTATTTTTTTACTCAGAAACTGAGAATTAGAGTGAACTTGTATTCAATCCAATATGATCTTTAGATTCTTTTGTGACATTTGATGTGTGTATTCCTACATAATGAAATTCGTTGCTTCCTTTGCTCCTGTAGTGTGTTTTATTGCTTTTGTTTTTTACTTATCTTAATCATAGTAACTATGACATTATGTTGCTTAGTACCATATCCAGAGTTTTTGTACTATTCTTTGTGACTTTCAGCTATCTGTGTTGCTTCTTTTTTCTCCGTCTTCAGGTTGCAGAACTTACAGATAGTATCCAGCAAATAGTGGAGGCTCTACAAGGCTCACCTTTTGTCGAAGTGCAGGTATATCTTGTCTATGTATACTTTAGTGTTGTCTGCTATTGAATTTCATTGTCCTTCTGTTCTTTGAAAACTTCTGCTTTTATTTAATCACACATACTGTTTTGTTTTTTGCTTGTTCTTCTAAGGGTGACCGAATAAGGAAGCGCTACAATTGGCAAATTTGGGTGCTTCCTAAAGGGGCGAACCCTGTGGAAAGGGCAGATGCAATAGCAAGCCGAGTTGGAAACTTGTCGCTTGGTCAGGGCTCGGCAGACCCAATCGGTGGTTCAAGCAGTCAGTTGCAACCTGCGGAAGCTGTATCAGATGGTCAGGTGCAACAGTCTTCTGGTGTTGATCCAGCGAGTAACCGCAATGGCTCAGATGGTGCAAACCGTTGAACCATCATGTTTGGAGCTGTTGGTTAGTGTTGAACATGAAACATATTATTTTGTCCTGCCTAAAATCAGGAAAACAAAACAATAATGAAGGGGAATCAAACAACAACTAAAAAGAAAGAGGAACGGTAAGGCATAATACCAAAAAAGAGAAGAGAGACCCATATGAAAACAGAAAAAAAGGATCAAACATTTTATGATTCTTCTAGCTAGCGGAAACTTTGGAATATTTATTGTTTTTTTTTCTTTTTTGGTTTTGGTTTTTTTTTTGGATGCTGATAACTTTATATGTTTATGGTACTCTGCTACATACTATGGTTATTGATGGTTGCTTGTAGCCATTGTTATGGTATGAGACTTATCGGTTTGCTTGTTATGGTACACTCGTAAGTCTTGACTTCTAATCCTCTCTTTTCTTCTCTGTTGTTTGATGGGTTTGTTTATGCAAAGTGCAAGTTTACTTTTGTGAAACTCGTGAATCTCTTATTCCTTCTCTGTGAACTTGATGTGTAAGAAAAAAAACAAAGATTGCTAGAGTCACACAAAAATGTACCAGACGGCGTCGTCTTGTCGTTTGCTTGTACAGTATGTCTTTGGTGTGAACGGAGCAAACACGTGCTTAGCGCTCTGCTGACGTTGTACTGCTGTGTAGGGTATGATTTTCTTGAATGTCACAATTAAACAATTTTAATAAATTGTTCGGCGAGCTATCCGCTCTGTCATTAATACATTATCCTAGTACAGTCCCATATTTCATTTGCAAAAAATATAGAACAATCATCTGTTTTACTTTTATCCTTATAAGTTTGGCAATTAACAAAAAAAGAAAGATTCATGTGTATATATTCAAAATGTTTCATGGTTTGAAGTTTTGAATTACCCTCTCCTATATTCAGTTTTCACATGTGTGCCAAATACATATCGAGATATTTGGTTTTCGGCATCGTAGTGTTCACTTTTAGACTACTTACGTACTTTAACATTACTGAATTCAGGTACTAATTACTATACATTTATCATTCGTAGTAAATGAAAAATGAGTCAAATGACTACTCACCTCTCACTCTCTCAGTGCCCTCACTCTCACGACTTAGCTGAAGCCTAAGATGATCTAGTTATCATTCAAAGCCGTATAGGCTCTACTTAATTTAGTCATAACTATTTGTAATTAAACAAACACAGACACTTCACATATATTAAAATATTCTATATGTTCACCTAAATGTGGAAAATATAAAACTGAAACAACCCAATAATAGGTTTCAATGGCACAATCTCTATGATCAGAAATCAGAACTACTTTTATTTATAGTGAAAGTAAACCCTAATTCACAAAAACACACCAAAAAAATAAAAAGTTGGCCAATTCTTCTTTGCTATTTGGAGACGACAAGTACACAATCCCACCATCTCTCCACTATCCAACGGTTAGCATTCTTTTGGCTCTTCCGACTTCAAGTTTTGGCGTATTTATTTTATTGCCAATTTTAGTAGTACAGTATTACGATTATTATTTGTGTCCGTACGGTCTAGAGACAACCTACGATCAGACGATTATTGTACAGACCAATGGAACTAAAAAATCCAACGGTCGGAAAGTTGCGGGTGGTTCATATTGTTCGTTGGATTATAATTTGAATGTAAACCTGTTTTTTTCTTTTTTTCTTCGCACCTTTTTATTGTAAACCAAAATGAATAAATACATACGACTGTATATATATGAGAAAGATGGGACTTAATCAAATCAAATCATTTGTCCTAATCGATTTCGAGTCAATACAACTTTTTATTTTTTCCTGCCAACGAGTTTACTATCAAACATCTTTTGGTTTTTAGTTTTTAGTGTGGATTTCTCTGTATTAAAACGAATTTTTTTAAAAGTTATATCTTAATTCAAAAGCGGATATTCGTTCAAATTCATGGGCGTTTATATTGGGTTTTTTTTTTGTATTATATCAAGGTAAAGTCATAATATATTAATTAATATTTTATTCTACAACAGAAAAACAAATTTCATTAGTGATAAGAAATCCTTCGTTATTCCTTCAGTCGAGGACTTAAGGTGGGTAATATACACGGCAAATATTAAATAGCGAAAATTATAAAAAATAAAAAAGTAACAAAACAACTGGACTATGTTAGAACTTGCTATTTTGGCAAGCAAAATTTCCGTTTATATGCATGGTTTATGAGTAAACCAAAGAGGATATTAAAAGACAGAGAAAGAGATTTGATGGAGTTTGGGACAGAGCTACACAATGCTGACACCTGTCCAATCCCCCTGAGACATGACATGTCACTCACAAGTTCCATAGTTTGTGATATTATGGACATTTGGATTCACTATACTCATTCATCGCCTACTACCCCAACTTTATTTTTCAAAAATGAAGCTATATAAATAAGGTCTCCCAAATACACTTCTTAAAAAAATCTTTTAATCATTCTAACACCAAAATACGACCTATTTTGTTCGATGACAAAGTAGTAACATCTGTTGTAAACAAATATTATGAAAGTTCTCTGTTTTCGACCACAAATGGAAAATATCTTCTAGCAAATATCAGTATTTGAGAAGGTTGGTTTTTCTATGAGTTAATTATTTAATAAACAGCTGCTTTGCATGTTCAAAGATGGGACGTTTCCTTGAGGGCTATTTTTCATTTAAAATTCTTACACCAAAAAGAATATATATTATAATCATATGTGTACGGAAATGAATAGTTAACAAGTATTGTTGAATAGAATCTTGAGAGGAGAAGAAAATAAAGATTGAAAATCTCGTATTTTATTGTAACTAAATCATCAAGTTGCAGTAAAGAAGAAAGAAAATATGAAAAGCGTGACTAGATAAAGCACTTGGAGACTGAACAAATCTACGGGCGGACATATATATTCGAATATCTTGATATCTGGAGGTACTCAGATCATTTTACAAATTGTTATTTATATATTACATTACATTAGGGTAAAGATTTATCAATACGTCACAAAGAGTTAACCGCATTATCTTATCAATTAACAACTCTCGCCACTGGACCACTATAATATCATTAGTAGAATATCATCTTCTATTCGTCTATTTGGCTTATTTACTAGTTGTTGTTTTTAATTCGAAATTATATATACTTTTTTTATTAAATTGATAATCAAGATAATATTTTGATCTGGTTCCAAATATTTTGATAAAACAAAACAACATCAAGCAAAGATAAAACAAACAAAACCATATAATGGAATGGATCATCCTGAACAAATAATACACTTTAGTCTTTTTCCCACACAACAAAAAAAGGCCCCACATTTTTGGGGAAACACTCTTAAGTTTTCCTATTAACTTTCTAAAAACAGAATTAATTTATAAAATAAAACATTATAAACTGGTATCTAAAATATTTATCACAAGAGAAAGACCATGTTCTAATGGTTCTTATGCAAACTTTAATCTGCAAGCGATTAGAGAAATCAAATAAATTTATTCTGTTTCTCTAGTCGTTTTTAATCTGCAAATGATTAAAGGATAATGTTATTTAAATTTAAGCAAGATAAAAAAAAAAAGTCACACTTGAAAGTGATCCAAAAAGATGTGATCTACAAAAGTGAGATTAAACCAAAGTAGAATTATTTGCCTGCCTTTTTCCAAGCATCTCTTACCCCACTCACTCTTTACATTTAAGGATCATGACAATAGTTCACTAACTTCGCTTTGAAATCAACATTTCTTTGTTTAATCTCTATCCATCTTTGAAATTGAAGACATGAAAACTTTAATTACATAGTTATGGAATTTTTCTTCTTCTTTAAATAATTTATATTTTTTTTATTTTGAATAGTTTCAATCTCTGTCTCTTCTTCTGGACCCCAACCCATCATTCCAGAAATGACCGGCGAAAGTCAAGAAACTCTCTGAGCTCTCTACTCAATCCTCTCTCTCTCTCTCTCTTCTCTACTCTCTCTCTCTCTCTCTCTCTCTCTGAGTGTAGGATACAGAGACAATTGACACCAAAGCCTAAAGCTGTGTTGAGGTTCTCTTTTCCAATGTTGTCATCAGCAAAGCATCAGAGAAACCATAGAGTCTCTGCTACAAACAAGAACAAGACTCTCAACAAAGTTCCTTCCATTTCTTCCTCATCACCACCACCATCATCATCATCATCCTCATCATCATCATCATTTTCTCCTTCACACTCACAAGACTCTCAAGCCCAAAAGAGATCTCTAGTCACCATGGAAGAAGTTTGGAAAGACATCAACCTCTCTTCCATCCACCAACTCAACCGCCGCAGCCAACATCCACAGCAAAACCATGAGCCAAGGTTCAGGAGCCACGACCACCAGAACCAAAACCCTAACTCCATCTTCCAAGATTTTCTCAACGGACCTTTGAACCAGGAACCGACAATACCGACAAGCCTCACCATGGGCTCTGCCTCTAATGGCGACACCACCACTGTCACTGCTCTCTTCAGCAGCTCTCCTTTGCCAGCACCTGCAACTGTTCTGAGCTTGAATTCCGGAGCTGGCTTCGAGTTTCTTGATAACCAAGATCATCTTGTTTCCCCAAACTCCAATCTGCACAGCGACCGTGCCCTCACAAACGTTTCTTCCTTCGACACCCCTTTTGAGGCTCTGGTTACATCCACTTGCTTTGGTAAGAAAAGAGGCCAAGAGTCCAATGAAGGTTCAGGGAATAGGAGACATAAGCGTATGATCAAGAACAGAGAATCTGCTGCTCGTTCCAGAGCTAGGAAACAGGAATGTGTCTGTCCTCTCCTGATCTACTTCTCTGAATCAAAGGAAAGAATATATATAGGGTTCATCAAAATGCTTATCTAAAAAAAGGTTTCTGGGTTTTGATTATCATTTGCAGGCTTATACAAACGAGTTAGAGCTTGAAGTTGCTCACCTGCACGCAGAAAATGCAAGACTCAAGAGACAGCAAGATCAGGTAAACAAACTGAGAGAAGTTCTTCTTGTTTTACCCTTTAGATCCTTATAGCAGAACTCCAGTATTTACCAACTTAAAAGGAAATAGACATCTTCTGCACTACTTTCAGTATCTTTGTTTTGCACACTTTTTTGTCCAATGACATTTTGAGTAGACTAAGATTCTGATACTTCAGTTCTGTGTGTGTGTGTTTATGTGTGTTTTCAGTTAAGAATGGCGGCAGCAAATCAGCAACCCAAAAAGAACACACTTCAACGGTCCTCCACAGCTCCATTTTGAGAAATCAACCAGTCCTTATTACTCTTTTGGTGATTGAGCGTGTTTCATGAAGAAGTGAAAAAATGGAAAAGTCTGTACCTTCTTTTATTAGCCATAAGTATAACTAAGCTAAATTTGTTAGAACCAAGATCTCTTGCAGGGGAAAGAAAGAAGAGGTAAAAAAAAAAAAACAATCCCGGAAAGAGAAAAGGATCTTTCTATTTCCTAAGGTACAGGAACACCTGTCCTGGCCCTTGCCCTCTTGTTCTGTCATTTTCTTTTTTCACTTCTGTACTAACTCCTACTTGTATTCTTGTAGTAATGCTCCTTCCTCTTCTAATGCTAGTTATGAAAAGAAAAAAAATTGCCAGTTATGTTTTACTGTTTAACCCAATTGGTTCTCAAAAGAAGCAAAAGCTTCAAGTGACCAATAAACAAAACAGTGCTCCACTTAAATGATGACAATACCAAAGAAAAGTAAGAAGGGGACCTATCACTGAACATTTATGTTTCTCCCTGCCCCATTATCACAAAAACGTCCATTCCTTTGGCTGGCTACCATACAAACCAACAACTTGCACTATGAAATTGAAACCTCCAAGCCAATGGGATTCAAGTCAGCCCACTTTTTTGGTTGGTCAAGAGAGAACATGATAGGATTAGTTATGTTCTGGTCACCCCCACCCCCACGTTTTACTTACTCACTCCTACTGTAGCTTTTGCTATACTAGTCATCATCAACACATTAGGCTGTGTCTGTATGCATTTGGTTTTATCAGCAGAATAGTTTTATCTTCTTTTGGTCCAATAACAGTTACCTTACAGTGATAAGTTTCGTTGACGATGTCCAACTAGATTTGATCCACTTTTGGTTTTTGGTATTTTGCTGTGCATTCTTTTAGCAACCAAAAGCAGATAAGCGTGGACATCAAGAGCTAATATTGTGTAAAAATAGTGGCATTAAGATAGAGAAGAATAGTTACCAAAAGTGGGACTATGACTAGAATCAATCCTCACATTATATGGTTACACTCAGAACCCCTCGATTAGGCATCCAATACTTTTAAAATCATGCTTTTAGCTTCATTCTAGTCAATGAGAATCATAGACTTCAAGAACACTTTAGAAAAGGTCGGTGCATTCACCTCAAACTACATTTACATTATCTTTCAATTGCTTACATTAATGTTTCCAGAGATTCAAACTCTACTTTCAGAAATTCAAACTTAACAGAGCTACCAGAACTTGACCTCAAGCCTAAACAAAAGTGAATAAAGAACGATGAAATCCAGAGATGGTCAAGTAACTTGTACATAGGACAGAACGAACCATTGATAAGTCGCTCAAGTTGTTGCTACCTACACTCTGATCACTTTATTTGATTGGTGCAAAAGCAAACAAATCATTAAGCCTTTGATGTATCGCCTTCTTCCTCAAGCATTTTTCCATCCTTTGGAACCAAGCATGGAATCCCATCTTTAATCTGGCGTGTTCAGAGAAACAAAATCAAGTCTTTTAGCACTGAACCGTGAACACGAAGTGAAAGCTAAAAGAACAAAAAAGAATATGATTAAGAAAGGTTAAACGGCCGACCAATCACTTTAGCATATGATTATTCTATCAGTGAATCCCAATTCGACACCAAGAATAAATTGCTTTTAAGCTTTATTTAGTATGAAGCAAACGGAAAATAGAAAAAGCTCAATCTCCGATTTGACGATTCTTCATGCATTTGGAGATATGATTCTGAAAGCATATATGATAGTGATTTGCAACAATTTTTCAGCTGGGTGAGTTAATAAGAGCCATACATCTAACTTTCATGGAGCTCAACACGAATCAAAGCATCTTTCAGCAATAACCAACTCATCGGAATCGAATCGAAACTGAAATCGACTGCTAAAAACATGAAATTTTGGATATGAGCTTACAGGGAAAGAGACGCCAATAGTATCGCTGACCAATGATTTCGTCTTCTCGCAAAACCTTTTACATACAAATTCGGAAAATTGATTAAACGATGAGCCGCATCGAATCTGGCTACAAATGAAATATACAAATTCAAGGAGAGAAATCGAACCTCAAGGGTTGCTTAGAGAGAGGACACACCAGAATCTCCGAGAGGGTCTTGTCGATTGCAAATCCGGCGTATTTTAGCAACACTCTGCTAATTCTCACCATTTTCTGTCGTTGATCTTCAGTTCTCTGTGGAATTTCTTTTTTTCCGATCTCCGGCGGAATCGACCGGCGTTATGTTCCGAGCGATGATTTTGAAAATGAGCCAATACAAAACGCAACACTCAAAACGCCGTTTTGTTAGGGCTCCCTGTAATTTTGAAAGTTTCTATTTCCAGCCATGCGCCTAAATTCTTTTGTTTTGTGGATTAGTCCTTCAATGTTTATTGTTTACTGTTATGGAAGAATTTATTCAGATATTAGATATATATGCCTCTATTTCTGAGAGTTTTCTATTGATGCCCTCAACTCTAATATTGTACCAGACGGGACCTAATGTTTATTAGTGTAATGCGTATTTAAATAATTTAAATAGACTAGACTAGATAAGTAGATAATCAATATTAAAAAAAAAAAATTAAGTAATCATATATTTGGTTACTGTAGTTGTACATTCTCCTTTAACATGTCATTTTATATTTGTATATTAATAAATCAATCATTTTCTTCATTATTATATTGCCAATTTACCACACATAAATAAGTAGATTGCTTTTCCCACAAACTGTACTTTTAATTACATTTAGGGTAAAAACTAAAAAGCGTTCAAGAGAAAAAGCTTCTTGGCATATTACCGAACGGAGGGATGAATAGTAGAACCAATTTTCGTCTGAGAACAGTTAAGAAACGTTACGTAAATGGTAGGCATGTGCATTTTGGAAGCATCCCTTTAAAAGGACCCGACAGGTTCTGTCCAATTGTGAGATAGAGAATCATCAGTCTTATCATTTTTTGCCGATGCTTTAGGCTTTTAGATACGGTGATTACTAAATTGCATTCACATCATCATACAATTTCATGGGTTGCTCTACGTATTTCATCAACGTAGCAAATCGAATATGTAAAATACGTTCCACAATTTATAAAATTTACCTTTTTAAACCTAATCTATCAAATGTTAAAAGTGAAAGAAGGAAATTAGTTAGTCTATAAGTCTGATACACAACACAATTGCTGAAATTTCGATGTGAATCTCAAACTCATTTACATACGACAACGGTTGAAAAACAAAAGACAGCAAGTAAGTAGAACGAAGAAGAATCTCGTGTCATATTCAGATTTCAGAGTGACAACATAGCGTTGGTTTGTTCACCTTTCTGTATAATTGAAGATTTCAATGTTCCATGAACTGCGACGAAGGCGGGCTTATTTTAGTCTTCTCCGTACCTGCGAGGATATAAAAAGAAACAAACTTTGTTTTCGTGCTTCAAGATTATAATCAAATGTTGTTACAGATGTATGTATATAGTTTATACCATAAGCCCCACGAATCTCAACTTCTCTCAGTTCTTGGACAAGAGCACAGCAACAGCACATCAAATGAGAAAGAAAATCGTCAATGAACCCTCCCTGCGATATCATAAAACGTTAAACATATGCATTTCAACACAAACAAAATTGTTGTTTTTGGTTTACAGATGATAGGAAGCATATAGATGTTTGGAATCAAAAGTTTCTTAAGATAGATTAGGGTTTTAGCGTGTTGAAGAGAATGTACCTTTATGTTCAGTGTTTTCCGGAGTTTCCTCCTTACACAACAAGTATAGCAGCAACACGAAAGTATCAAAGAATATGCCATTAGCTCATTACACGTTTCAGCTGAAGCTGGTAGAGCGAGAGAGAGAAAAAAAGCAGTCAAGGTTATTAGTTTTCACATGTATTAACTAACAAACTGAAACATATAAAGTAGACGCTATTCGATATATCTCTTACAGGTGTGCCTGTTAGTTGCTGCAGTGGCAATCCTTGCCAAAGTACCACACGGGAAAAAGAATGTCTTCAAGCCTGCGGTTCCATCATTCAATCAATCATTCAAGACTTTACATATTACAAGAAAGTATGAAATGCAAAACGCTACTCATCCATATAAAAGAGAAAACAGAGTGAAATGACAATGGATACAAGAAGAGTGGACTTACAAAGAGAAGGCTCCGAGCAACAAGCCAATAGGTCGGTATGCCATTCTTCATGGTGCAATGATTCTCTTCGTGAAAGCAGATCATGCCCCGATGTAACAGATGAAGTGGATCTGCATGGAACAATCGAAACATTGTACCAAATCTTAGCCTTCAATAAATTAAAACAGACTTGAAAAGCATTCCATTCACAGCAAAGAATTGGAAACTAAACTTCCTTATTAATCACATTAGAAAATACACACAAGGTGCATTTATAGAAAGAAACATGAAGTTTGGATCTTTTAAGAAGAAAAAAATGGGGAGATGTTAACCTTGAAGGTGCACGACTAGTGGTTTTCTTTGGAGAATCTTCGTCATACGTATATTCTGTCCTATTACTCGAACTACGCTCATTTTTCTTAGAAGCTTTCTTCGTCAGCTCTTTCTCAGAGTCATCAACAGCAGCAGCAGTCTGTGTAACACCAATCAACCGCTGAATGACTTCACACTGAGCCACATCATAATGCTCCTGCGAACGCTGAAGCTCGAGCTGCAGCTTCTCGTTCTCCGTCTTGAGAGCATCACAGAAACGCAAGTTAGGGTATGAGCAAGAGAGAGTCTTCTTCAGCACCGACGCTGCTTCTCTGGTGGATTCTTGTTTCATAATCACATCTTGCACATGCCTATCCTCTTCATCCAGCGTATACTCGCAATGATCTCGGTCAATATACGCTAACCTCTCCTGCAACAATCATAACAGAAAAGTCAATTTTCCCCAATCAAGCAGAGAATCTTCAGATCGAAATTGAGGTTTAACTTTACCCTAACACGAGCGTTATCCACCAAAGTGATGAGAGGTATGATCTTAAGAAAACGATCAATCTCATCCTGAGCTTTCCTAAACTGGTAAACGATATTCCATCCCATAGCCAACAAGTAGAGATAGCTCCGGTCACGGCAACTGTTGACGAGAATGTACGACCTCCTCAACGCATCCTCGAGCCCTTCGAGCGGCTCTCGAGTCTCCGGATACTTCTTCATCTCAGAGATCTTCAGCTGCTCCAGCAAATTCCCGATTAGTTTGAGATGCTGAGCGAATTGACGGCAATTCTTCTTGTGCATCCAAGCGGTGTTCGCGGCTTTCACTATTAGCCCTATCAGCTTCACGGCGTCTAGCCCCGTGAGCTGCGCCACTGACGCGATCTCTCCGAGACCGTCCCATGAATGTGACATTTTCCTTCTTCGGTTAATCTCAAAGCGATCGGAAAGTTCCTGATGAAGCACCGATTCAAATTTTAAGATCGGAAAGTAGCTGGGGATTATCGAGATTTTTCGAGATTTTACCTTCAGTGAGCTAATTGATCGGGAAATTGCCGGAATCAGAGAATTCGATCTAACGCCGGCATTGTTGATTGAGATCGAGTACGAGCTAGATTCCGACGACGAATCGGAGGTCCACCGCAGAGAGATTCGGAATTCAGAGGAATGTATCAGTTGAGAGAGTGAAGCGAGGCTTGACTAAAACAGGGAGCAGCTTCTTCGACTGCGACAACAAAGAAGAAAAAGAAAAGTCCATAAGATACCAAATCAAAGAGATTCTCCAGGTCCTTAGGCTTTCTCCGTCAAAGATCCTCAACATCAAAAAGAAAAAATTAAAAAATTCACTAAAGACGGTTTCTCTTTGAACGCTTCAAGCTGACGAAAGCGAAAGAGAAAAATCCAAAGACCTTAAAGAAAAAAGGGGAAAAAGGCAATGAACTGTGTAACCTCCGATGAGTTCAAAAAAATTCGTCGGCGACAAAAATCCTCCGCCGGGAGTCAAGTCAAACGGAAAATACAGAGATTTTTATATAGAGAAAATTAAGAGAGAGGGAACAATATTGGAATGCTCACTTAGTGCATTGAAGAAGGTAACAGATATACTTTTCCTCTTCACGCTTTGCCTTTAAAAAATTAGAAAATATGAAAATGTTAGAATATTGATTGAAGAAGAACATTTTGACAATTACAGAGATAAGTTGTACGGGGAAATGCGAATAACCTGGAGATTTCTTCGTCGTCTTCGAATTAGGGCGGAGAGAAGATTCTCTGCTCAGGCAATTATCCGGAGGCAGAGATGAGTCATATGGAGAAGACGGTTTGTTTTTGTCTATTATGCATTCTTCGTAGCTTTCCCCCACACCTTCAGTTGCCACTCGTCGTCGGAGGTGAAGAGCCCATCTGCTTTTCTCGCGTTTTTACTGATATACCCTGCCCAACTCTCTGTAGTTACCAAAATGCCCCCCTCAGTGACTTTTCTTTTCATTAGTATAAATCAAGTTTGTAATCCTATAGCTAATGTGTTTTGTTACGCACTTACGCTTTGCTAATGTGGAGCTTACGTGACAGTACTAAAGAAATAATCATGTTCTAATGAATTACTATACTATACCTTAATGATGATGTCTATAAGTTTTAAAATTACTAAGTAAAACACCGTTGATAAAATAGTAATTCCGGTTAAGTACTGTCTACTTGTCTTACTGAGATGTATGACCTTGTTGTCTTTTTTTGTTGTCGGCATACATATGATCTCGTTTGAAACGAATAATGTAATGCTTCGTAATATACGGCACAACGCCGTGAATGTTATTTTTTTCTTTTCTAAGTAATAATATGCATATGAACAGCTCCAATGACTACAATCTAAAATTTATATGTATTTTTGTATATTCTTGTGATTCAATCTTAACCACTAAGAATTGAAACTCCTGATAGGAAAAATCTGGCAGGTGGTATGTTGACATTTTAGTAACTCGAGATACAATAGTTAAGTTTTACTGGTTTTATAGATCGTATAATTGTAAGTATACTTAAATCATGTTACATTGCGGTATACCGTATGAAAATGTTGCATGTTAGAAAGAAAAAGTGAAAGAAATTGGGATCAAAATGATTCATGATCGGTTGAAATTGATTTGTCTTTGAATTGCAGTTACTGTAATGATGACAGTTAAGAAAGGATAGATAATCAATTCATCATAAATTGACCTTTAGTTCTTTTTCGGTTGGAATTGATTTGTCTTTGAATTGCAGTTATATACTTTTATTTAATTAATTAATTCTCCCCACATTGATCTTGCTGCACGTGGATTACCATGATTGTCTCTAGACAGCTGGCGAAACGGACGGTAAACTAATGTTGTGTATCTTTTTTAGGAAAATATACATCATTCTTTTCATAAGGCTATTTAGGTTATAAATCCACTGAGTTGGTGACAAAATGTGAAAGCACCGGTTTCATGAAATTCATTGTAAAACGCGTAATCACCCTTTGCAGCATTACCAATGAGAAGTAGAGATCGTGCTATCTTGCGATTTCCCATATCAGATCATCACTGGACAAGCTTGAGCTATGGATTCTATGAAAACTCATGCTCCGACTTGATCTCGGAGTAAATTGCTACTATTATGTAAGAAAGAAAAAAGGGTATAGATAAATACATGTAATATAGAGCTATGAGAACTTAGAAAGATTTTGGCACGTATACAATTACATGTGTGGAATGGGTGGACATTGGTGGTGGTGGTGGTCCTGGTGTGGAATATGACTTCTACGCCATCTACCTTTTCGAGAGTGCCTCTATACCATGCGTCTACTCTACAAATTCATAAATGTGACCAGTTTTTTCCAAAATATTTACTGGTTTTTCTATATCGACCAAATTCAGTAATTTTTCTGTAAGAAAACGTTGTCATCACAATTGGTAACGGGCATTTTAAACGTATTTAAGGCAATCCAAATTAAACATTCCATAATTGTAAAAGTAAGAGAGAGAACTTATAGGAGGTAATAAAGATAGAGAAACTTTAGTTGTTTGGTGAATTGTCGTCTCCATGTGGTTTAAGTTGGGAATTATCGTGCATCTTACTTTATATTAAAATAAATGTTTCGAAATGTCCTTATCTGTAACATTAAATGGGACAGCTAAATTTTCCATACACATCATAATATTATTACTACTTGATAAAAATATATTTATACGGTACTTTAACTAATTTTTGGGGTTATATTATTGTAAACGGTCATCGAATGTCTTAACACTTTGTCGGAATCAAATTTATAAGTAAATGATATAATGAAGAAAAGTACCTCTCAAAATCTGCATTCCTTCTGACCAGATCAATTAAACTACTAAACTATGAGCATCAACACACTTCATACTTTATAGCAGATCGAGGCTCTATAATTTTCCTGTACCAATGCTTTATCATAACAGTTTCTTTTTATTATTGTCACCTTTCAATACAAATCTTCACAAGATTTTTGTTCATAAGACGATTGAAACGGGTTAAGATAGCCTACCTCATCTTAATCTATTAGGTTAGCATTCCGCGAAAGGAATCAAGCTCGACATTTTTATGCTAAAAACCTAACTAATCTGTTTAATTTACAAAGTAGATGGATCCATCCTCGTATTAAAAATATTTTGTCTAAGCTAATCAACCAACACCTAACAAAGTAGCTTTATGAGCCCGTGAACTTGCAAATAATCATACAAACCAAGATAACCCGTGAATTTTTCAACCTGTATAAAAATATGCATAGTCGGATATTATTGTAGTTTCTCTATAGTTGACAGCTAACAAGTTCCAGATGTTTGTTATTACAACAAAAATAGACTTGTCTGAACAGAAACATGAGCTCATCATCACTCGAACGGGCTGTAATAATTGATTAATAAGCCCATCATATTTTTCATAAATCAATTATTGGCCCAAATCAAAATGGACTTTTTCTAGACAAGCAGAAAATGAACCAGACCAAAATACCCCGCACGTGAATAAACAACAAAGAAACGGAAATTAAAATCGACACGAGAAAGAAAGGAAAGTAAGATTTACAGTTTTGATTCATTGAAAAGTTTGTTGTCAAAAGTTTTCCGATTTTCGAATTTATTCAGTCAGTTAATGAGTTTATACAAGAAAAAAGAATCCAATACAAGGAAACAAAAAAAATTACAGACTCACAAGAGGAGCCATTCTCGTGATTAATAACGCGTGATATGGGTTAATATGTCCTTTTCTAACATTCAATTTAATCATGCTAATTACCCCATACACGGGACCTGCACTTGAGCTCATATTGTAAAGTCCTTAATAACCCTCCATCCAAACGCATTTAAACCACAAGGATAGGGATAAATACGTCTTTGTAATACATTATTAAAGAGTAAAGTAAGAAAAGGGAAAGTCATAGTACCAATAAATATTTTGAAAATAAAAATAAAATCAAGCGGTCGAATCTATCTGACCGCGCAATCTCCGCCGTCTAATTTGGTAGAACAGCTAGTGGGTGGTGAAAATGGGTCCCACGTACCCGATAATTTAGGATTAGCCACTCGTAACGTACCACGTATAGAGTTTACTTTGGTAATTGTAGTGCTTAGAAAATTGTTTTGGCGGGCGTAATTAAAAAATTCAAAATCAGAGCCCAAAATTAAAACAAAACCCTAGCGCCTCTTCTCTCCCACTCGCTCAAAATCGCTTCCCTCGCTATCGCCATTTCTCCCTCCATTTTCGATCTCTGGATTTTGAGCTTCCTCTCTCCGCTTCTCTAATCTATCGATTATCTAATTTTAAGCTGAATCTTCCTCGTTCTGAACGTTTCTCGTAGGAGAGGTCTCTGTCAATCTAGGTAATTCCTTCTCTCTACTTTTCCCTTTTCGAGTTCTAGGTTTAAATTCGCTCGATGTGCACTAGATTCTCTTACTTCTTTGATTTGTGTTTTCTCTTCAAGTTTAATTGGTTGACGAATTCGTCTGAGATTTTAATTTTACATTTTCATCATCCATAGCTACTCTGATTTGATTTAGCGAGAGCAAAAGCATTTCTTCCGATATCTAATGTTATCTAAACTTATTGATTCAGGTTTCCATTGATGGTTTTCGTTGTTTCCACTAGTCGTAAGTAATTAAGTTATAGTAGCTGTCACTGTTAAAGAGAGAGAGCAATCTGAGATATCCAGAAGGATCAACGAATATGGGGAAAGTATCACCAAAGGACTCGGATTCGAAAATCTCAGCGAGGAAGAAGAAGTTGAAGAGTTCGACTAACAAATATTTAAAGCCAGGGGCTCTGGTTCAGCTATGTTATAGCAAAGCGTCTGCTGCTGCTAAGTCATGCAACGGTGATTTGGGGAAGAAACGAGTACCTGTGTTTGATGTTAAGCATGCAAGGAACAATCAAATCACAGTGGAGCATTTCAATTCTCCCAAAAGCCCTCTTATTCAGTCCCCTGTCAACATTGTTAAGCGGAGCAGTCTGGTGAGGCCGATGAAGTTTGATGACTTGCAGGTGGAGAGTAAGAAAAGCCCTCTAATGTTATCCCCAATGGGTATTGTTATGCAAAACACGTTGCTGAGGACACCAAAAACTCCCCAGGCTGATCCTTGCAATTCAGAATCTCAGCTTGAATCTCTTCCCATGGATTTACTGGTATGTTTTCGTGTATATGGTTCCTTTTGGTAGTCATCTGAATATATGGTTTCTCTGATTATGATGCTAGTTTCCAACTTGGTTTATGCTTGCAGGTTAAAATAGTTTGTCATCTGCACCATGACCAGCTGAAGGCAGTTTTCCATGTTTCTCAAAGAATAAGAACGGCTGTATGTTCTTTTCCTCTTTACCTTTTTAGTTTAGCATCCATAAATGCTCCTTCTTTTTGCTATTTACTTGTTGGGCATTGACCAGTTTTGAGTTGCCTTATGAAACAGACATTGATGGCGAGACAATATCATTTCAATTATACAACACCAGACCGCTCAAGGCAGGAAATGTTGAGTGTCATGACACCAAGGCCAATAAATCGTTGGCCATTTATTAGGTACATGTTTTTGCTTCATTTTGAGCTATTTTGAAAAGGAGCATCAAACAACTTGTTTAGCTCTTAACAAACACTGGATTGTTCTAATAAACAGCAAAGGAGATGGAGGAAACCCAACAATCATGCCAAGCCCACATACACCAAAAGCACCAAAACATGCTCCTCGGCCACCTTGCCGAGCAAAACTGACAGAGATGAAGCAAATCTCTGCTGTTCTTTTCCAAGACCAGCCAACATTCGCTTCAAGATGCAGCGTTCCTTCTGTTCTCCAAAGAGCGACTCTGTTCAAGCCAATGGCTCAAAAGCACCCTCGAGTGCTCTTCTACGAGGAGGAACTTTGTCACGCTGTTGCTCAAAACAACCTTCACTGATTTACACTTGCTGCGGCGCCGGCCAGACGCTTATTCCCTCTCCTGTTTATATTAAGTTTGTCTTGATTGCATCGATCATTGTTCTTGATGATCATCATCAGCTGTAGGCTATATAGTAAGAAGCATGCAAGTTTTGTAGCAGTGCAAACCTCATAGTATCATTTAAGGGTTTTGAGTCTTTAGTCATCTGAGTTCTTCATAATAAGCAATTGTTTTTGAATTGGTCAGTTGAGTCTTGTGTGTATATTTTCATCTATCTGAACCAGTGGCTTTTCCCCCCTTAATTTATTTTGCTTGCTTTCTTCTTATATTATAGAGTTTCCCATGTATTGAAGACGATAATTTTGACGAGACCATTTTTTAAGATTATACTAATAGTGTTTTAAACCATTAAGTTCATAGATTGTTGAAGCGAAAATTGGATTTTGTTTCTCAAGCCCCAAGCACAGAACCTGTTTTAGCTACCTAAAACATCTTCATGGAAGAAATTGGTTTTGTTTCTAAAGTCCCTAAAGGCCTGTAATATATTTGGGCCTAGTTATAATCTTGTGGGCCTAAAACACCTTTTGGCAGACAGCCGTCAGTAAAGCGTGTAAATATGAGGAGAAGAAAAGTCTACAAAGTACAAGCCATACGACGCCGTTAATAGACTATCCCTGTTGCCAAACAAGCCTTTTGTCCCGTGTAGGGTCAAACCTCTTTTTGCTATAAATATAGCTTCTATGTCTGGGAACAAACACTTTTTTCATCGGAGAGCTTCCAAGGGATTAGAGATCTCGCGGCTCCTTCTTCCTTCTCCGCTCAACTAATATCTCCGATCCTTCTGTAACTTGTTAGATTTGATTTTGGCGCGCTATTAGAAGCCCTAACATCTTACTTTAAACCTACTCGAGGTCTCTCGTGATCGATATCTAGGGTTTGGCTGTTCATCGCGAGATCTGAGATTTTATCTGTGCCCCATTTCGATTCCGAGTCATCTTCGCATCCATCTTTGGATTTTGTCCCTAATCGGAAGATGTCTCGGTGTTTCCCGTTCCCGCCACCTGGCTATATACTGAACGGAATCCGCGATGAGGCTCTGATCGAATCGATCAAGGTTTGTTTGAGCATTTAATCACGTGGTTGGGTTTTGGTTTCGGTTTTTGGGGTTCCCGTGATTTCGAATGCTCAGCTTCCTTGTGATTTGGTTAACGAACCAGATTTTCCAGTTCTCTGGTTATCTGTGTTCTAGGGCATGAAAGAGGGAGATAGAGGGGGATATTTCTATTGAAAACGATGATACAAAAAAATGTACTTAAAAGTGTTCTAAGCACGAAAAAGATTTAATGTGGCAAAATTGTTCGGTAATCAGAAACACGATTCAAGCACATTGTATACTTTAACCAAAATTTTGAGTAAATTTGCAGAAATCATTTGGTAGTGCGCAATTGGGTGTATAAGGGCTGATTTATATGAGTGCTTGTTTCTGAATTTCAATGAGCTTGTCAAGTTCTGCGGACTAATCGTTGCTCCATTTCTTTTGTAAATTCAGGGGGGAGAGGAGAAAGCTAAGAAAGAACACAGGAAGAAGGAGAAAAAAAGAGATAAGAAGGATAAGAAAGACAAGAAGGAGAAGAAAGATAAGAAGGAGAAAAAGAGAAAGGAGAGGGAAGAAAGAGGGGATGGTGAAAGCGAAAAACACAGTCATAAGAGACGGCGTAAAGAAGAAGGTGCCAAAGATGGTTCAAATCAGAAAGTTGAAGTTTTCCCCAAAGTAAAAGAAAGGGAAAATGAGTGTTTTGAGAAGAGCAGCCTTACTGTAGAACGTGAGCTGCTTCAATCGACGTCTCAAAACTCTTGTGATAGCACTCTTAACAGCAATGAGAAGCAGCCTCTCGATGGTAGACATAGCAGTCTCAACAGCAATAATGAGCTACTACCAAAACCGAAGGAAAAGCAGCCTCCTCTCGATGGTAGACATAACAGTCTCAGCAGCAATGGGCTACTACCGAAGCAGAAGCAGCCTCTCGATGGTAGACATAACAACAACGACTCTGGTGAGTTAGTTTGTGTTTCTTCCTTCCCCGTGGAAGGATCTAGTATTCTTGTTTTCCATTTCAGGACATTGATGACACTCTTTCTTCGAAAATTTGTTAATATGAATTTGAAGAAAGCATCATTCGGATCCGATTGCCTCTCCGAAGGCAGAGAGATCCTGAGGTGATGATGACGACGACCAACAACAAGGATCAACAACAAAAACCGCGGGAGATCAAGTTAGATTCCTCTCAGCTCTCTACTAGAGAGCATCAGGTTAATCAACAACCTCCTTGTTCCACTTCAGCACCAGAACATGGTTCAAAGCCTCTTGAAGAGAAACGAAAAGATCCCATTTCCACAACGAAACCGGTTAAAGAGAAGAAGAGGAAATCCTCATCCTCCTCTACACCTGGAGGAGGAGCTTCTCAACATTCAGGCCTATGCAGCAAATGCCCTCCATCGATGGCGGTGCAGTTCTTGAATGTAGTTGAGAATTGGGTCCCTAACACGATACAGAGAAGAGTAGAGGTCACTAACTCAGAAGATGAAGAATGTTGGTGGTTGACGAAGAAACCAAGTAGCCACACGGAAAGCTGCAACCAAGTTAACAGAGACAATGAGGCCAAGCAAGTAATGAGCAGCTCAATGGCGTGGCCATGTGCTCGCCTTTTACCGGAAGCTGATGTCTACGCCTTACCTTACACAGTCCCTTTCTGATAAACATCGATGAGCACGATGTTTTATTACAAGGAACCTGGTCGAGATATCCATTACATGGACACGGACCAGACATATTTTTGGGTTAGCCTTTAAAATCACAAGGTTGTATAAGGAGAGCACTGTTTGTTATTCGTTGCGGTTTGCTTATATAGTAAAATCAGTATCACGCCTCAATCTCTCGTGCTCTTGCGCCAAAGTTGAAAAATTAAAAATTCTTTCTTCTCAGATGAAATTTCTCATGAACTGATTGTATATATAACAAAAGATCTAAAATGAAAGCGAGTCTATTACAGCAATATTAGCTCTCTCGAGTATCAGTTAAAAAGAGAAGTTGAATTAAACCGACAATTCGTATTTTAAAGGAACTAAGATCACAATGAATACGGAAAAACAACAAAAAATATAAGAAGAAAAAAAGCAAATGATCTTGTAAACCACTCTCTGTCGTGGACAACTGCAAAGAGCTTCTCGGCCTCCGGGAGAGCAATTACAAAATGGAGCAGGCCTTTTGTGCTTTGCTCTTCTTTTTCTTCGTCTTCGGAGGTTGAAGGACCACTCTGATAGCTGCGTCGAACACTCCCTTCACGTTCTGCAGTTGTTATTCACACAGTTTCATCAAATATTGGACATGGAAGCTAAAATCGAGAAATTGATTCATGAGAGATGATGCCATTTCATTGTTTACCTCTTGTGATTTTGAACTGCACTCGATGTAAGCAGGCGCTCCGATTAGCTTCTTGAGCTCCTCTCCCTTTGATGCAAACGGGGAAATACTTAACAGGCATTCTTTTTTTGGTTAAACTAAGAAATTGCAGTGAGGAAATTAAAGTATTCCTACCTGAGCAGTGGAAATAGGGACAGCACCAGGATGGTCGATAAAGAACTGTTTGTCATCTCGAAGATCTGACACAAACCAAGGTTGTAAATTAAATAGGGCAAACAACAAAGTATCATATAGCAGAGCTACCAAAGTTTCAAGATGCAGCTAACGACTGTGAATTACAGCCAAACATTTCACTGAAGATGTTAGCAAATTCACAACGAAATGGCTGTGTAGGTTGCAATGGGAATGCGAGATACAGAATGCTAGAAGAAGTTACCTAGTTTGGTTCCAACAAGGACGATAGGGACACCAGGAGCATAGTGCTTCAACTCTGGGATCCACTGTTAAAACAATAAAAAAGGCAACGTTATATATAACCAACACTCGCATATTCAATATTAGAAAGTGATGACAACAGTTAGGGTGAAAACTCGCCTTCTTGGAGACATTCTCATAACTAGCCTTACTAATCAGAGAGAAGGCTAGAATGAAAACATCTGCACCACGATAACTCAATGGTCTTAATCTATTATAATCCTCCTGCCCTGTAAAACATAACACAAGAGACTCTCTCTCATTAGTAAAATAAATCCAAAAATCTCTCCACAAGCTTAAATAAGATTCGATCATTACCTGCAGTATCCCACAATCCTAGATTCACCGTGGCTCCGTTAACAACCACATTCGCACTGAAGTTATCGAAAACAGTGGGAACATAGTCCTGTTCCACGAAATTCAAAAACACTGAGTGAAGATAGATCAAAAACAAACGAATCACAATTCACACGAAACATATTTAGACAGAGATGGAAATTGCCAAGATCTGTCGACCTAAAAGCTTCCAAATTTAGCCAATTACAAACACAATCGATGAACAAGGAACAGGAAATGATATATGTACCGTGGGAAAGGTGTTGCTGGTGTAAGAAATCAGCAAACAAGTTTTACCGACAGCTCCGTCACCAACGGTGACGCACTTTATGAACCTCGAAGCGCTCATTGCCTCCACAAGCCTCTCTTCTCCACAATCTCACCCACAACGTGATCACACGATACACAAAAAAAAAAAAGGAAATTTTTCAAAAATATTAATAATCAACCTCAGATCTACACCTGAGGAACCCAGAAAACCCAACAATTTGAACCCAGTTCCTCCGAATCCTCCAACATTACTTTTCAATTAACCATCTCCGTCACAAACCAAAAAAAAAACCCTAATAATGTAAAAATGTGGAAACCCCTAAAACGAAAATGTGAGACAAGACGTGAAGATCAATGAAGAAGATGAAATGTGGTTAAGCAAAGGTGAGGACGATGAATTGGATCGAGAGAAGGAAGGAGAGAGAGAAAGAGAGAAACAAGTAGAAGAAAGTGATGGCCGGAATTAATTGCCATTGAAGCGTTCGTTTCATCGATTAATCTCCTCCATCAAACCTTCCGTTTGTTTTGCTTTCTTTTTTTACTTTTCTCGTTTTTTCTGTTTCAATTTGTTTTTATTTTTTTCTAAAATGAAAATTCATCAAATAGATCTCCGACAATCATACGTCACACACATTTAATACCACACTAAATACATGTACAAAAAAATAGTATATGTATGTCCCCACAAAACATGCAAAGATAATTATAAGGAAAAAAATTAAATATATGCGAAGATTAGTGAAATGGTTCTCCAAAAACTATTAAAAATACTTTGCTTTCTCCATATGACAAAACATACTTCTCCGGTTCTCCCATTCATAAACTCTGCTTAAATCTTATATACACATAACAAATATTGGTCGTTCTTGAATTATTTTGCTTTTGCTCTTTGGAAGTCTTGACAAATGGCAATAAACGTTGATGCAGAGTACCACAAAGAGATAGAGAAGTCTCGTAGAGACCTTAGAGCTCTTATATGTTCAAGACAATGTGCTCCCATTATGCTCCGTCTTGCGTAAGCATCTTTATCTTCTCCCTCAGAATCATGCATTATTCTCCATTCTTCTTCTTTCTTGTCTTGAAAAGTTTCCATGTCTCTGTGTTGCATACATATAGATGGCATGACGCAGGAACATACGATGCCAAGAAGAAAACTGGAGGTGCCAATGGATCTATTAGGTTCAAGGAAGAGCTTGACCGTCCATACAACAAAGGTTTAGAGAAAGCAGTCGCCTTTTGCGGTCAGTTTCCTTTATCCTCAGGACATGAAAATCTTTGGTTGGTTGCTGTTTTCCTTTGATGTCTGAATTTTTGGTTTCTGGTTTCAGAGGAAGTAAAATGTAAGCACCCTCGAGTCTCTTATGCAGACCTCTATCAGGTAAAGACATAAAAAACTTTCTTCCTCGATGATGGTCTTGAATCTTGACTGATTCTTTTTTTTCATTTTCAGCTCGCTGGAGTTGTTGCAGTGGAGGTTACAGGTGGCCCTGCAATCAAATTCACTCCAGGCCGTAAGGTACACTTACACTTACCCTCATAGTGTTGCTAAGTGAGTTACCAGAAAAGAGAAAGAGTTTCATGATCACTAGGAAAAATATGATTTTCAGGATGCAGATTGTCCAGACGAAGGAGAACTTCCAGATGCGAATCAAGGTGTCTCACATCTAAGAACTGTCTTTTGTCGGATGGGTTTATCGGATAGAGACATCGTAGCTCTCTCTGGAGGCCACACTTTGGTACTAACTAACAACTCTCCTTAACAATATTTGACGGTCACTGAACATGCTCCTACGAACCAACTTGGTTTCTGCTTGTATATTACAGGGGCGTGCACATAAGGAGAGATCAGATTATGAAGGTCCTTGGACACAAGATCCTCTCAAGTTTGATAACACATACTTCGTGTAAGCCCACTAACACAAAGTTACAAAGACAGACAGAGAGAGTTGTGAAACTTACATGAGCTCTGCTGTTTTACGTTTCAGAGAACTTAAGAAAGGGGAGTCTCCAGGATTGCTACAACTGAATACCGACAAGGCTTTACTTGGTGATCCCAAGTTCCAATCCTACGTTGAGCTCTACGCAAAGGTAGATTACGTTTCCGTATTGAATGATTCTCTAAATTCTCTGGCTTCATCAGAGCAATTGAAAAAAAGTGATAATGAGGTGAATATGACAGGATGAGGATGTGTTCTTCAGAGATTACGCAACAGCACACAAGAAACTCTCAGAACTAGGATTCACTCCACCAAGAAGAATCCCTTCAGCGATGGCGCAGCAGACGATTGGAATCACGGTTGCTGCAGCTGTTGTGATCTTTACCATATGCTACGAAGCAAGCAGAAGAAGCAAGTGAGGAGATACCACTCTCAGATGCGAAAATTGTAATGAATGTTAAATTGAATAAATGCAATAAAACTGAAGAAGATTATATGAAACATATTTCAAAGTAGTAGCATAACATTTATTTCTCAAAGTCTTACATCTTAGAATACAGCAAAAACAAGACTCTGTGATGGTAACATTAACAGTTAAAGTTTGATAAAATAGATACTTAAAGTGCCCTGAAGCTGTCAACTTTATCAAGCCTGGCAGTACCAGAGCTTGATGATTCGCCAACTGGATCAGGAGATGTTGCTGCTCTTGAAGCTTCTCTTCTTTTCAGAGATGTTGGCAATCCTGAGATCTCCTGTAAGAATTAGACTCATATCAACTTTTAAAAGTTGTTCATACTCAAATCAAAGACGCAAACTAAATGGTTGAAACAAATGAATAAGCAAAGTACCTTCATCAAATGCAACCTCATGTCAGTGGGACGAGTCTGGTTTCCGATGCAGGCCATTGCAAACTTGGAGTAACTCAACAATACATCAGAAGCAGCTTGCTTCTTCTCATCTGCCTAAAACATATCATCTTCATCAGCTCAACTTTTCGATAACAAATTAACAACAAGATCAAAAAGTCAAAAACTTTGGTCACGAAAGAACAAAGAAGCCACACACAATCTCATGATTAATCCTAAAGCTCCGATTTTTATAAACCTTTTTTCCCCATTTCATTAAAACTGTAATTTGAATTGAGGATTTAGGGGAAAGCGAAGAACCATAGTTTGAATACTCCATAGAGCGGATTAAAAGACTCAGCTTTGGCAGCAGGTAGCGAAACAGTTAAGTGAAGATTAAGTTTTTCAATCCCTAATAATCTGAATATTCAGGACAATCGAATCTAAATTTAGGTACCTAAATTTGATCCCTGATCATCTGAATTCGAAAAGTAAATCGATAAAACCCACAAAAAGAATCGGATCAAAGCTGGAGAATGAGAAATCAGAAGTCGTACCTCGTAATCCTCTTTCATGGTGGAATAAGCGAATTCCTCTGTTTCGCTTTCCTGCTCTCTGGTCGTATTTTGAAGACAGCGACAACAACTGACCTAGTCAGCTATGTTGGTCGGAGCTTCGAATTTATTACACAGAGCTCGCGGGTTCGAAATCCGTTATATACGAGATTTCAGAAAATTTATCCAACTAAAGAAAAAACAGCGTACTGTTTGGCTTACGCTTAAAAACGACGGGTGCACAAAAACGGCAGACATGTTATTTGAAGTTTTGACTCAATTTGTTCCCTTTAACTCAGACAACAATAGAGAAAATGAAGGCATCAAAAGAACATCATTACAATTCTCAGTTTATTCTATTCTGCATCTGCGGTTACAAATCAAACCAAATATCTAAGACTGTATCCATGTTTGTATATAAAACTCATGATTCTTCGAGAGCAAAAACACTTTACACCAACAACAACAGTAACCTAATCTTTTTAAACCTCTCTTGTTTGTTAATTGCTTATGTACAGAAATGAGACTGATGCACATATAACACACAATAATGAGAGGTTTCCTTCCTACTCAGAACTCTTTTTCCCCTTCTTCATCTTCTCTTTAACTGCCGCTTTAATAGCGTTTTTAGCAAGTGATGATGGTTTTACTGCACTTTTAGGGTTAAGAGCTTGTCTGATCTTGAAAACAGTCCAGGCCGTTCCAATCGCATGCCCTGCTGCTCCAAGCCCTTCGTTTGTCGCTTCTGCTGTCTTTGCTCCATATCTACAAATTTAATAACATCCAAAACATTAACCATCATCCAAACAACATAAGACTGAGACCACCAATGTAATTCTTCTTAAAGCTACTTACTTGTGATCCACGATTTCAGTTGTGACAGTGGAAGATGTCTTCATAACGTTCCTCCCAGCTACTTCAACAGCATCACAAACCTTGTCTATCAAAACAGTAAAAAAAAACAACCAAAATGTTATAACATTTTCAGTAAATAATCATCAAGCATCATGTCCATACAAAGAGCTAAGAAACTTACTGAAACCATCAAGTGTGGCAAGAACCATTTCTCCAGGAAGAAGACCAAAGAGCTTCTTCCCAGCTGCGCTATTCACCACCGAGCTCGAGAAGAACCCAGACACTTTTATAACACCTGAGAGCACTCCATTCGCCACTTTCTCTGTCCTCTTCGTCATCTTCTTCACTCTGTTCTCACATATTCAAACAGTCACATCAAGAAACAGAGAAAAACAGAACATCTCATCAAACTCTAAAAAGAAATTTGAAGATTGTAACCTCTTGAGACGTTTCAGAGTTTTAGGGCTAACTTCTCTCTCCTTCTCTGCTTTCGACAGCTTCCGTTTCATGAAATCATTTCCCCACATGAGACGGTCCATTGTGATATCTCCACACCATAAGATCCCTTTGATCAGCTGACCAGAACCAGCAGCTATCAGTTTCGCTGCAACGCCACTGTAATCCTCTACATTCGGAGCCAGAGTCGTCCAATACGCCGTACATTGCTTCTCCACCATCTTCTTCCTCTCTCCCTTCAGCTCCTCCGGCGACGTCTCCTTCGCGGCCGTCAAATCCATCACGTTGTTAACATCATCCGCTTTCTGTTTCTCCGCCGTGAAACTGCTGTAATCTGTTAAGATATTGTCTAGCTTCTCCAACAGAGTCTCTTGTCCCTTGGAAGCGATTGTTAATCCGTAATTCAACATATCGCTGATGCTCTCTTCCTCGGTTGAATGATCCGAGCCGGATTCTCTGACGGGTCGGAGCGAGAAGAAGTAATGCGACTCGTCGATTTTCACGGCGGGTTCGTCTTTGGTCAACGGCCACTGGATCTCATCGGCGACTCGAGCGAAGACCGCGACGGTGATCTCTCCCTGAGCAAGACGGAGAATCTCGAGATCGCCGACAGCGAGCTCGACGCTGTAGGATTTGTCGATGAGGTGGAGGATCGCGCCGGGAATTTTCAGGATCACTTCCTCCGTCGCCACCGGAGGAGCTGAAGCCGAGTCTGAGATGGTGGTGGTTGTTGTGGTGTTTGATTTCTCCGGGATGATATTGCTGACGAGATCATTCACGTCGAGTGAAGGATAGAGATTGTTAGTAGTAGAAGAGGAAGAGGAGGAGCTAGGGAGAGGATGATTGGTGGTTGAAGTGTCGACGGTCGGATAAAGCTTGGGAGTTGCAGAGGATTCCATTTTTCGCCGGAAAGTAGATTTGATCAATTGGAGGAGGACGATGAAGAATTGGTGGGTATTTATATGAATGTGAAAAAGATTTGGGGCAAAAGAAGAAAAAAGTGAAAAAGATTAGCAAATGTGTTTTTGACTTTTGATTAAAATTTAAGTTAAGTTGCTGTCGGATTGAGGAAGACGTGGGGTTTGCGTGTTTCAACTTTACTTTTGTCTTAACCGAGCCGGTTTGAAACTTTAACTAAAAGGAAACTTTCCCGCGCTTATCCAAAAATTGTTTTAATTTTATCCAAGTTTTATTTTTGATTGGTCATTAGTGAGTGTTTTTGAGTGCTTTTCCCCAAAATTAGTGTCGTTTTTAGACTCAAAATTAATATCTTAAAGTAACAAATTTCAAAGTAATTAAGGTGAGTAAATTGACTATGATAATTTGTGAGAAAACAGATTCTAATCTCTTATATCACGAAGACAATTATTTTTTTGGGGACATCAATTTTCTTTCGACATGTGTATATGTGGACTTGGTGTTTATAATTGTACAATGTTTGTATAAAATCTCACGATTTCTCGAAAAAGCAAAAACACTTTGCACCAACAACAACAAAAACGAAATCCTTTTGAACATTAAATTCATCTGTACAAATAACACAGCATCCATTATATAAAAAAAGAAGAAGCTCACTTCCTACTTAGAACTCTTTTTCCCCATCACCATTTCTTTAAATGCCACTTTAATTGCGGTCTTAGGTAGTGCTGATGGCTTCAATGCACCTGTGGCGCTAGCAACTTGTGTGACCTTGGCAACTGTCCATGCTGTTCCAACTGCATGTCCTGCTGCTCCAAGCCCTTCGTTTGTCGCTTCTGCTGACTTTGCCCCATATCTAAACACCCAAACAACATAAAGATTGAGACCACCGATGTTGCTTTCGCATGAAGAAACTCACATTTGTAATTCTTCTTAAAGCTACTTACTTGTGATCTACGATTTCAGTTGTGACAGTTGAAGATGTTTTCATAACGTTCCTTCCCGATATTTCAACAGCATCACCAACCTTGTCTGTCAAAAGAAAACAACTCCAAAATGTTATAACATTTCAGTAAATAAGCATCAAGCATCATGATCATACAAAGATCTAAGCAGCTTACTGATTCCATCCATTGTTGCAAGAACCATTTCTCCAGGAAGAAGACGAAAGAGTATCTTCCCAGCTGTGGTATTCGCCACTAAGCTCGAGAAGAATCCAGAAACTTCTATAAGACCAGAGAGCACAGCAATCGCCACTTCCTCTGTCCTTATCGTCATCCTCTTCACTCTGTAATATATACCCAATCAAACAGTACGTGTACATCAAGAAACATACACAACTCACAACCACAAAAAGAATATTGAAGATTGTATCTACCTTTTGAGAAGTCTCAAAGTTCTAGGGCTAACTTCGATCTCCTTGTCTCCTTTCGAAAGCTTCTGCTTCAAGAAATCATTTCCCCACATGAGACGATCCGTTGTGATATCTCCACACCATAAGATCCCTTTGATCAACTGACCAGAACCTCTAGCGATCATCTTCGCTGCAGCGCCACTGTAATCCTCTACATTCGGAGCCAGAGTCGTCCAATATGCCGTACATTGCTTCTCCACCATCTCCTTCCTCTCTCCCTTCAGCTCCTCCGGAGACGTCTCCTTCGCCGCCGTAAAATCTATCACGTTGTTAACATCATCCGCTTTCTCCTCCTTCTGTTCCTCCGTCGTGAATCTGCTGTAGTCTGTTAAGATCTCGTCTAGCTTCTCCAGCAACGGCTCTTGTCCTTTGGAAGCGATTGTTAGTCCGTAATTCAACATGTCGTTGTTGTCGTCTTCCTCGGTTAATGATCCGACCCGGATTCTTTGACGGGTCGGAGCGAGAAGAAGTAATGAGACTCGTCGACTTTCACGGCGGGTTCGTCTTTGGTCAGCGGCCACTGGATCTCATCGGCGACTCGAGCGAAAACCGCGACGGTGATCTCTCCCTGAGCAAGATGGTGAATCTGGAGATCTCCGACAGCGAGCTCGACACTGTGGAATTTGTCGATGAGGTGGAGAATCGCGCCAGGAATTGTCAGGATCACTTCTTCCGTCGCCACCGGAGGAGCCGAAGCCGAGTCAGAGGCGGTGGTCGTTTGCTCCCGGAAAATATTGTTGACGAGATCATTGACGTGGAGTAAAGGAATGAAGTTATAAATATAAGAGGAAGAGAAGTAAGTAGGCTTAGGAGCACCGGTGGTTGAAGTGTCGACGGTCGGATAAAGTTTGGGAGCTGCAGACGATTCCATTTTTGGCCGGAAAGTAGAATTGATCAATCGGAGGAGGAAGACGAAGGGGAATGAAGAACAAGTGGTGGCTATTTATATGAATGTGAAAAAGATTTGGTCCAAACGAAGAAAAATAAGTGAATCTTATTAGCGAGTGTATTTTGATTAACCATTTACTTTGCGAGTGTATTTTGATTAATCATTTAACTAGCGAGTGTATTTTGATTAACCATTTACTTTACGGGTGTATTTTGATTAATCATTAATTTGCTGTCGGATATAGGTAGACTTGGGGTTAGCGTGTTTGAAGGGGTGAGGGCGTACTTTGTCAAAACCGGGCCGGTTTGAAAACTTGAACTATTCTAGCGACATTTTCCCGCGCTTATCCGCCCAAAATTATAATATTATTATCATAATTAAACCCAATTTTAGTGTCATTTTAGAGTGAAAATTTAACATCTTAGTCAGAATAACAAATTTCAAAGTAATTAAGATGAGTAAATTGCCTAATGAAACTCTGTCTAACAGATTCTAATCTCTTATCACTTGACAATGTTTTTGTGACACGTATTTATGGTTTTGAGTAATCGGTATTTAGCTTCCTATCACCTGAAAATATTTACAAAATAAATCATCAAATTTTGAAAATAATTAACGTATTAGTGAGTGATTAGGATCATGAAAATCTGTTTTTTTTTATTCTTTTTAAATGTTGTTACTGCGCTGTTGAAAGGGAAAAAAAATTACTGTACGTCGTTGACTCCAGTTTTTTGTGCTTTTAAGTTTTAATAAAGCAAAAATGTGGTTCGTCGGAAAAAAAACTGTATCGCGCAGTTAGCGGAATCCGAAGGGAAACAGTCGTCGTCTTGTTCACTGTCTAGTCTGCAAGAGAAATCCCGGCGGAGGAAGCTATAACGATTCTTCCATGGAGCCCACTTCTTCTTCTTCTTCTCTTAGATGGAAGATCCTGCGCAAAGCGCTTCTCCGTAGATCTGGTGAAATTCCCCTTCTTCTTCTTCCGGCATTCCATTTATCGATCTCATTTCGTCATAGCTAAATCGATCACTCTCTCAATCTTCCTCAGATTCTGAATCTCAAGCTGGGATCAATCGGATTACAAGGAAAGCAACTAAAGGATTCAACTTGATTCCGTGTGAGGTGGTGGATTCTCCTCCGGAATCGGACAATTCTCGGGAAGCATGCGTCTGCTACACAATTCCCATTCCAAGTTCTCCGAAACTCTATCTAACGTTAGTATTTTTGATCTGCTATTTCATCGAACTCAAACATTACGGCTGATTCTTATCTTCAATAGATTTGTCACTCCTAAAAAGCTTTTTTTTTGGTGTGTGTGTGTAAATTGAGGCAGGCAAAGAGTGGATAATTGCAGTGATCTCAATGACTTTGAGATTTCTAATCGTTACAACATTGATAATACAGGACTTGTTTGTAAGTTCTCAATCTCTTTGAAATCTCTAGTTGTTTCTCGTGTTATCCTCATATAAATTAACGTCTTTTTTTTTGGTTTTGAAGACAAGGCAATGTATAAATATGTGTTACATTTCGGTTTCAAAATGATATTTGGATCGTGATTCTACTTTCATTCTTCCAGGTCAGTGGCCTTCAGAAGAAGTTCTTGCATACTTTTGCAAGTCTCAGCCAGATCGTTTCAGGTCTCTGTTTCTAGTTTTAAGACTGATTTGCATCTGTGTTTCTATAAATTGTTGTGCTTACATCTGACTTGGCTCATTGGGTTGTTACAGAGGTAAGAAAGTAATCGAGCTTGGATCCGGGTATGGATTAGCCGGTTTAGTTATTGCAGCTGCCACCGAGGCATCAGAAGTGGTAATCTCAGATGGAAATCCTCAAGTAGTCAATTGTATCCTTCTTGTTTTTACTGTTTGCATAGTGTGTTTCCGTTAAAGTTCGTCTTCTTTAGCCTTGAGATATGGAAAACCAAGTTGTACTTTAACATCCAGATATTAAGCGTAACATAGAATCCAACTCCATGGCATTTAGTAGCACAAGCGTGAAAGCCATGGAGTTGCACTGGAATCAGCCTGATCTTTCAGAGTTTACCAACACTTTTGACCTCATAGTTGCTAGCGATTGGTAACTTCCTCTCTCTCTCTCTTCATTGCTCTCAATGTATATGTTTCTCATCCTTTGTGACTACACTTTCTTTTTATTTATTCAACAGTACCTTTTTCAAGGAATTTCATAACCAGCTTGCAAGAATCATCAAGATGCTGCTTAAAGCCAAAGAACCCTCCGAGGCATTGTTTTTCAGTCCTAAGAGAGGTGACTCTTTAGAGATGTTCTTGAAGGAGATTGAAGACATTGGTTTACACTACGTTTTAACCGAAAACTACGATGCACAAGTTTGGGAGTGCCATGAGACGCTTGTGAAAGGAGACGAATCTTGGCCTAACTATGAGAAGAACCACTGCTACCCTTTACTGATTCAAATTACTAATCATCATTAGTCAAAGACTATTTCATCTTCGTGGCTGTGGACAGCGAATCAACGCAGGTAATACCCAATCTCTTAAGCTTTGTCTATTCTTTTGTGGATTATAATATTAAGTGGGTGGACTTGAAAGTTGAAACCTTTTTGACTCGTTTGCTAAGATGCTCTTATCTTCCTTTTCAGTATAGAGAGGTCCACACCACATATAGACACGAGTTAGGCAAAGCCGTTCATCTAAAGAGAAGAGTTAGAACAATATAAATAAGAAAAGCTATAAGATTCTGGATCAAGTGTACCGCCATTGATCATGGACGACATCTAGCTTTTCTTCATTCACAATCCGGCTTTTTTGAATCTTATTTCTAGTTATCTTTTCTGCTTTTTCTGCACAAGTAATTAATTAATAATAACCGTTGGAAAATGAGGGGATCATTTGGAATGGACCCAGATAGTCTTTTTATCTTAAAGAATCTTTGTTCTTGTGTGTGTGTGTGTGTCTTTGTCTGAATGTGATCGTCTTATTGGAGCCATTTTGAAACTTTATAAGAAAAATGTCCTTTTGTGCGCATTGATTTCAGAACCTTCAATTTCTTGACCCTGAGAATGATACAAGACGGCGTATCTAAATATTTCAATTGAACTTTTCCCTCAAAGTGACAAGCTTTGCTTTCACTGTTGATGAAATGAAAAGTTCCAATTTTTTGCACCCTCTCTGTTTCTACTTCTCTCTCAGTTTGTTCTTTTGTCATTTTTTTCGCAGTAAGTAGTAACCAAGGCTACAAGCTGATCCAACAAAGAATCAATGTTACAGGAAACAGAATCGCACAAGAGAGAACAACAGAAGCTGTATTTCTAGTCGATTCTCCATCGCACAACGAGATTAATGTTAGCGAGAGAGAATCTTTAATCATAAGTTGTGTTTTTCCTCTCTCACTAATAATCTATGCATGAATAAGAATTAAGTGAGTATGAAAAATGAGTTTCATGGGCTATTTACTGTTAATTACGTATGTACCTGTGATTACCCGCCAATTTTCAAAAATCTTTTGAGTAAGCTTCTTCAAGTTTTATTTCAATCTACCGTTGGTTATCCTACACTATGTTTCTACTTTTTAATTTGTGTACATCTTCCTTATCAATAAAGTTGTCAATTTTTGTTATATAAAAAGAAGCATTACCAATCAACTAATTCTGCAAGCAAACGTTGTTATACTCTCCTACATATGTAGAAACAAAAGACATAACATTTTGTCTTAAAAATTCACCAAGAAACTATAGTTTATCTAACTAATAATAAATCTAAATTTAATTCATCCTTAGCACTTGAAGGATCCACAAAGTTGTTCCAAAAATGACCACGTTGAATAATCTTCTCTTCAACCAATTAAACTCTTCTTCCCTTCTGGCCATTGTTCTTTGTTCTCTACTGATAGTAACTAAAACTAAAAACGGCGCCGTTCAGCTATCACCAAGCGCGTTGAACAACCCAAGACGCCACAGCCAAAACGCCAATCGAAAACACGGCAGAGAGAGTTGGCGACGCGTTTGGAGATGCCGCAGAGTAGCTAACCGCTTCGGGCTGAAATCCTCCTTTCGATGCACTCTTCACACTGAGACAACACAAGAAAAAATAATTTTAATATAGGGATCACCAATTTTAAAAAAATATATATATAGTATTCCAATTCATTGAAATATGAACAAAAGAGCCGTGTCGGACCACACATGGCCACAGATCACCGACGTTTGAAAATAAAAATCTATGACATACAACAGAGACCATTAGATATTTTTGTATTTATTATGTTGATATAATTATTTCCAACGGGTGAAAAATGAAAATGTCGTCTTGTCTTATGATTTCACATATTGACAAAAGAACACGGTGCATTCTGATAAAGCATATGTCATGATTTTTTATTCGGTGATTTGACCTCACCATTTTTTTCAAAAACGTTTCAACCAAAAAAACATGTGAATTATTTATCTCCAACAGAACCAAAACTATTGGAACTTTTGAATGTGATTAAAAAAATCGAAACTGGACTTCTTCAAAGAGAATCATAACTTTTTCCTTTTTTCTAGTTGATGTGATCGGATCATCGGAACAAACCTTTCCATTAGCAAAAACACCCAATTTTTTGAAAAAAGATTCTAATTCGTGTTTCCACTTGAAGACAATCATTGCTCTTTGTAGTAATTTTAACTTTATGTCGTAAATTATGAAAAATATAATTACCTTGGGTTAGGAGAAGGACAGAAAGTGATGACGTAATCAGCTCCGCCGCAAGTAAAAGTGCTTGTTCCGTCGTCGTAAGCGTAACTATAAGCTCTCGGGCACGCGTTTTTGAAAAACAGCGAGTACTCACTCGGCTTACACGTGTCCGGCGTTCCAAACGCGCCGCTGCAGCAGTACTCCGGCGTCCCAAACGCCTCACACGCGCTTTTACAAGCAACTCCTTCAGCTCCCGTCGTCGCCACCTTCAGCTGAGCAGGACACGGGCCGTTCAGCTCCGCGACGCAGCCCGTAACAGTACAGTTCCCGGCGACATCACCGCCTCCCTGAGGAACGATCGTCATAGGGATGTTGTAACCGTCGACGAGACTGACGTCGTAGAAATCGAGACCACCGGCTCCGTTTAAAGTGAACTCAGCGAGTGTCGCCGGAGGTGCGGCACCGGATCCGGAGCATTCGACGGTTGAGGAACCGCAGTCACCGGTGACGCAAGTGAATTTTCCGGTTGTTGCGTCTTGCGTGCAGAGTGTACGGCCCCAAATACGACCAGACCAAGCGGCGGGGATAGGGATGACACGAGTCTCAGTCGGGTTTAAGGAGAATCCGGTGGTGGGTAAAGGAGCGGTTCCAGCGCCGGAGAGAAGACCAGGCCAGACGGTGTAGCTGCACTGGTTAACCACCGTGAAAGTGGTGGAGGAAACGCCATAGATTAAAGCAAGAATTAGAAGAAGAACGAGAGAATTTTTAGAATGACCCATTAGAGCAGAGAGTCACAAGAATCTAAGAATATAAAAAAGAATTATGTTTGTGTGTCGCCGGAATGAGTTCTCCGGTGACTCTGTTTCTGCTATGTGAGATATGTATTAAGATTAAGAGTAGGCTTTGTATTTATATGAGGATGAAGAAAATTTAGAAAATGAGAGAGCGAAAGATAGTGGAGAGAGAGAGAGAGAGAGAGAGAGAGATTGTATTTTTTTTTTGGTCGTGAGAGTGAGAAAGAGATTGGTTTTGGTTTTTGGTTTTTGGTATTTGGTTTTGGGGATTGAATCTTTTAAAGAGGTTAAAGATTTTTTGAGAAAGGTCGGCTTTCACGTGAGGCCATGCCGCCTTTGTCTGTCTATGTTAGTCGGCCAATGTGCCGTACATGTTCACGTTATTATTGTATTTTGTTTGTGCTATTAAATTATGTAAACAAAATATTTGTTTGAATCGTATGTAACATTATTCTATAATCTTCTCAATTGTTTATTTGTATAAGACGATATGGGTTTGCATAAGGATGTATATGAATCTGATCAGTGTTGATGTCGGTGATCTACTAGAGTTTGTCCCCTCCTTTGGCTAAATTCATAAAATATAAAATCACTTTTCATTTAATATACTAAATTCCGACGATCCATTACTTATTTTGTGTAACTTTTCAAGAGTGTGTTTCTAAAAATGATTTGCTGGATTTTAATTTTAACTGGTAACAACAAAACGTAATACGATCCAATCCAAATAGTCAGAAATACGGATAATACTATTTAGTTTGATGGGTGATAATCAGATACAATCGTGTTGAAGGTAAGAGGCGGTGAACAAAACAGAGAAGACGTAAGTGTGTGTGGTGTGATGCATCCTGATTAGATTCTGCCCTCTTCTGTCTTCCAAGGGACACGGTCTTAATAGTATCTGACTATCTGCTATCCACCCAAGTTGTGTTGTGTCACTGTTAATTAATTATTTCCATTATTTGTAAGATGACAAAACAAACATATCTAATGATGTTTGATATTACGTGAGCTCTCTCAATTTTAGTATTCAAACTGGAATATATAATACAAGATTCAGGAGAAAGAATACAATTTTTATTTATTAGATTTTTGAGTTACTATGGGAAAGAGACATAGTGGCTAAAGTTGGATAGGAATTTGCAAATTGTATTTTTCTTTTTATATATAAAGATAAGAGAAGGTGTTGGGTCAACGACATTCCAAGCTTTAGTTGTGTGATGTAGAGATATCAACTTGGTTGGTTCATGCTTCTTTCATTGTTACAAGTTATCTATGTCTGAATAAGTTAAACAAAAAGTGCAATTTGGGTAGGTCTCAAGTGTGTTTTGAACTATTGAACTTTTTTCAAAGATAATTGACCAATTGTGGCCTCGTTTGTTCAATATCAGAAGAATGATTAGTAGGGTTTCGGACCTTTTAGTTGATTTGATCCATTCATCCAACGATAAGAACACAATTGGACGTGGATGATGTTTAACCTAATCAGGTTTTTATACGTGTGTTTTATTATAATCTAACCAATGACAATGCGATTGTGTGGCTTTCTCTGGACAGGAAAAGATGGACACCAAACATGGATTTCCAGTTTCTTCTATTGGGAAAGATTCGTCATCAGTCTTGGATTTTGCTAATCGTGACTGTAATTAGGTTTAAACTTTAAACCAAAGTCGAATAAATCAAAATAAACGACTGAGACATCCCCCTAATTGGCCGCGAGTGTACAAAGCAGGTATCAATCAACAGATCAGAACGAGGTCATTGCGTAGGAACCTCACCGAAATCCAATAATTGGTCCTTTTCCAGCTAAAATGTGTAATTGTTCGATATAACCGTCGATATAACAAAATTGTTCACATGTTAAGAATCGAAATCCAAGTTTTAACGATTTTGCAAAATATTGGACCCAAGACATGTTATGCTCTACACCAAAGCAGCCAAAAAGACACTACTGAGTATTGATCTTGTGGTCTATAATTGTCTAAACTCTCGAATTTCAGACAGGATAGGTTTGTTTTCTAAAGTGAAACTTCAAAGTACAAACGAATGTAATAAACTGAAACCAACCAGCAACAGCTCAATAAAAGGACAAAACTCGAATGACATAAGCAAAAGAACACAAGTCATAGAGAGGTCAAAATTTCAAAAGATAAAAGGGACAGCATCCATATCAGAAACCAAAAACCAAATCTAGCTAAGACTTATGTAGTTGTCACAACAAAGGGATCAAACCTTTTGTATATAAATAAAACACAAAAACACCAAAAAGGACCAGGCAAATTCATCATTCCCGTCAGCCAAAACAACAAAGATTATGAAAACGAAGAGGAATATAAAAAATTTATATCACTCGAATTCATCTTCAATCTCTTTTGTTGACAAAGAGAAGCAATCAAGCAACAGGACAATCCCTTGCAAAGTGACCTTCCTTGTTGCAGTTGAAACAAGCCCTGCTTCCTCCACCAGCGTTTCCACCACTTCCTCTCCGCTCACAATCGCGAGACAAGTGATCAAATCCACCACACTCGTAACAAGCCTTGGGCTGTCTCTCAGTGGGACAATCTCTAGCCCTGTGGCCAACTCCACCACACGTATAGCACTCTCCGCCGCCTCCTGCTCCACGGCGTTCACCGCCGCTCTTCTGGTTGCAATCCCTAGCTATGTGACCATGGTCACCGCAATTGTAGCACCCTTTTCCTCCGGCTCCTCTACGTTCACCGCGGCTCTCAACGTTTCCGCTCGGTTTCCGATCGCAATCCCTAGCGATGTGACCAGGCTCGTTACAAGTGAAACACACTGTTCCTCCGGAGCCACGTTCAACGCGCTCCTCAACGCAGTCCTTGGCCATGTGCCCAGCCACGCCGCAGTTGTAGCAACCGTCGCGCCTAGCGCCGTTGCCGCGAGAGCTAACCTCCTTCTTCTTGAGAGGAGCGCCGCCTGGAGCAGTGACTTCGTCGGCCTTGAACTTCCCGTCGTTTCCCGTCTTGATTTCGAACTCAACCGCATCGCCGGTTGTCAAACTCCGGAAGCCTTCGGAGAGGATGGACACTTGATGGACGAAAATATCTTCGCCGTTGTTATCGGGAGTGATGAAACCGTAGCCTTTGGAATCGTTGAACCAGCTAACCTTTCCGGTCAATCTCACCGCCGACTGATCCTCTTGTTGAGCCATCGTATCGAAAAGAAGCAGAGAGATCGGAAAAAAATTGAGGAATTAGGGTTCTTGGTTGGTGAACCGGTAGGCGTGGGTGTTTATATATAGAGGCAGAGTCGGTTAAATCTGTAACAATAAGGAAATTAGAGAGAAAACCCTAATTAGTGGAATCTAATCAAACCCTAATTGACTCTAAACAGATACAGCCGCCCAAAACTTAAAATTTTTTTGGTGGAGTCTTCTTCGCGAGTGGGGAATTTCGGAAACTCTGCCACTTCACACTTTCTCCTCTGTCGGTGTCGGTTATCCACTGTGCACGCGTCCACCTTCGATTTTTAATCCTGACCGTACGTTTTACATCTGTAGCAAATCCTAACCATTTATTGAATTGATAAGATTAGGCCCTTAGTTGAATTATCTATTGGGCCGAATTGTTTGAAAGGTTCAGCATTACAGTCCAGGAATTTCACTTAAATGGGCCGCCTAATCTGGATTTGGTTTGGTTTGGACCAGGGATATTCATATCATTTGTAACCCCAAATAATAAATATCAATTTTTATCGTTGAAGATACATGTGAAATAATCTTAATTTGGATCCAGAATTCAAATGGAATCAGACGTGAAAGCCTCTGGTGCCTCTGGACTGATAAAGCTCCAGTCTGCTCTTAGCTTCATACAACAAAGCTTCCATATCTTCTTCCTCCGTTACACTCGCTTGCTTCGACGCCCACTCCAGAACCGTCAACACTTCGTCTTTCGCCAATTGCTCACTGTCAGGGACGTTCATCGCCACGTAGCTCAGCAAAACCAACGCCGGAATCTGAGATCCGTTCTCTCCGAAGTACGCTAGCTGCACCAGAAGCTTTGATCCTCCGGCCTCGATAATCGTCCTCGAGTGATCTTTCCCTAAGAAGTTATCCTCCGTCGCGAATTTCGCAAGCACGATCGCTACCTCCGCCGCTAAGTCTGGCTCTCCGTCGTCTAGGAGTTTAATCAGAGGTATGATCAGATGCCTCTCCGCTGATTTGAAGGTTCGAGCTAGGTTTCCGATGGATCTGACACAAGGGATGAGCAAATCGGATTCGGCGTCGGCGTTTTCCACGATTCGGAATAACTGGTCAACAACCGCTTTGCACGCTGGCGAAGTGCGTCTAAACGCCGATCTTCTCAGAGCTGCGTTCTCCTCAGCCACCGCGGTTATCTCCATTATAGCCATAGCTGTATTGTACATGGTCTCTTCGTCTCCCTTCTCCAGTAGAACAGCAAAGCAGAGCAGAGCTCGTGACTCGGTGATGACTCGGCAGATCGTCGCGTTTCCTACAGAGAGTTTCCACAACGCTCTCGCCGCCATCGCTTTCATGTAGGTCTTCGTCACCGGATCTTCCAGCTCCCTCCCTCTCGTGACCGACCCGTTCCTCGATTGATGCGCCGTACTATAAGGCTTGCTAATTCCACTCTGCGAATTCAAGCTATAGCTCTTCTCCGGCAGCTTTCCGGGAGATTTCTCGTCGTCGCCGGTTCCAAATCGGCCAGACGGGATCGATCCGGATCCAACCGATTTCATCGCCATTGTAGTCGCAACGATGCTATGCATCTGATTCGCAATTGGATTCGGGATTCCGATCTGATTATTCTCTTCTTCCTCTACCTCGAGCAGCGCCGGCAAATTCTCTTTGCTACTGATTTTGCTCGCCATCACGACGGCGTGGTGCATCGACGTGGCTCTACCCGCAACAACCGCGTATTTGCTATGCTCTTGAACCGTCTCAAACGCTAAATGGCTCACGAGGAGACGAATCACGTTGTTCTGCGCAAACAGCTCTTGACATTTCGCGTGATTCACAGCAACTAACTCCGAAACCGCCCAAGCCACAACCGCTTGGACCCTCATGGAGCCTTCTTTGAGAATATTCGCTAGCGCTTGACAAACACCCGCCTGAATCATCTGCTCCACGCTTTCCGGGTCTCGACCCAGTAACCCGATTGCCCGCGCCGCGTTCTCTTGACCGTCGATTTTTCCTTCTTTCAAAAGTTTCAGCAGCGGGTTGACTCCGCCTTCCTCCACTATGAGCTTCACGTATCTGTCGTTGTCTCTCGCTAACGAAGCCAACGACGCGGCGGCGTCGGATTTGTCTTCCGGCGAACCGGTCATTAAAACCGCAATTTGCTCCCAAATCAAGCACAGGATTGGTTCGTTGGCTGCGATTGGAGGGAGACCTAAGTAACCGAATCCTTCGTCGTCGTCGTTACCGGCGGGAGTGGAGACACGGAGGAGCCAAGAGACGTCGCCGACGGAGTTCTCTAACTGGGAAATCATTTTCCGGAATGCTGCGGCGGGGATTATGTTGAAGAGACGCATTATGTAGCCGTCGTCACGGCATCTCTGCACCATCGCCAATGCCTTGCCGAGAACGTTTTCAGTGTCGTCGATGATACGGCGCGTGGGACGTTCGTAGAGGTCGGAGCTCGCGCGAGCCGCTTGACGGAGAAGAGCAGCGAGCTTTTCCGTCTTGGACTTGATCTCGGCGCATTCTTGCTTGTTGATTGTGGCTTCGTCTCCGGCTTTCACCACTTGGTCTGCAAGTTGAATCGGTCGAGTCAATATCTGCTTCGCTAAATCATCCATAGATAAAGAAATGGTGTAGATCAAACGGGTTGATCTTAGTTTTAAATGCAAGGAAGAATGGTTGAAATCTTTTTGTTGGGTTTGGTTTGGTCTCTGAAACACGGTTTTGTCATTTCAATGTCTTTCACTCTTTCTTACAGAACACGCCGGTCGTCGCCGGCTTTCGTTATCGGAGTAAATTACTTATTAGTCATTTACCAAGTCGTCCTGTTTAATATTTTTTAATTATTGGGCAAATTCTATATACATATTATTATAGTTCTTTGAAATTTAAATCATATCCGATTTTGTAGTGTTACACTACATACTCTAAGATGGCAAAGAAAACGTAGGCATGCTGAATGAATACAGAGAGACACAATCAAGTTATTGTTAATACAGAACTTAAATGATACCACAATTTTTGTTTGCATAACAAAATAGGGGAATTAGCTGTGTATATCAACTTACAAATTTTTTTGAATACTCTGTTCGAAGTTTATGAAAATTATCCTGCTAGAGTTCCTTTTTTAAAATATTTCGTTTGTGGAAGCCCTTTAGCCTAGTGGTTGAAGGGATTTAATGCTTCTACACCAGGAGATATTGGTTTCGAATTCCGGCGGATGCAATTTGCTAATAATTTATGCAGATTATTGGAGACAAGCTTACATGAGGTCTACAGAATGGTGCACGTGGAGCCGTCGGCCGGAGAGCCTTTGAAGATGGTAGAATCATCTGTTGTAGAATTGTCTTCTAATAGATTAGTCAATCCAGTGTTAAAAAAAAAAGAGATTAGATGTGATTGTATAATATATATATTGGGCCCCGAGAGACATTGCATTAGTTAGGTTTTTTCTTCGAGTCCTGGTGTGGCGACATCAAATGTTAGAAGTAGAACCAAGTCACCAACCATATTTATATCTGGGCCATGTTCCACGTTTATATTTTGAGATCATAAAAAAGGATAATAATTACATAAAAATCTAATAAAAGTATGTATAAAAATCTTGTTTAGTCATTTCGAGAAAGTACCTAACTAAATGTGCAAATAATTAAGATATTTTGAGGGAAATATCCTGTTCAAATTAAACTATTGGCATAATCGGCTAATCGCATTGAATGGATTGAAATGATCATTTTATTCATTAAAAAGGAAAATCATAGAAAAATATCCTTATGTAATTTTTAAGAGAAACGAGTGGGAGGATATCTTTATTTTATTTAAGTTTTACTACTGAACGATGATAAATCTTCTGTTTAAGAATTTATAGTGTTCTCCGGCTTCTGCATTGTTCGTTTTCTGTTTATTCATTAAAACAGAATAAGATGAGTTGAATAAAAAAACAACCTATCTTTCTCCAAATGAAGACATCGTGGTTACAATGAATCTAGATACATAGTACACTGGAGCACGTCTTTCAGTTAAGATATTTATGCATAAAAGTCGCTGAATCAAATTCTATCAACGGCAACAGAAATAAGAGGAAGAAGAGCCACACGAGATTGTGGGATATTTTTCTGTCGCGTTTTGCTTTTTGTTTGTCCTCGGCAAAGAAAGAAAAAGGACACACTATCTCATTTAGCTTCTAGAAGAACTTTATTGCCTGAATTTGGAAATAAAAATAGAAATATCTAATACTGTATTATACATTAGGTCCCGACAAATAAAGATAAAATACAGAAAAAAGTTTATAGCGAAGAAGATCTATCATCTATCCTCTTTGGCAACGCGAGTTTATCAATTTACTTTCCAGTTTCCACAAACTGGCGGGCCCGTACTTTTGTCGCCTATCTAGCTAGGTCCCATAAAACCTAAAGATGACTTGGTAAATTATTATGGTTATCATTTATCAACAAAGTCCTGCAAACAATTTCCTGCTTAGAAAAATACGCAGAGTTTAGGCTCTATGATGATCTTCGGATAGTTTTTGTTGTTATTGTTGTTGCAATATAAAAAATCTGTTTTCATTCAGCGTTGAGACTTGATGCTTCTTGTTGCCAGTTCAGATGATGGTTCATAGATGGGTTAGGCTATTGACAGTTTGACACCCATTTTAACTGCAATAATACTTCCACACCATATCTAGGGACCTATTAGTCTACTTGTATTATGAGCTATAATCAATAGCTCAATAGCTCTATAGATAACGATCTGAACATATGAGTAGAATGCCAACTGCACCAATCAATGCGACATATAAAACTATCTTATCTCATCCAAGTAACACAGTTTAGGTTTCTGCAGATTCTTTTTTTGTTGGACCAGGAATACTATAAATGCGTGACTATACGACAACAAACATATATATATACCGATATTTCATTTGATAAGAAACCAGTTCGGTCTCCACATTTGAAAGAACTCGAAATGTTATTGGTTCACAACTTCACATGGATAAAACTCTTCTTTCATTGTTTAAGAAAAAAAAACTTCACTGGCCATGTTCACGTGATGAGGTATCAGTAATTTAGTGGGCCAGAAGATATACTTATTGATGCATCCTATTATTTTGGTTGGATGGTTTCTATTGTAGAGATTCATAATTCCGATGTATATCCAGAAAACGAAAACCAAACAGTTTTTTTTGTACCTGAACCTAAACACAATTGATTGCTTAATATGTAGAATGAAATGAAACTGTTCCAAACATATTCATACTGTATAAGATAAGTTTCTTGGCTATTTTGACATTTGCACTGAAATTCGGTATAAAACAAACAGCTACTGTATATCAACGAAAGTACATATAATTTGTTTTTTTTCTCATTAATAACAATAACTACATACTATAATAGGATTCACAAAGTAAAAAAACGCGTAGATCCTACGTAACACGAAACAAACGGCGCCGATCGCTCGTGGGGAAGGAGGGAGCGTACGTTAGCACACTAATCCTCGTTCGTGTTAGCTTACTACAGTAATATTAATTAACCGCTTCCTATTTACAACCGATTTATCCTTTATTGCACTAATAATTAACTCGGGCTAACTCGGTCACCGAGTCAACTCACTACCAGCACTGATCGGTTTCCCAGTTCCGTCCGACGTAACTTCCCAAACCGGAGGTGCCGACCGTCAAAGGACGGCTCCGTCGAAGCATCCTCCGATCGTAAACAGAGCGTTTCTCGGGATCGGAAAGCGTACAGTACGCGGCGTGGATCTTCATGAACTCATCCGCCGAAGAAACCGAATTCGTCCGATCGGTTCCCGCCACGTCGGGATGGCAGATCCTGGCCAGTCTCCGGTAAGCCGATTTGATATCCTGGCTCGTCGCGCCGTGAGGAACCTCCAGAATCTCGTAAAGCGAAGCTGTCGCCGTCGACAATCGCCGCGGGATCTGATGCAATCTCGGCGAATCTTCCGCGCAGGTGTAAGAGCAAGAGGCGGAGACGAGAGGAGGAGAGATCCGAGCCGCGCGAGACTGCGGAGATAGGGGAGAGAGAGGCGGAGAAGAGGAGAGGAATGGATGAGCAAAGGAAGTTGGAGAAGAAGAAAGCATCGTTGCTGTGAATCGCGAGTTTCTGATTTTCTCTGCGTTTTGGTTCGAGAAATGGAATAGACTGAAGAAGAAGAAGAAATCGAGGGATTTATTTATAGGAGAAGGGCGCGATTAGTCATTAATTTCGTGATTAGTACTCAAATGGTTTTTTAATTAGAGACTTAAAAATACTAAAAGCGGATAAAGGCAAGTGGGATTAATGATACGGGTCGGGTTGAGTGGAGAATAAAGCCGGGTCGGATCCAGTGGTGCTGAGTCAGATGAAGGGGCTTATCCAGTTGGAAATAATTGCAGTAGAGATAAGAGGAATGTACGTAAGATTTTCACTCATAGTGGCCAATTTGTGCTGTGGCTGTAATTGTCATATCACAACATATTACAAAAATCAAAATTTTATTTTTACACTCAGAGGATCCAATAAATACATGCAGAGGAATAATATCAGGCTTTGGTGTTTAGTTAAAATATATTCATTTTTTTTTCTGTTATGGATATTCAAAATTGGTTTCTTCTTGCGATGATATTTTTTTTTGTTTCATTTGGCATTGTATGGAGACGAAATGTCGACCATTCATTGTTTGTAGGATACTGAGAAGACAGAAATAGATTTCTAGAAGATAGAGAGAAAAGTCTCTCTGTATATATTTATACATTGCCTCCCACCATACAAACATAAATGTTATTTTTCTTCTTATCGAAATGGAAATATAGAGGCCACTGGAATCTAATTCGTGGCGAAATTGTTTTCTTAGCTCATAGAAACTTAATGAGATCAACAAACCGTGTGTACTAGATTCCATAAAATAAGATCCAAGTAATAATATACACATTTTCTTGTTTGTTTGGATCACACCGATCAAATAATATAAACACATTTTCAATTTTATCTTATTACGAGAGATTATGGTTGTCTTAATCAAGGAAAAGCCGGCATTTTCTTTGTTTTCCTTCGTAGAAGAAAAGTCGACTTCATTATTCTATGTCTATTGTGTATTATTATGGCGGAGGTAATTCAAAAGAGCCGGAATCACGGATGAAGATTATCAAACCTCATCTTTTAAAAGTTTCAGTCATTGAGTTGTAACTTTGACGTGGAAACAGTTTTTTTTTTTTTAATACTTTGACGTGGAAATTTCTGTAAATCTATGTCACTGATCAATTATGTAGACCTAGTAACCAAATGTTCCAAAGTGTTTTCAATTGATAAGTTCAAAGATATTACAAGTATAAGTTCTTATGGGACCATTACGTTGATATGTCCTAAACGGTACCAAACTATGAAAAGGGCTCTTGCTCCATTATAGTCCAATTCGACTCACCTTACTCCTTATGCAAGAATCAAGATGATCACGTAGAGACCAGTGGACCATTATCCGGTTCTAGATGATTATGACTGTTTTAACTTTTAAGCAAACTATTGTAATCATATATTCCCTACTTCTTCTCCAGCCACGTGTTTGATCATCTTTAGTACCCAAAAGAGTTGTTTCAGTTTTCAATTGGTGTGGTTAGCGCCGGTCGATTCAATTCTTTTCAAGAAAAACTTATCTAGATCTTGTGGATCATACTAATTTCATTTTTTTCTTTCACCGTTTACCTTTTAGTTGTGAATGATGACAATTGACAAATACGTTTTGATATAAAAGAGACAAATTGTTCCGAATTTTAAAATTTATCTAGAGAATTATCATCTTCAAGGCTTTTGACAGTTTCAAAAGCCAAGTAAAACATAACATTTTCACTTGCATAATAAAAATTGAATAAAACAATCGTAAGTGACGTCGAGGATTGACACCACCAATTCGTGGGTGACACATTCCCTTCCATAAGCATTTTGTGCTTTCTTGTCATCTTCCATTTACAATATAAATTACATTACACATACCTACGTATTCGAATACGTATACGTATCCATAATCCATGTGAAAGTAACATACTTTATAGTTATACTTCTGCAACTTGTAACATTAGTATATTACAATATAGATATTTAGCTGCGTTATAAAGCTAAAGTTTAAACCACATTAAAAGAAACAATTACATTATAAAACGAATGACAAGAGGGATAATAAAATGATAGAGACAGGAACGTGGAAAGAAGCTAAATCCAGCAACTTTACACACTGGTCGGTCAAGACGAGAGAGAGATCGATAACATTAACTACTCTATAGTATAATATACCGACATAGTCGAGTTTCTTGTACTTCTACGGTGTACTTGAGCTCAGAAGATTAAACCCCTCGTTCCTGAATACAATACTAACTATTTACAGTATCATCACTTGTCTCGGAATTTTGATGAAGCCCATTTGAAGTAACCACAGTTTGCTTCTGGATTTGAGGAAGGTCCCTGCAAATGAGAAATGTAGAAGATCATTATTAGCAAATATAATTACCGCGGTTAAAAAGAGTTAGTGTTTATTGATTGAACCTCAGCTCGAGAGCAGACGTAGAATCTGCGGCCAAATGTGGGACCTGGTTTCTTTACGACACGAGCAACACAAGCTTCTTTGTGTCCTTTGCAGAGAGGTATGCTGTTTTGCATCAGGTTCTGTATCCTCTGCCACTCCATTAAAGCTGCATCGTTCTTCTGTTTACCTGAAGAACCACTTTGATCCTGTTCCTGCGTTGAAGTAGTCGTTGGTTCGTTGTCTTCTTTGCTGCAAACAGTCGGTTCTGTGATGCTTTGACATGAAGCAGACTTATCGATGGCTGCTACTTTTAAGTTTGTAGTGAAAAAGGACTTGAGAGAAAGCTGAGAAGACTGGATTTTTCTCGCCTTCTTCCTGTTTCCATCTCTAGAGATATTCTCAGCTCTCACTGATGACAAAGAACAAGATTCCTCGGGTGAAATATCCGTGAAGCTGCAGTTTCTAAGTGGACATGTTGAAATCGCTCCACAGTTTGACGCAGCGTTGCTTTCACTCGATGATGAGCATGAAACCTCAATGGCTTTGGCTTGCTCACTGGCCTGCCTTTTCATAAACACTGACGCTGTTACAGTGAAAAAGAAACGAATGATAAAGCTAAAAATGCGAGAGATACAGACATAGAAGCAGAAATAAGTTGAAGTTTCTCTGACCAAGAGTTTGCTGGAAACCGAAAATCATGGGAAGATATCTTGAAGCTAAAGGCGGTGTGTTGTGTTCGGGGATGTCAGGCAAATCATCAAAACTAAAGAACACAGGAACATGGTCTGATCCCTTTAATTTTGTGCCCAATCCACCTTTCCACCTACAATGTTCACAAGTTCGTGAATGCTTTATCTTTGAGTTGAAAAAAACTGACATGGGATGGTTCATAACTGTATATAGATTACCTTGTTGGCATATCTTCACTCTTAAACCGCTTATACTCTGTTAGTATGTCGCATTCCTTGACATGGCAAGCAAGAAAGCTATGTCCCTGCTGATGATCTCCGTCTTCATGCAAGCATGATCCAGCGACTAAGATATGATCAATTCTCGAACCATAATTAAATTGTTCTGCTCCACTACTTGAGGACCAACATGTGAATGCATCTTTCCTGTTACAAAACCAGAGAGAAGCAATCAATGAAATGATAAACAAAAAGTTCAAAGAATGTATATCATATAGACACAGAAGAGGTTATGACGAAATTTCACCTCTCAGGATGTTTTGATCTGAAAACATCAGAGAATGAGCCTCCACGTTCAACTAGCAGAGATCTAAACCATTTCCTGAATCTGCATTTTCAAATTGCCATGAAATGAGAAATCTAAAATAGAAAAATGAAGTCTTAAAAGAGTAAAGCAGGTATGATTCAAGCAGATCATGAATATATCAGTATATAACATACTCGTTTTTCTCGAAATCAGGCCCAGCTTCACAACGATCCATAGCAGAAGGAGCAATGTTGAGATCACCAACAACAAACACTCTTCTTCCTTGACGCAAGAGACACTCCCATCTTCTCTACAATAAAACTAAGACACAATTAACCCATAAAGTCAGGAGGTACGTACCTCATAGCTACGATAAGACTTACCTCTAAAACATCATAGAACCGATGCTTAAACTCGATCCTCTCAGCATCATCAGCTACAGCTCGCGGTCCATAGACATTAAAAACAACTGACAAAACACACATAAATTTACAAAATTGCAGAGAGAAGATTTCATTCAGACTATACATGAAAAATAGGATTGAGTCATACCAAAATGGCCATGATCAGTTATAACGCATCGTCCCTCTTGATCAATCCTAAGAAGCTCTTCTTTTTCGAACTCCTCAACACCTTCAGCTAAAGCAGACGTTTCATTCTTCCCACCTCGCGAATTCCCGTTCACAAGACCAGTGAAGCCTTCTTCCGCAGCAACAGGCAGAGCAATCTCACAGCTTGAAGATGCCGACTTCACTCTGCAAAACGTCGCCACACCTGCGAAATCCAAAGAATATAAAAACTTTTAACCATTTCCTATTTTCTCAGAATCCAATGAGCACACAATAGCTTTGAGATGCTTTACCGGAATAGCCAGTGCGGCCTTTCTCGGAAGTGCGAGTGCACGAGAAAAACGATTCGTACCCATCAGCTATCGTCAAATCCGCTGTTAATTCCTGCCTTCTAAGCTTCGTCTCCTATATTTCAAACCCGAATGAAACTATTACGGATTCGTTATCGGAAAAAATAACAGAAGGAAACGATTGAAATTTCCCGGAATCGAAATGGACAATGAAGTGAAACCTGGAAGCAGATGATATCAGCGTCGAAGGAATCGAGGAGTTTGAGAAGAGAATCAAACTGTGAGACTCGTTGCCTCAGGCCATTAACGTTGTAAGTCACTAACTTCATCCCTCTCTTCTTCTTCTTCAGTTTCACTTTCACCCAAGTTCGACAAAGATCGTTCCTTTATATTTTAGGTAAAAATTATTAAAATTGGATATTATGACGTTGGACGGTTGAGATCCGAGGAAAGCAAAGTAAGTGAAATCGACGGTCTAGAAAATGTACACGTGGAATAATAGAAAGTGACTGGATATGTAGCTTATCATATCTCTCTTGAATGGTGGCGCGTGGGGAGCACAAGTTATTGATTTGCCTCGTCGGCGTCCACCACCATTATCGCCGGATTTTTATATACTCACGAAGAAGTGGAAGAAGAAGCAGAAGCAGAAGCAGAAACCAACTTCTACTTGATCTCTCTCACTCTCGCACTCTCTCTATATCTTTCTCGGAGCACTTCTTGCTGAGTTTAGAAAGAGAGAGACTTAACGCTGCAATGGATCAATCGAAGAAGTTGAAAACTTCCGATTTTGCTGATGATGAATCCTCATCATCTTCATCTTCTTCGGGACATAAGCTCAGGTTTTTCAAGTTCATTTTGGATATAAAAATACCAATCTTTTCAGAGTTTCATTTTGTTGTTTTGTCTTGTGTCTAATCTCAGAGCTGAGATGGTTGTAGAAGTGGTGAAGAAGGAAGCCGTTTCTTCTTCGCGGCAAATTCAAAAAGCAGACAGAGAGAAGATCCGTAGAGATAAGCTCAACGAACAGTTTCTTGCCCTCGGAAATGCATTAGGTATGTCTATCTATCTATCTATTTATCTTAGAAGATGAATTATAAACTTTGTTCTCTTCTCTACAGATCCCAAAAGGCCAAAGAGTGACAAAGCTTCAATAATCACAGACACAATACAAATGCTAAAGGATCTAATGAACCAAGTTGATCAACTAAAGGCAGAGTATGTCACACTCTCTCAAGAGTCTCGTGAGGTGATATGATTGATTAAACTTCTCCAAAATGCTCTGTTATCACATTCTACTAGTTTTCATTTTGTTTTTTTGACCTATTTCTAAGCAGCTAATTCAAGAGAAGAGCGAGCTGAGAGAGGAAAAATCATCTCTTAAGTCCGAAATTAAGACTCTTAATGCTCAGTATCAGCAGAGAGTCAGAGCTATGGTCCCATGGATTCCACATTACACTTATCCTCTCCCTGTAGTAGCCATTACTCATGGACCAGTCCCAATTCAGCCTTTTCAGCCTTTTCCACCTAACCACTGCTCCACTTTTATACCTTATTCAGCCTCAGCCAATCCTTCTTCGTCTTCTGTTGCTTCGAACAAGTCAGATTGCAAAAGAAAGTCTTTAGATTTGAATCTTATGAGGAAGAGTAACCATTCAGATTGCAAAGATGATGTTGTTGGTTTGGATCTTGAGCTTAAGATACATGCCTCTTCTTCAGCTCAACAGGTGAGTGATGATTTCTTTAATATTATTGTCAACAAGCTCTTTCTGCCTTGTGTTAACTTCAAAAGTAACTTCCATGCAGGTTGTTTCTGGAACAGAGAAGAAAGGAAGCTCGACAAACACTAGCAACTCTTCATCTAAAGCTGTTCAAGATAGTTCCTCTGCTAGTGTTAATAACATTTTGAAATCAGAAAACCTATAAATATATATTTCTCTGCCTCAGTCAAGAAAAACCTTGTGAAGCCTATGTTGTAGATTAATTATCCACATGCTTAACTATGTAATATAATATTATCCACATGTTTCCTAGTTACTACACTAGAATGAGAGCTTAGAACAGAAAATCATTTTGCTTATATCTCTTTACAACTTAACTATTGTTTATGATTATGACCATCTTCTTTAGTATCCAATATACAAATCCCATCTAGCCTATATATATACAACCATTTTCTTGATCAGACAGCACAATAACACAAAGGTTTACAAATAATTTGTGAAGAAGAGATGTAAGTAATTTTACATATTCTTTCGAGAAAGCTGGTAACCAGGAGGGTTTTTGACATTTCTTGTCTTGAGGCTTGCAGATCTCAATAGTCTGCGAAACTCATGTATGCTGATTCTCCCATCTTCATCCACATCAGCTTCTTCAAGAAGTGGTTCTATGGATCCTTTCAAACCCGTTTGCTGCAACACAAAAACGAAAACATTGATTCTGTTACTACATGGTAGAAAGAGAATGGAATGAATGTAAAGAAGAAGCATGAGACTGACCAATCTAAGTTCCTCAGGAGTTATAAACCCATCTCTGTCTATGTCGAACTTCTCAAACGCTGCTCTTGACCTCTGTTGCCACTTCTCAGAGTCATGCTCTTCCAATTGATTCACATGCAAAGTAGCTACCACAAACTCGGTGAAATCTACCAACCCATCAGTGTTGCTATCAATCTGCAAAGACACAAGAAAGATTATGGATTATACACCAATCCAAAACTCAGCGAGCATTAATACTCAAAGTTACTTACTGCTTGAAGAATCTCTGCAACTCTTGCATCCTTCAGTTTCCAAGGAACATCTTTCGCAAGAGCCTGTGGAAATGAAAAAAAAACAAGATAGCTGTCATGTAGTGAAACAGGTTACTTGTGTTAGGGGTTTTCGTTTCCTTCTTACCTGCCTCATCTCCTCAAGGCTAATAGCACCGTTCTTGTCAATGTCAATTGCATCAAACTGGTCTCTGAGACCATCCAGCTCATCCTCATCAATTGTCGTCGCCAGAGCCTTAAAAAAAAAACACAACTTAAGTAAAAAGAAACTCAAACGTTTCATATGAAAATACAGTCTCTTTCTCTGTTTCTTCTTAATTACCCTCAAAGCAATCTGCTTAAGGCGGCTGAATTTCACAAACTCACGCATGTTGTTAAGAACAGATATGTCTATTGGAATCTCTGAGGCTTCACCTCCTTCTCTCACCCATGGATGTGCTGCAACATCCATATACAAGATCAGTAAAAATGTAGGGAAATTTAGGGCATTTTGCATAAGAAGAATCATCACATACATAGCGCTTGAGCTGCTGTTAAACGTGCACGCGGCTCCTTCACTAACAACTTGTTAACGAAATCCTTGGCACCGTTGCTAATACTTGGCCATGGGACTGTTTTGAAGTCAGGGTTTTTTCTCATTACCTCATTGAAGATTCCGTCTTGTGTCTTGTCCCAGAAGGGTCTTCTTCCGCAGAGAAGAATGTAAGTGATGACACCGATGCTCCACACGTCTGATTCAGGTCCTGACTTACGTTTCAACACTTCTGGTGCCACGTAATACGCGCTTCCTACTATATCCTGGAATTTCGTTCCTGCCATTTTTCATATATTCATCATGATTCCTGAGAAGAGACAAAAGACCTTTGACAAGTGAAACACTTGCAACACTTTTATACCTGGCTTTTTGAACTCTGACAATCCGAAATCTGTAGCCTTTAGAGACGAATCTTCTTCGTTTGATTTGAACAGAAAGTTCTGCCGAAGAAGAGGGTTAAAAGTAAAAAAAACTCTTGTTAAATGAGGTAGATTGTTTCACAATGGATCTGCGATGTCAAGACATCAGATTAAACCGGTGCGTACCTACCTCTGGCTTCATATCGCGGTGAACTAGACCGCGTAAATGACACTCAGCTGCAACTTTCAGCATCTGTCTCACCACAACCGCCGCATCTTTCTCGGTGTAACGGCTATCTTTCCTGTAATCATATACACACATAAATTGGCTTGAGGCAATGCTTAGTTTCTAGAGAGAGTTTTAGCATTATTGTTAACACAAGCTAATATTACTCTTACTTAGATAATATTCGATCTAGCAATTCACCACCTTCACATAACCTGAAAAAAAGAAAAAGAGAAAACTCAACAAAACCCGGGAAATTTCAATTTTCTTGCATCACAAGAAAGAGATAGATATATTTTACAAAACAGAGAGAAACTTGAGGCTTACTCCATGACTATGTAAACATAGGTTTTGTCTTCAAATACATTGTGAAACCCAACCACATTCTCATGGCCCCCTAAAGCTTCTAGAATCTTAACCTCTCGCTTCACATCTTCCACTTCAATCGGTAGAGTCATCTGCCACACCAAATTGCCAAACCATTTGCGGTAGTAAGAAACTTATACCTGATCTTTAAAGTTGCTCTAATGGACGAACTTGGTTCGAAAACAGAGCTTCCTTTGGTGTCAAGCAATCACATTCCTCAAAAGTTTGAATTTTTTAGGTTCCCAAATAGATAATTATGGATCATTTTAAAAAGGAACTTTTGAATCAGAGAGCATTCAAGTAAAATGGAACGTTGTTAACCTTGGCCTTTTCGATTCTCTTGACGGCGACGCGATCGCCGTTGTTGTTATCGGTGGCGACGTAGGTAAAACCAAACTGGCCATGTCCGAGCAATTTCCCGATTGTGTATTGGTTATCGAAATCCTTAGCGTAGCCAAAATCAATGCGCTTACCGTACGGGACCCCTCCTTCGTTGCTCATTTGAATCTTGTTGTTCTTCGTCTTCGTCTTCTTCTTGTTTTTGTTACTCACTTTCTCTCTCGCTTTCCCCTGCGGTTTCGGTTTAGGTATCTCTGGCGTTGGATGATGACGATTAGGGTTCCGGCGACTGGTACCACGTCTGGTGGCTTTGGAAGAAGAAAAACAGAGACCCATGATGCTCTTAGAGCTTCGGTTTCGGGTCTCTAATGGAGATGTTCACAGAAATGCCAGATTGAAAATGAACGAGACGTTGATAAGAGAGAGACAGAGATAAAGGCCGAGACATGGAAGGATTGGGTGATGAACAAAAAAACAGATTCATTTCTTTTTATTTTTCAACTTTAGCAAATTTGGCACAAAATGTTTCATCTTTTGAAAAATATTTTATTTGCTATAGTCCTGGAGAATGTTTGTTTCCAAGACAAAATTCCAAAAAATCCTAAAGTGTTCGAACACATTTAAGGTTAACTATTTACAAACCTAAACACTAAAGCCCCAAAATGGTTAATAAGAATCCTAGAAAGCAAAGTTAGAACTTAGAACCAAGGATGCCAAGTTGGATCCATCATACATAGGTTGCGAGGCGACAAAGCTGCTTCCACTAATTCATTCACTCCTCTTTGCACAGACTGCGGCGGCTCCACCGAGTTCTCATCCTGTAACAAACAACCGGAAAACATCAGTTTCATCTGTTCGGAAAATGGACAAAACTAGGTGGAGATGTCAAACGATGATTGAATCTGTACCTCTTCAGAGTAATACTGTGGAGCTATTCCTTTGATTCGCCCAATTACATCGTTTACGTTTGAGTTAACTTTGTGCTTAAGCTCGGCTGAGCTCAAAGTAGCAATTCCTACAACAGGAGGAGTAGGCACTCCGACGGGTCTTCTTCCAAACCAAGAGAGAAGCTCATCGCGGAAGAACATGGCTAACTGATACCGAATATGGTCTTTTTGCTTGGAGGAGAAAACTGCTTGAGCTGCGGAGCACATGTTTGACATGAGAGGGCCTTCCACACCAAAATGGGAGAATAACCCCTGAATGTTCCTTGTGAGGCGGAAAGGCACAGGTTCGTTGAGCTCGACCATCCCATTGGAGTCATAAGCCGGATGAAAATCTGTCTGCAGCATTTTCCCAGAGCTTTTGGAGAATAAGATCTTGTTTGGGGATCTACCTCCGATTTGCAGAATGAAGGACATGAAGTTGGAGACAGCTAGCTGGACAGCGAATTGCTTCTTGAAAGCCCAAAGATGGTTTCCACTCATCGTTGTCTTGTACATGTACTGGGTGAATATACCGTCACTGACTATGTTCTTTGTGATTTCATTATAAGCCTGTAGCCGAAGATCTCCAATCGACTCTGGTGAGATTTGCCCTGAGATCGCTTGATTGAGTTTCTCCTTGAAGTAGGTAATAGGAAGATCCGGCTCTCGACCATTCCTTCCACAGTGACTCTCATACACCTCAAGGAAAGTGCTGTACATGGGATCATCCTCAACCATCCGGACCTGAATACTAAAAACGTTAGCATGCCATACGCTCCTAGAGAAATTTATCTACTCTTATTACGCTCATTGAATGAAACACCAACTGAATCAAGAACTAGAAGGGGAACTAAGCTGAATTTGTTCGAGGCATACCTGAGACCACACAGGGATTATGATCGGAGTATGAATTCCTAAATGGCGTCTTCTTGATTCTTTATGCTTATCAAACATTTGGTTCATCGCACGGAACAGCTGCAGGATTCGTTCATCACTCCTTGCATTAGGAGTTAATGATGTTTGAACAATAAAATGCTTTTGCGAGCCATCAGAGCCAATAAGAGTCAAACGTCTACAGCTGCTCCCATGCCTTCGTACAATTTGTACGTCTGCTCCAACCCTATCCAACTTTACTGTATGATCAGGTGCTACTTCCTGGGCAGTTAAACATATCATTAGTTTTGCTAATAGCGTAAAGAGAAAAGAAACAGATTGGAAGGACAAGACGAGGATTACAATCCAATTTACCTGGTCAGTAAAGTACTGTCCTGGTATCTCCACATCAACAACATTGAAGTCACGCAGCATCTTGCTCTCGTCTTCCAGTCTCAACACAGCGGGGAACCTGTCTTCAACATTGCTCTGAAGAATGCTTTTCCACTCTTTCAGTCTTTTTGTCAGCTCTGCT